TCGCACTTATAATATTAGTTAACGATATCTTACAGTGTGATGACGGTAGTTATGAAAACTCGTTGAATTCGCGGACTTACCCCTTCTTAGGACGTGACCGGAAAGTGAGAGACGGGCGTGAGCGGCATAACTGCTCCAGGAGGACCTTATCCTTAGCGGTTACTACCCACCAAATTAAATTTTAAAAACTAATATCTGCCAAAAGGGGCCTGATGTTCAGGCAACCATAAATGTCAATTAATTAGGAATAATGAAACTGTAAATGTAGGTGTACTGGTGGTAGGAACATCGGGGTAGGAATTGGCTCCGGGTCAGACGCACAAAAAAGCCGTCAAGTTCATTCAGTCTGTGGACCTTCCAATATCCAAATAAAGTAGACAGCATTGTTTAATGTTATATGGCTGGGGTAATCATCAAGTGAAACGATTCTCTGTTCTCCTCTATCAAAAAAAAAGTTTTTTTTTTGAGTTCTATAGTTTTGCAGTACCTAGTATGAAAGCACACCTAAGGCAGTTGCCCTTAGCACATCTAATATATCCTTTACAACTTGATACCGTTGGTCCAATGTTATAAATAATCTTAGTTTAACAACTTAGTTCACGAACCCCCATCTACTAATGAAAAATTCTGAATATCTTAAGCCATAATAGGTCGACATGGTATCTCGTTTAAATGTTACGTGGCTGGAGTATTTCATCTTCCATCGAGTGAAGTCTCTGTCCTTTTCTGTCATGAACAAATATGAGCTACTATTAACAAAAAACTATACTTTTAATAAAAACAACTTTATAGGTTCAAAATATGAAATTACAACCTACTAGAAGTGCTTTATTGTTTCGCTTTTAATTATAATTTAGAGTGAATACGGTCCTAACTTTTACTAACCACGATCGCACTAACTTTAAATAATATCTATTTTAGCGCTAAAGGCGGGGCCAAAACGTGTGTTGCAGTTTATCCAACTGTGATTCGTATAATAATGATTGGTAACAACTTAATATAGTAGCCGTTGAGCGTTAAATAACATTAGCTCCAAGTTATATTATTCACTGAAATTTGGGGACATTTCCGTTACACAGCCAGAAGAAACTTCGTTATAGCTGTACTTAGGCGCCTAAAACCTAACCTAACGAACCTAATTGTTAAATTAAATACAATGCTGAATCTACATAAAACGTGCATTTAGGTCTCTTTTGTGAAACAAATTGTATGTTATATTTTATCATAATAAAAAAATTAGGAAGCTACTTACATTTTATAAAACACTATTAACGGTTTAAAACGCGGAATATATTAGTTTACTTATTTACAATTTATGAACTACGGTCCGACGTATCGAGATTATTTGCAGCATACTCACAAACTACAGACAAAATCTACTGAAGTAAAATTTACGCAGACACGCGCCGAAAATTATTTTTGTATCTATTCTTATAATATCATCTAGTTGAGACGATTTTCTATCCTAGTAATGTTTAATATAACTAGTAATTATGTTAGTAAGCAATGAGCAATCACTAAACCACAAGACATTCTACAATATCTTGTAAAACGTACTATTGTATCAATATAACCAAATGTAATTCAAGCCCGCACTGTTTCAACTTTCCCAATTTCATCCGACCGTTTCTCAGGGTTGCTACACTTATACTCAGTTGTCCCAACTTTCAGCCAGAAATATTCAAAAATGTTTTGCCTGTCAACGACTATAAAAGAATAATCAAGGATCTAATTATATCTAAGGATTACATTTCACTGCAAATTTTCATCACTGATTATTTTTACTGTGAAGCTTATTATAGTATAATTCTATATATGTATACCTAATGACAAATAATCGTAACTTTCTTATTAATTTTTTGTTTGATTTTTTTGAACGTTAAATACTTATACTATTATATTTTCAACCATCGTAGCTTAAAATATTACAAAAAATCGTTGTTATGCAAAAGGAGAAAGTAAAATAAGATCTTCCGCCCCAATGACCTCTGCAGCTGGAAAGCGTTCGAAACTTCAAGTCATAATTAAGATAAATAAAAAAATAAATGATATAATATATTTCTCGTTTGAAAGCTTGTGTTTATAGTTTCTCAGTTATATTATAATAAAGTAAGATTTGTAAAACAAAACTAAATCATACTCTTTCTTAGTTACTAAAAAGAAAAGTTACTAAAAAGAAAAATATCCAACCATAAATAAGACGTCATATTTACTTAATGCGTATTTATCTACGTTATATATAAGAACTAACTGACCTGGCAAGCGTTCTATGCCATATGAAGTATTTCGACGATATTTGATTACCATCAAAACGATTCTTATCTAAACGATAATAATCTTAAACGATAAACATTTATTCGATTGTTGGGCAACTTGAATACTTTTCGCAGCGCACGCAACCCCATCAAACATGAATAAGTTTCACCGGTTTTTTCTACATTTTCCTCTATTTTTTTGCTGCTATTGACCTAATGCTGTATAGCCTAAAGGCTTCCACGATAAATGGTTCAACCAACACAAAAATATTTTTCTTAATTAGAATCCGCCGTTCCTGAGATTAGCGCGTTCAAACAAGCAAAGGAACTTTGCATCTTTATAATATAGGTGTAGATATATCTATGTGTATTAGTATAATTATCAAGCACCATGCAAGCATTGAACATTCAAAATGGTAACATTTTAACCTTTTGACTATTATTTTTAATTCTATCAATAGATTCTTGTTTAACACAACACGATTTTATTATAACAAGTATGTAAGTGAATCGTAAAGTTTTAAGGGCTTTGCCCAATGCCCTTCGTGCGGATAAAGTTCCGTCGAAATCGTATTAGAGGAAATCTTTTCATCGCACCATATTTCAAGTAAAACAAAACGAGGATTCAACCTCAATATGTGTTCAAGGTGTCTATATTCACTGAAGCGAACGTAAAGGAGCTAACTTCGCGAGTTGGCCCCCGGGGCCGATTCAACTTCTCTGTTGCAATAAATAAGGATTTTAGCGACAAATTACCACCCGAAAACGTTCACCCCTTCTAGGAAAGTTTAGAACTACTTACTTAAAATGGGATACGCGGCTGTAATCGTTATTCGTTCCCCAATATGGTGCGGTACGAAAGTTTCGAGTATTTTTCTAAGTAACGAACTTGTTAAGTGGTTTCTATTTTATTTTATCTACAAAGGTTTAATGAAAGCAAAGTTAGCCAATGTTGTTTACCTTCATTAATGAGTTTGAACGGAATTTCAGCGTACACTTTTCATCTTTCGTGTTTCTCCGTGAAAAATAAAAATTACGACTGAGCGATACACGTTTTGCTAAACTTATTTAGGTTGCACATGAAGGCACTTAGGTTGCAATAAAGTTTTTAAACGTTAAAACCTTGTAATGTCATCTTCAATGATTTCTTAAGGCATACGACCCTTAATATGAAAAAGTTAAGGTTGAAATTACATTGCGCGAGAGATGCATGTATCAATAAGTTGAAAAAATTCGACGATGAGGTTTAGGACTCGGTAGCTCAATTGGTACAGCAACAGCACGGAACGCTGAATTTATTTTCGATTTTAAATTATAAGTGAATAGATACTTAATAGCACCGTTGTCAATCTTTCGTTGAGGCCCAATGACTACCTTTCTTCACACGATTTTAAAATTAGCCACTTAAATACAACTCTCACCGCAAATATACCGAATAATATGTCTTCATGTGCAATCAAATGTAACAAATATTAAAGTTTTTAAACTGTAAAGGTGTAAGAGTCATATTAAAAGAACGGGGTTCAGTTAACTCATAACTTTTCTAACCATTCTTTCTGAGCACATAATACAGACATTTTCTGCCGTTCTGCGATGATAGAGCGTCCGATATCTTATTACATCGAGCTTGTTAACTGTCGAAACGCTCCTCGAATCACTGCCTTTATGGCTTGCGCTGCCGATATTCACCTCCGTGAACGTTTATAATGAAACTTTAGCTAATAGAAAATGTACCTTATGTCATATATACTATAGATAAGGTTTTCAGTGTTCATAAAGAATACCTAAATAAATATAGGCAGATTTTTTGTTGACTATGACGAATAGAGCAAAGCATTGAAAGGCAACTTCATTGAAAATCTCGTTAAAGAGACGAGGTTGTGAAGACACGTTAGAAGTAATAAGTCTTTTGATAATATGTTTGGAGGATATTTGATTGGTTTTATAAAAAAAAATCTCTCATCAAGAGTGTTAAAAACTGATAACTTAATTTAATTTATGTACGTATATATTTACATATAATTCTTATACATTTCATATGTACGTTAAAATATTGACTTCGATAATAACCGGCATTATATTAATAAATTGTGTATAATATGCGGCATTATATTGTTCGTAAATATTCTACTTTATTATAATTGTGTGAAAAGACAAAGCCTTAGCCAATGGACTAGATTCTATGAAATAAAAACTATTATTTAGCGAATAAACTCATATCCCGGTCATATTAGGACTTTAAGAAAAGTGCTCAGGCAACACCTGGTTCCAAAAATAACATGTCAACTGTCATTGCAATTTCATTTTAGTGATGTGCCAAACATTTTTGCCAAGTTATTCAGTACTCATTAATTTATTTTAGTATTCCGTATAACCGTTTAGATACTACAGAACGGCAGATGTCTATCTCATGTAGCGTTATTACATAATACAAATCATCAGTATCACACGAATTTTGATCAATAATTTATATAATATTTTGAGCAAATACATTAGTAACTTTTATATTTAAAAATAAAAGAAAAACCGAAGAAATCGTTCCGTATGAAGTACCTATAACTGTATTGTACCTGTAATAATAGCTCAGAGTACTCATTTTTTCACAAGCAACGGAACGTCCCTACATTGCAGCTGGTACTTGATAGCCTGGTGCGGCTTTACGTCGTGCAGTTGCGTAGTTTTTAACCATTATTGATTGATTCTCTTGTTAGAATTCTATAAGACGTCGCGTTATCTTTAAAAACCATGGGGGACTCCCTCGATGGGAGTGAAAATGCTCCAGAAGCGCAAAATGTCGTCGTTGTCGACTTTCAAGATTTTGCGAATTATCTTCGACGAGCTGCAACGGTACTTTTACCGGACGATGACATCGTACCGCCGACTCTTAACGCTGCATTGGAGGATAAAGTGAATCAAGACTGCATTAGAAAGTTCATCTCCGATTCACAAGTCTGCTCCCTGTACGTGCAGAGATTTTCGTTGAAGGGTAACTACAATTTCCAAGCTATTTAATGATGACGTAGTTTATGCAAATTAACTACCTTTATTTTATGTGCAGTACTGACTAAACACAATGTAACATTTTTGTTTAATAGAAGATGACAGCGAACAGCCAACTGAAGGTGAAGAAGAAAAAGAAGCAGTCACCTATCAGATCAGCAATGAGGTGAGTCATTATTTTTATATGTTTATAAAATTACATTTTCAAAACAGTTTCATAACAGTAAGAATAACCAATAACATATCAAGTGTCTATCAATTAAGATATAATGTTGTGTTAAATAAAAAGAATTGAAATATTTAATATGTTTTTTTTTAATAATTAAGTAATATAATGTTGATAGGTACACTTCACATCACCCAGAGTGGCTGCCTTTGTCTGTATCAAGCGAGGAGCAGTCATTGAAGCTGACAAATCTATTCATAGTCAGCTACGTCTGATTAACTTATCTGATGGCTCACCTTATGAGACACTTCACGCCTTTATCAGTAAAACTATGGCACCATTCTTCAAAAGCTATGTTAAGGAGAGTGGGAGAGCAGACAGGTATTTATTAGAACCTTCTCGTAAAGTATTAAGTAACATTATTTCTTGTTCTTTATTAAAATAATCTGTTTATTGCACTTTAAGAATATATAAACAATAATATGTAGATGTACTGTTTAAATTGAGTATAATAAACTATATTAACAGAGATGGAGATAAAATGGCACCATCAGTTGAGAAGAAAATAGCTGAGCTAGAAATGGGTCTCTTGCATCTCCAGCAGAATATTGATATTCCTGAGATAACACTTCCAGTTCATCCGTTAGTTGCTGCTGTCATTAAAAGGTGAGTTGTAAAAATATTAGTCCACTTGATGTAGTATGTGCTCTAGTGCTACCACCATTTTAACAATAAGGACCCAGCATTGCATGCAGTGAAAAGAATTTTTACAGTTTTAGGGATTTATATTAACTTTTATTGAAAGAATGTTGTTCTAAATAGGCTGTTAATCTAAGTATAGGTATTAAAAAGTTAAAGATTGTAGACTTATAAAAATCGTTTTACTTTATTAGGGCAGCAGATGAAGGCCGTAAGCCTCGGGTTGCAGACTTTGGTGACAAAGTGGAAGATTCAACTTTTCTTAACCAACTTCAAAATGGAGTGAACAGATGGATAAAGGAGATACAAAAAGTTAGTGTTTATTAAAACATGCATTTTCTTAAACTAACTACAGTCAGCCTTGTACTTGCCTTGTCAGCTTTACTATGATTATTGAAATTTTATTATGATGGTTAACACATATATCATATAAATCCTTCCATCTTCTACCAGGTCACCAAGCTAGATCGAGACCCATCTAATGGAACAGCTTTACAGGAAATATCATTTTGGCTTAATTTAGAAAGAGCCCTGCATCGCATACAAGAGAAGAGAGAAAGTATTGAAGTGAGTCTATCATGCTACCGATGTCTTTAATAGATGATAATTATGCTTGTATGTTTTGGTATTTCATTGAACTCTACTACCTATTACAATCATTTTGTTTTCTCTAGGTTGCCTTAACACTAGAGATTTTGAAGTATGGCAAGCGTTTCCATGCTACAGTCTCTTTTGATACGGACACTGGACTTAAACAAGCTCTTGCTACTGTCTCCGACTACAATCCACTAATGAAAGATTTTCCGATTAATGATTTGCTCAGTGCTACTGAACTTGAGAGAATAAGGTAAACTTGCTAAAAATATTTTTTTTTTTATGTTTCATGTGGCTACAGCTTTTAATAAAAGCAAAATGTTATATTAATTCTATTATCTTCATCATTAGATTAGCAGTGCAGCAAATATTTTCACATCTTCGCAAGATCCGGTCTACGAAGTATCCCATACAACGTGGTTTACGACTTGTCGAAGCTATTTCTCGTGACTTGGGACAACAACTGCTAAAGGTGAAATACTTATGGGTTTAGAATTAATTGTTGTGTAAAAAAAAATACTTATTAATCGCTTATTGGCAGGTTTTGGGCACTCGGCGTTTGATGCACATTCCGTTTGAGGACTTCGAGAAAGTTATGACTCAGTGCTTTGAAGTGTTCTCCTGTTGGGACGATGAATATGAGAAACTTCAAGGTCTATTGCGGTAAGTTAAACTTATATTATTTTTTAATAGAGAAAGAGCAAACATCTGTCTGTGTCTTAGCGCATGATAAGTGAAAGAACAGCTTAAGTTGTCTTAAGTGTAATCTTTAAGGAACCCATTAACATTTGCTTTGTATTGGTCCAGATTATATTCGCTTGGAAAGACTCATTACAGGATTTTATTAGATACAAAAATTAAAATTGTTTATTACCATGCTACATAAAATTCTTAACTTTGAAGTGATAACTTTGACTTTTTCATATTCTCTATAGCGATATAGTAAAGAAGAAGCGAGATGAACATCTAAAAATGGTGTGGCGTGTGTCGCCATCTCATAAGCGGCTGCAGGCGCGTATGGAGCACATGCGTCGATTCCGAAGGCACCATGAACAACTGCGCACTGTTATGTTGAGGGTAACTTTTGTCTCTTTATCAATATAATATATATACACCCACAAAAGAGTTTAGTCTTGGTAAAAGGTGAATTTTCAGCCATTTTTTTTTATTTGTATAAGAACTGCTACATAAATAGTAATGTCCTATAGGTGCTTCGCCCTCGAGCTACGCCTGCAGCCGACACTGGAGGCAGCGGAGAGCCCGCTCAGCATCACTCCTTGCCTATGGATGCAGCAGACGCTAATGCCATCGCTGAGGTGAGTTTTCTAATAAATGTATAAAGAAAGAAAACTATTTTAGCAAATAATGATTTCCGAGTTTAACATGACCTATTCTGAATTAAATTATCATACCTTTTACATTTATATTGTTTGTATCTTCAGGTAAACCTTGCGTATGAGAATGTGAAAGAAGTGGACTGCTTGGATATTTCGCGTGAAGGATGCGACGCATGGGAGGCAGCCGTCAGGCGATATGAAGATAGAATTGGTAAACAATTATTTTGTTGATATTGTTTTCAATTATTATAATTAATTCAAGAGTGACTTGAGTATTTTCCCTTAATATAACTTCATGTATTCTTCTAGATTAACATTAATTTGTAGGTCAAGAGACTTTACAAAACATAGACTTATATTGAGGAACTGAGTTTTATATAATTAATAAATTAAAGTAATCTGAACAGTACATTACAGCAGCCATGAATAAGACTATAAAAAGATCATTGGTTTTACACAATATCTATAAGAAATTCGTTAAAATACTAATAGATCGCATATTTTTTCGCTACAGATCGCGTGGAGACACGTATTACCGCTCACCTGCGGGACCAACTGGGCACAGCCAAGAACGCGAACGAGATGTTCCGCATTTTCTCGCGTTTCAACGCACTGTTCGTTCGTCCGCATATCCGTGGTGCTATACGCGAGTACCAGACGCAGTTGATTCAGCGCGTGAAGGATGACATAGAAAAGCTACACGAAAAGTTCAAGGTACATAAATCGTTAAAGGGAAGGGGTGCTCCAAGTGATATGACCAGAAAGTAGTACAAGTATTACTCAAATTCTTAGACTTTCCAAATCTTCTTTCTCTTTTCAATGTCTATATTGTTTTCTCTTTTACATGGCTAATTTTTTTCTTGCTAGGTGCAATATCCGCAATCAAAATGTTCGCGGTTATCTCTCGTCCGCGATTTACCACCTGTAGCAGGTTCGATCATATGGGCAAAGCAAATAGACCATCAGCTTACTGCTTATTTGAAGAGAGTGGAGGATGTGTTAGGTAAAATAATTATTAATTATTAACATGTGAAATTTATAAAAAACTGATATTATGTTATATAATTTTATTGTATCGGTGGTTAAATATCGTTGTTCTCTTTCAGGCAAAGGTTGGGAGAATCACATTGAAGGGCAAAAATTAAAGGCCGATGGAGACAGCTTCCGACTCAAACTTGACACTCAAGAGGTGTTTGATGAATGGGCTCGAAAGGTAAGTCCTTCCATTTGGATTATTTAATTTCGTTTATGGATTAGATAACTATTAATAATATTTTTATTACCTATAACAGTTAACAGATACTTCTTTCCTAGGTACAGCAACGTAATCTCGGCGTTTCTGGTCGTATCTTCGCGATCGAAACAGTTCGAGCTCGGTCTACCAAAACTGGAACTACAATACTGAAACTGAAAGTTAACTTCTTGCCTGAAATTATTACTCTGTACAAAGAAGTGCGCAATTTGAAGAACTTGGGTTTCAGGTATAATTTTTTTCGTATACTTACATAGTTTCCGTTAAAGTTTTATAAAATACTGACTTATATCTATTGACTTTTCAGAGTTCCCTTAGCTATTGTCAACAAGGCTCATCAGGCAAACCAACTGTACCCATTCGCTATTTCTCTGATTGAGAGTGTTCGTACTTACGAACGCACCTTGGAAAAGGTCAGTTTGAATATATAATACCCACACTTAATACATTCACACAAGCACATAACACACAACAATAATGCAAAACAAGTTTTCGTGTACTTTTTAATAGGTTCATTTTAATAGTATTAAATTACTAATGCAATAGAAATTAACTATAGTCTAGAAACAGACCATGTTCAAGAAATAGTGTGTACCATCACTAAGGCACGTATTTTTTCACGCAGCTAAATAATAGGAATCATACCAAGGTAGTGTTTATTGACTATATTAGTGTTAGAGCATGGTTTTAGTTATAATTTTCTGCTTCTTATCATCTAAATAAATAGGTATCTATATCTTAGTATTTCCTAGAAAAAGTCACATGTAAATTGTGTAAGACTTTCACGGCAACCGTTCAGCATATCGTTGTTTTTCGGGCTGTTCGGACGACGTGAGCGAGAAGAGTTTCTCGTTGTTTTCCTATCACGAGCGGACGGCATCATCAGATGTTATTAGCTCCTCGATTGCTCGAAAAATTTATTAATGAATTCTTGGAGTAATCGAGGCGAAACGTCGAAAAACAATGATATGAAGTCATATATAGTTTGATGTATACATTATAAGGTAATATAATATATAATGTTTATTTTTACTTGTAAACGTAATAATTCCGCAACAGATACGTGACAAGGCGTCTATAATACCACTCGTAGCGGGACTGCGATGTGACGTCTTGAATCAAGTTTCTGAAGGCATGGCGCTTGTGTGGGAGTCCTATAAACTCGACCCCTATGTTCAAAAGTTAAGCGAAGTTGTTCTCATCTTCCAAGAAAAGGTAAAAAGCTTCTTATATTATATGCACATAAGTTGAAAATTGAATGGACACAGAAGAGTAACCCTTATTATTTTAATCCAGGTGGAAGATTTGTTAGCGGTCGAAGAACAGATCTCAGTTGATGTACGCTCTTTAGAAACCTGCCCGTACTCTGCGCAGAGTCTGGCCGATATCTTAAGTCGGCTGCAAAGGGCTATTGATGAACTGTCTCTAAGGCAGTACAGTAACTTACACTTATGGGTGCAGAGACTTGACGAAGAGGTAATGTATATGTAGCCTAGTGTTCCTGGTATGAGGTTAAACTTACATATTTAGTTGCTTTTCTTCTTACACAAGGGAAATGATTACAGGTCGAGAAAAGTTTGGCAGCTAGATTACAAGCTGGTATTGAGGCTTGGACCGCGGCGTTGCTTGGTAAGACTAGTGAAATGGACTTGTCTATGGACACCTACTCGCCAACCGAACCAACCCACAAACCAGGTGGAGAGCCAGAGGTAAACTGTTTCTTGATTATTATATATATCAGACTTTTTAGTTGTAAATATTGAAATTGCACATCATTTTTGTATGAATTAATAATTTCAGATCGCTCGCGTAGTGCACGAAGTACGTATTACGAACCAGCAAATGTACTTGTTCCCATCACTGGAAGAGGCTCGCTTCCAGCTCATGCGGCAAATGTTCGCCTGGCAAGCTGTTGTCACCAGCCAACATCGCTTACAGAGCACCAGGTAAAGAAACCTTTTTATTGAAAAAAAAAAGAATTACAAAACTTGATTATGTATTTGTTTTTTACCTTATCAACTCAGTTACATACTTATGTTGTGTCAAAATGTGACACACGAACATGAAGTAGTATTTTTGCTGCATTATATGGCATGGCCGTTATTAATTATAACGTGGTAAAATTAATACGACGCACACTATATTTTTAAATAAAATATATTTTAATGAAGATTTTATTTAATTGTAGATACCAAGTGGGTGTAGCTCCTGCTCAAACAGCTACCTACAGGAACCTGCTCACAAAACTGCCAGGAGGGTCTTCTCCACTAGAAAGTGTTTATCAGGCTATTGAGAAAAAGATTACTCAAGTTAGGGAATATGTCGATGAGTGGCTGCGGTAAGTATTTCTTAAGTACATGTAAAAAACATACGTCTGCAGTTTTTTCATGTTCTATAGTTCGGTTTAGAAGTTGACAGATAGAGTGTCAGCGACATTAAAAGTTTATCGTTTTGTAAGACAATTTTCAGGAATTATGATTTTAGAAAAACAATTGCGTTGCTCTCTGTAATAAAAGTTTTATTTCCTAATTAACACAAATACAATACAAGTGCACAAACATAACAACAAATCCAAGTTGCCTGTAATAAAAGAAACGACATTAAAAGTTTATACTTAGAAATCAATCCCTTTTCTTTTCATACATGCTGACACTATCTATCTACTTCAAAACCGAACTATAGAACATGTTTAAACTACAGAAGTATGTTTTTTTACATACGTATATAAACCACGATAAGAGTTTAAAGGAGGGGAAAGTATATGCATATTAAGAATAAAGTACTAAATAGGCCTGGCTCTTGAGAATTCGTTCTATAGAAAAAGAAAACTGACTATAAAACTACAAAGTCGAGCTATGTACGAGCTATTAAAGTACAAGGTAAACCAAATATACAGTGCTGGACTACCTTAAATTCTTACTGAACATTTGTCAACAGTTACCAAGCCTTGTGGGATCTCCAACCTGAAACCTTATACGGCCGTCTCGGAGAGGATATAACATTATGGATTAAATGCCTTAACGACATCAAGTAAGTTGTAATAATCTATTTAGAAATATAATTTCTTATTATTGTACACGAATTTAACACATTTATTTCTTTTCAGAAAATCTCGAACTACCTTCGACACTTCGGATACTCGTCGTGAATATGGGCCAGTAGTTATTGACTTTGCACGGGTACAAAGTAAAGTCGCGCTTAAATACGACGCGTGGCATAAGGAAGTGCTGGGCAAATTCGGTGCTTTGCTTGGTGGAGAGATGGTTCAGTTCCACAGCAGTTTGGCCAAGTCTAGGGGGCAACTTGAACAGCAAACGATTGGTAAATTATATGTTATTACTATTTCATCTATCTTTTCTATTTTCCACATTGAGTAAAGAAATTACTAATACATAGGGGATATTAGATTACTAGTTAATCTAGCTAGTCAAGTCAGCATAGGTCTTATCGTGATTTCTTCTTGTCTCTGCAATATATAGGCTTCGCTTGTTAGTTAACAATAAAACTGCCTTAACTCTAAATAGGTTATTCTAATATATGTAAAAATGTATTCAACAGAGGCAGCGTCAACCAGTGATGCAGTATCTCTTATCACCTACGTGCAACAACTAAAACGTGAAGTCTTGGCTTGGGAGAAGCAAGTTGACATCTATAGGGAAGCGCAACGCATTCTAGAGAGACAGAGGTATTATTTCTAAAAATACGAACTACGAAATAATTTGTTTAAAGTGTTTTGAAAATAACTCTTATCCATTTGCATTTAGATTCCAATTTCCTGCGAATTGGCTACACGTAGATAACATCGAAGGCGAATGGAGTGCATTCAATGAAATCATGAGAAGGAAGGATTCTTCTATTCAAACTCAGGTTAGACAACTTTTTAATTTTTACTAATTACATATGTTCAGATTGTTTATTTGTTGTCTATGTTTATATTAGGTGGCTTCCCTGCAACAAAAAATCGTAGCTGAAGACAAAGCAGTAGAAGCTCGTACAGTCGAATTCCTGACAGAGTGGGAACGCAGCAAGCCCACAGATGGATCCACTAGACCGGAAGACGCACTGACGCGCCTTAACGCTATGGAGACTAGATACACCCGCCTTAAGGACGAGAGGGACAACGTCGCTAAAGCTAAGGAGGCTTTGGAACTACATGATACAGGTAGGGTCAAAACTAAAACAAGGTACTAATAACATTGGTACAAAGTAAAAGTACGTAACATACATTTTACGTAGGTTATATTTTATATTCTGATAGAACAAAGACAACACAAGACTAAAATTTGAATTTTTATAAGTACAGCGCTAAGTAATACAATATTTATCAAACAATCGGGGTTTCACAGGTAGTTCAGTTAACAACGAGCGTATGACAGTGGCGTTAGAAGAGTTGCAAGATTTGCGTGGTGTGTGGTCTTCTCTCAGCAAGATTTGGACCCAAATCGATGACATTCGTGATAAGCCATGGCTATCCGTACAGCCAAGAAAGCTGAGGTAGGTATTAAGGTTTGAGTTTTCAAATGTTTAATACGTAGCGATTATAATAATCATTTTATTTATTTTCAGGCAACAATTGGAAGCGATGTTGAATGAGCTGAAAGAACTTCCGGCTCGTTTGCGTATGTACGACAGTTACGAATACGTACGCAAGCTATTACAATCGTACACCAAGGTAATTATTTTTTTATAGAGATCATTAGTACAAGTTCATTGAATGAATACTTGTATATATCATGTAGTATGTATACTAACATGATTTTTTTACGTTAATATATAATAACCCTACGTATTTAATTAAGTAAATCAACCGCGTACAAAGTTACTTTCTAATTTAAATATTTAATAACCCAATATATTATTTTAGGTGAACATGTTAATAGTGGAACTAAAATCTGATGCGCTCAAAGAACGGCATTGGCGTCAACTTTGCCGCGCCCTCAAAGTAGAATGGTCTCTATCTGAACTCACTTTGGGCCAAGTTTGGGATGCGGATCTGCTTCACAACGAGCACACGGTGCGCGATGTCGTGTCCGTTGCACAGGGAGAAATGGCGTTGGAAGAATTCTTGAAACAGGTAGGACCATTAAAGATTGAACTAAAACAAGCAGCAAAGATGATACAAAGTGTTGTATATAGATTTTCAGCTTATCAATATCTTTGAGTTATTCTCTATCTATTATCACATCTTTTTTGCTTTCTCAAAATATATTTATGCCCTATTTATATTGGTCCAGCTAGTATTTTCAGCATGAGTAGAATACATACACACATAGAAAGAATACCTGTCTTTACGCCGTAATCGGGTGATAAAATATAAAATTGTCATTTGTCTATTGTCCTCTATCTCTATGTATCAATTTTTGTCACAAAGGTGCGAGAGTCCTGGCAGAGCTACGAACTGGACTTGATTAACTATCAAAACAAGTGCAAAATTATACGAGGTTGGGATGACCTGTTCAACAAAGTTAAGGAGCACATCAACAGCGTTGCTGCTATGAAACTATCGCCCTATTATAAGGTAAGAGAGGGTATTAACCAACAATTTTTTATTGTACACAGTTATTCATAATCATGTTAAATGCGATAGGATTTCTAAAATACAAATCTAAGATTTATTAATATTTCTAGGTATTCGAAGAAGAAGCTCTTACCTGGGAAGAGAAGCTCAATCGAATTAATGCTCTATTTGACGTTTGGATCGATGTACAAAGAAGATGGGTTTACCTGGAAGGCATTTTCAGTGGTTCAGCCGATATCAAGACGTTGTTGCCCGTCGAAACTAGCCGTTTCCAAAGCATTAGGTACTATATATGTATATTATACATACCAATTATTAAATTAAGAACATTGAAATCTAGCAACTAATTCCCTTACATCTGATTCTCCTAAGTTTGCAATCTTTAGCATTTTGATGTATAGAAAATCCATTTATTACAATTGTTATCTTTTAGCTCTGAATTCTTGGGGCTCATGAAGAAAGTAAGCAAGTCGCCAATGGTAATGGATGTTTTGAACATCCCTGGCGTGCAAAGATCCTTAGAGCGCCTGGCTGACCTTCTTGGCAAAATTCAAAAGGCATTGGGAGAATACCTAGAAAGAGAAAGAAGCAGCTTCCCGAGGTATCAATATCGATATGATCGTTATCAATATTTATCATTTTACAGGTCCAAAGGCGTATTTCTATAAAATTATTTTTTCTACAGGTTCTACTTTGTTGGAGATGAAGACCTGCTAGAGATCATTGGTAACAGCAAGAACATAGCTCGTTTACAGAAGCACTTCAAGAAGATGTTCGCTGGAGTGGCTGCTATCATATTGAACGAAGACAACACTATTATCAACGGTATTGCTTCTCGTGAAGGGGAAGAAGTAAGCAATAGTTTCTTATAAGATCTCAAATATTCCATTACTATACAGTATTTAAAAAGAGCCTTTCAATATACCTTGAAAATGTTTGTAGGTTTACTTCACCTCTCCGGTATCGACAATTGAAAACCCCAAAATCAACTCGTGGCTATCGATGGTGGAGCGAGAAATGCGTGTAACCCTCGCCTGCCGTCTCAAAGACGCCGTCGGCGATGTTAAACAGTTTAAGGATGGAAACGTTGATCCACAGAAATTTATTGATTGGTGTGATAAGTATCAGGTAAGTTATATTTTTAGTAGCAATGTATTTTATTTTTAAATTAAATTATAAATTCAACTATGACATTTTTTTTTTACCCTTACAATTTTCATCCAATATATCAAAGTACAATATTACAACAAATATTTTCTTATTGACAGGCTCAAATCGTAGTTCTGGCCGTTCAAATCCTATGGTCAGAAGATGTTGATGCCGCACTAACTGGTGGTGGCGGTGATAGCCTTAAACGAGTGTTGTCACACGTTGAAAATATGCTGAATATTTTAGCCGATTCTGTCCTGCAAGAACAGCCACCCTTGAGAAGGAAGAAGCTGGAACATTTGGTATGTCGTATGTGTGGAATAAAACAGAATTAAAGTTTCTCTATTATTATTATTTTTATTTATATATATATATATTTTTTTTTTTTCAGATTAATGAATTTGTCCATAAACGTACAGTGACTAGACGCCTCATTGCAAACAATGTGAACAGCGCACGCTCCTTCGACTGGCTCTCCGAGATGAGATTCTACTTTGATCCCAGGAATAACGATGTAACTTAATTTGAAATATTTGATCTCTACCTTTATATATTTATTTCTGTTTGCAATACTAACATTGTTTGAATAGGTTCTCCAACAACTGACGATTCACATGGCGAACGCAAAATTCCTATACGGTTTTGAGTACCTCGGCGTACAGGATCGTCTGGTTCAGACCCCGCTGACTGACCGCTGTTATTTGACAATGACTCAAGCGCTTGAAGCTAGGCTCGGTGGCTCGCCATTCGGTAAGAAAGTTTGTTTTAATATGAAACCAAGTATAATATTTATATATACACGCGCCTGTAAATCTGATCATTCATCATTAAATTCAATTATACCGTAGGGCCAACTAGCATACGAAGAGAGACAAGCGTGAATAAGCGCCTGGACCCTAGGCGTCTTATTCACAAACGACGTAACGTTTCGTGAACACATTGTAAATGTTTGCCAAAAGGCACATAGAAACCTTGGTTTTGTCTTACGACAAACCAAGGACTTTATGAATATGGCTGCGGTACGGGTACTGTATATCACATCGGTGCGAAGCTATTTAGATTTTAGCTCCTCTATTTGGGCCCCGGTCAAAGAAAAATACAAAGTAATGTTGGAACGCATTCAAAACAAATTTGTTAGGCATTTGTACTAAAGAATGTATGAAGTATATCCATTTTATCCTTTAATGTACTTGCAACTTGGGTGAATTGACAAAAACATCACTCCATGAAATCAAATATGTACTTCTATCGCAATGGATATTGTTCTGTAATGGTAGAATGTGTGTAATGAAAATAAATAAATAGATATATGTTTTTTTATGTACATTTAATTTTCAGGACCTGCCGGTACTGGAAAAACCGAATCTGTGAAAGCTTTGGGTAATCAATTGGGTCGCTTCGTGCTGGTCTTCAACTGTGACGAAACCTTTGATTTCCAAGCAATGGGAAGGATATTTGTCGGTCTTTGTCAGGCAAGTGTAAAATAGATGTTTTGTCTGTCTTATACGGTGACTATAGCAACGTTATTTTAATGTAACAATATTTATAAAAGGTTGGTGCCTGGGGTTGCTTTGATGAGTTTAATCGTCTGGAAGAGAGAATGTTGTCTGCTGTGTCGCAGCAGGTACAGACGATTCAAGAAGCGCTTAAGAGTCACCAAGAGGGCGATAATACAGGTAAAAATAACTTTAAAGCGCAATATTTATTTCTTATCGTATATAAAGTATCAATATACTTTATTTAATAATATTTTTAATTTCAGCAAAATCAATCACAGTGGAGTTAGTCGGCAAACAAGTGCGTGTTAGCCAAGATATAGCCATCTTCATCACGATGAACCCAGGCTATGCTGGCCGTTCCAATTTGCCGGATAACCTCAAGAAACTGTTCAGAAGTCTCGCGATGACCACCCCAGATAGACAACTAATCGCTGAAGTTATGTTGTTTAGCCAAGGTTTTAGAACCGCTGAGAAATTGGCATGCAAAATTGTTCCGTTCTTTAAGTAAGTGTGAACTATACTTGTAACATGTTGGTGTTGTAACTTAGATAAAAAAATAAAAAAAATAAATTGTTTTGTTTCTCAATAATTAAATTACAAATAAAGGTATTCCAAAAGTTTATTACTAACTTTGTTGGAGCAGCCTCGCTCTTCCCTATTATATACATTAAAAGTGAATTAAGTTTATAATTATGTTGATTAACGTTGATCAGCTAAAAATTGTGTTGAGACTGTGTATTTTTTGAATCATGAATGTGTTTGTGTAATGTGTGAGTTTATGTTTGTAAAAAGTAAAATAAAAATATTTGCTCTTCAAAAGTTTTTATAGTATGTAAGCATTAAGTATAGTTTAACTTAGTCTATTAGGATAGTTAGTTTCCTCTATTTGCTTTTTTGACATTCAGTTAAAGCTACTTGCCTCAAAAATGATAGATGTTTATTTTTAAATTGATTCTAAAACTAGATAGAAATAATGTTTATATTTTGTTATAATTCCTTTATAACAGATTATGTGATGAACAACTGTCGAACCAGTCGCATTACGACTTCGGTCTGCGAGCGCTCAAATCCGTGCTCGTCTCTGCTGGTAACGTTAAACGTGATCGCATTCAAAAAATTAAGGTAATACAACTTTGCATACTTTAAAATTCATTTTTTTATTACTTGAAATTAATATTTCTCTTTATTTCTAGGAGAATCTTAAAGAACGTGACACGGAAGTACCGGATGAGGCTTCAATTGCTGAATCTCTTCCTGAACAAGATATTCTGATTCAGTCAGTGTGCGAAACTATGGTTCCAAAACTGGTAGCTGAAGATATACCGCTATTGTTCTCCCTACTAAACGATGTCTTCCCCAACGTCGGTTACACGCGCGCTGAAATGACCGGTACAAATTTTAATTGTCTTGGTGTCAATGAGAAATATTTCGTAAATATAATATACTTGTGAAATAATTTTCGTTATTAAATTGTTTCTTTTTAGGTCTCAAGAACGAAATCCGAGCCGTCTGCGCTGAAGAATTCCTAGTATGCGGTGAAGGTGATGAACAGGGAACTACTTGGATGGAAAAGGTATGATAGACTTTACACTATCACGTTCCCATATAAATAACGTTTAAAAAATATTAACATACTAAAATTTTGTCGACCAAATTATTCGCTGCTGCACATATTTTGATTTTCTCATCGAATAACTGTCATATCATAACATGAACCATAATAATAGGGTGTTGGTGAGACCATTATACTTTTTATATAAATATTAAAGTATTTATTAATAACAATTATTTAATATATTTATTATATGGTATTTTATATTCCTTACGTTTACAATATATTATAAGAAAACACGAAGGTAATTTTTTATAACGAAAACGTAACGAATATAAACACTCGACCCAGCATGCGTACGAACGTAATCGGTAACGGGTACGTGAGTGTGAATGTATGCGTTTCCATGCTAACCCGTAACGGCACGTAGAGGCGCAGCGCGGCGTCTCGAGCGCAGCACAGCACGTGGATCGAGAAGGTCAGTGCGTGGACAACCTTGGGAATCTTCCAACACTACCTTCCCACTTCGTGTCCTGTTATTGTGTGAACTGTGTGTCTCTGTCTTATTACAGTGTAATTTGGAGATTTTCGGCTTTACCCAGTTTAGCATTTACACCTCCCTTTTTGTTTGTTTACACAGATATTAACGAAATAGAATTGTACAAGCATCGTATCTTAAAAGTCATTCAAAACAATGTCGTTTATGCTTATGCACATATTTTGTTAGTTAATTCTTTTCGCATCGTCTTCGTTTTATATTTTTATTTTCTACTTGTCTTCGTCGTTTTTTGATTGTTCTCCTTGTTTAATTTTCAATTTTTTTTATTTTTAAGTGACTAAAAGGCACAAATATCCGCTTACATTTCATTGGACTTACTAGAAAGAACATGATATGCACCGCTACGAATACACTTCATGTCACTCACATACCACAAACATTCATTTTTGCACAATTTCGTAGTTGCCTAAATTTAGAGATTGATTTGATGCATTTTTTTCCGCTTACGTCTCTTTTCCTAAACCGAGTAATAGTTTCCAATTTCATGTGTATAAAATAATCATAGCCAAATACCAAAATAATTATAATTTAATTACGTATTATCCACAAAGTAATTTTACTACATGTTTGGTATTTAGCCATAGAATCTGTCCTTGCTGTTAAATAATAAAATTAATTTTATAGGTTCTTCAATTGTACCAAATTTGCAAACTCAACCATGGTTTGATGATGGTCGGTCCCTCCGGCAGTGGAAAGTCGACTGCGTGGCGTGTCTTATTGAAAGCTTTAGAAAGGTATACAAGATAGGAATAAGATTCAAGACAAATTCAATGACAGTGCGCAGAGTTCTTAATAGTAATCATCTTTATACAGATTTGAAGGCGTCGAAGGAGTGGCTCATGTGATAGATCCCAAAGCTATGTCGAAGGAAACTTTGTATGGTGTACTAGACCCGAATACGCGTGAATGGACTGATGGATTGTTCACCCACATATTAAGGTAATTACTTACATTGAAACCTCTTCCAACTTCATCTCCACCATCTTTATATTGATGACATTATGACTCGATTTTATATTATTATTTTTTTAGAAAAATCATCGACAACGTACGTGGTGAAATAAATAAACGACAATGGATTATTTTCGACGGTGATGTTGACCCCGAGTGGGTAGAAAATCTCAACTCTGTATTGGACGACAATAAACTGCTTACCCTACCGAACGGTGAACGTCTGTCGCTACCACCAAACGTCCGGGTTATGTTTGAGGTTCGTTTATATATGTTACCCAATCATAATTATTCTAAACTACAAATCATTTTATGAATTATTTTTTGACGTTACACACCTTTTTTTTCATGTGTAGGTACAAGATTTGAAGTACGCGACCCTAGCTACAGTATCTCGATGTGGTATGGTGTGGTTCTCCCAAGATGTCCTCAGTACTGAGATGATCTTTGAAAACTATCTTTTAAGGTAAGAGTAATAGTTAATATTTAATTAGAGTCAAAATTATTTAAGTGGCGTCTTAATTTTTTCACAATGTTATCGCCATTTTAGGTTAAGGAACATACCCCTCGAAGATGGTGAAGAAGACTCCTTTAGCATTGTGGTGGCCGCGCCTACAGCTGGTGGTGATCAGAATGCTACAGAAAATATTTTATCACCAGCTCTTCAGGTGATACTTTTACACTTTTATACAAACCCACCTATTTCTTTAGTGTTTAAGAATAAAAATCGTTATTGCACCTGACCTGAGAAGCAAAAATGTAACATATCTTAATTATTTCTGTTTAGACGCAACGCGATGTTGCTGCTATTCTCCATCCCTTGTTCTATGGAGACGGTCTCGTTGTCAAGTGCTTAGAAAGGGCAGTGTCACTCGATCATATAATGGACTTCACGAGGCATCGTGCGTTATCTTCACTTCACTCTATGTTGAACCGTGGTGTCAGGTATTCTATAAAAAAAATTTTTAGTTTGAAACGCACTTTTCGCACATCATAGTCTTATATAAAATGAGTTAGAACATCAGCATGGAAGGCTGTGGATGCCGGTTAAAGTATTAAAAAAAGTTCAAATTAATATTTTTAGTTTTTTATGTCTAAATACCTTATCGTCGTAATCGTATGATTGCAATTTATCCATATTGATGATTTTTATACACTCCCTAGATAGTAAGTCTGTTATACTATCATTTACCACCATAAGAACAAATGTTAACAATATTTGTATTTCGTAGAAACATTCTCGCCTACAACCGGCAACACCCCGATTTCCCCATTACTCACGACCAGCTGGAAGCCTACGTACCGAAGTGGCTCGTGTACTCACTACTATGGTCCTTTGCTGGAGATGCGAAACTCAAGGACCGCAATGAATTGGGAGACTTCATCAGATCCGCAAGCACTATGCAGTTGCCAAATTGTGGAGCTAACCAACATATTATTGACTTTGAGGTTCTACTTTTTTCTTGCATTTTTCTCGCCCCAAAACCCTTTTCTTTTTTTAACTTTGTATACATTTCCAGGTATCAATAACTGGTGAATGGGTTCCGTGGTCCGCTAAAGTACCACAAATCGAAGTGGAAACCCATAAAGTGGCAGCACCCGATGTCGTTGTGCCAACGCTGGATACAGTTCGCCACGAATCATTATTGTACACTTGGTTAGCCGAACACAAGCCTTTAGGTTGGTTTTTATGTTAAAAAGCTATAGAACAACGTTGTTTAAAGTACTAAATAGCAACAAAAAACCAATATATACAAGAGATATATATTATTTTGTGCTATAAAATACATACAATCAACAACAATTTGTTGACTTATTTTTTTAACAGTGCTATGCGGCCCTCCGGGTTCCGGTAAGACGATGACGCTATTCTCTGCTCTACGAGCGTTGCCCGATATGGAGGTGGTCGGTCTCAACTTCTCTTCGGCTACCACACCTGAACTACTGCTCAAAACCTTCGATCATTACTGCGAGTATCGTAAAACACCGAATGGCGTTGTATTAGCACCTGTACAAGTAAGATTTTTTTTTGTTGTGAATATTATTATTAATGATTATACATATTATTAAGCAATTTACATATTTTTCTTTCAACTTACAGTTGGGCAAATGGTTAGTATTATTCTGCGACGAAATCAACTTGCCCGATATGGATCAATACGGAACCCAACGTGTCATTTCGTTCTTACGACAACTTCTGGAACATAAAGGGTTCTATAGAGCCAGTGGTAAGTTTGTTATAAACTTAAATAAATGTATTTACAGTATTCAGCATCTTTACCAAATATGTAAAATGAGATAAGAATAAAAGAAATAAGAAAACCCTATAATTTCTAAATAAACTGCCTCTTCTAGACCACTCTTGGGTGCACTTGGAGCGTATTCAGTTTGTGGGCGCTTGTAACCCGCCTACAGATCCGGGACGTAAGCCTCTATCGCATCGTCTCCTACGACACGTGCCCGTTATATACGTGGACTACCCCGGAGAAACTTCCCTGGAACAGGTTAAAAACTTATATTTTATACTAATTATCTGGTATAAATATATTTAATTTAAATACAGTAAAATAACATTAAATTATTTCTGAATATTTCATAAAACTATTGAAGTAGGATAGCACTATTTAACTATTTCTATTTTTGTAATTTTAAACTGAATAAAAAACATCAAACTAGTTTAAGATAAAACACTATTGAATAAATATTACTACTAATTAAAATAATTATTATAATACTAATTAAGTAAGACACTCTAATGGTGGTCTCGGGTGGCCTTAGTTAAAATAAACCGTTAAAGTGTTTTATTTAAATGTGTACTACTTGCGCAAACTACAGACAATATTTAAGTAAGGCTGTAAAGCAACTCAAACTTCGGGGTCATAGATCATTTTTTTTGAATTAGACTAAAACATTGCATTCTTTCATTTGTTTCATATTATTTGCAGATCTATGGAACCTTCACACGCGCTATGCTCCGCATGCAGCCGGCCCTTCGTGGTTACGCCGAACCATTGACCCAGGCCATGGTTAAACTGTACCTCGCCTCACAAGAGCGCTTCACGCAAGATATGCAACCGCATTACGTTTACTCGCCTAGAGAGATGACTAGATGGGTGCGAGGCATATGTGAGGCGATCAGGTATGTATCTCATTACAAACAAGTACTGTACCAAACCACAATATCTGTACCAAAAGAAATTTACTATAATCTTTGTTTAATGCTTTGATATTTTTTCTTATTTCAGACCACTTGACAATCTATCAGTGGAAGGTTTGGTACGGTTATGGGCTCACGAAGCACTACGCTTATTCCAAGACCGTCTCGTAGATGACGTAGAACGTCAATGGACTGATGAGAACATCGATACCGTGGCAATGAGATTCTTCCCAGGTAAGCAATGTTTCTTCTATAGGATCTTGTTAAAAAAAACATCAATAAAGCATGGTTTAATATTTTTCAGGTATCAACAGAGAGCAAGCTCTCGAAAGACCAATACTGTACAGCAACTGGCTAAGCAAGGACTATATACCGGTTCAAAGGGATCAACTACGTGAATATGTTAAGGCTAGGCTGAAGGTATGAATCGAGTTTTTGTTCTTTATACTAAAATAAAAGAAAACCTTATAATTTTAAAGAACAGTAGAATGGAAAAAAGTTAGTACAAAAACTAATATATAAAAAAAATAAACTAGTTAGTACAAAAATACTATTGTAAAATGTGTCAAAAAAAAACATTTTTTCAAATTAAGTTTTAAATATTATTTACTAAGTTATTTTTTTTAAAATTGAAATAACTAGGTATTCTACGAGGAAGAACTAGATGTACCCCTTGTCTTATTCGACGAAGTCTTAGAGCACGTGTTGCGTATCGACCGTATTTTCCGTCAACCACAAGGACATTTGCTACTTATTGGAGTATCAGGAGCCGGAAAGACTACTCTCAGTAGATTTGTAGCTTGGATGAATGGTCTTAGCATTTTCCAAATTAAGGTGAGTGAGCTAGAAGACATTTTAACTCAATTCTAGGCCAAATCCCGACTCTTATCATGCCTTAAGATGTCTGACGTAGATAAATCTGTGTCTATCTCAATTTTAATCTTAATCTTGATTCACTAATCATCACTTAATTTCTTTATGTATGTTTGTTTATAGGTGCACAATAAATATACTGGTGCTGATTTCGACGAAGACTTACGTTCGGTACTACGTCGGGCCGGTTGCCGTGATGAGAAAGTTGCGTTCATACTCGACGAGTCTAATGTTCTTGACTCTGGTTTCTTGGAGAGGATGAACACCTTGCTTGCTAATGGAGAGGTGAGTATTTTATTTTGAGCATTTGGACCCTAACACATTAACGATACCTATGGACTATATTGAAGATTGTTCGTGTAAGAATCGGATTATTAAATCTATACATATTGGGAACTTGTATATTTTTATTGCTTAAATCTATATAAATTTTGTGCCCTATGTTAGTGTTCGTCGCCCCTTAAACGGTTGAATGCTACAACAATTAATTATATACGAATATCCACATTACAATATTAGTATGGAGAAGAGTTCCTATTATCTCGTTTAGTAACCAATGTTATATCTATTTCCTAGGTTCCCGGTTTGTTCGAAGGAGATGAATTTGCCGCTCTCATGACTCAGTGTAAAGAAGGCGCCCAAAGAGAAGGGCTTATGTTGGACTCAAACGACGAACTGTACAAATGGTAAGACTGGCTTTCGATTTAAACTCTAATATATATATCCTAGCATTACAAATGTAGGTTAGAATTGTATAAGGTGACTCTAATATTTTTTTCTAACAGGTTTACTGGTCAAGTAATGCGTAATCTTCACGTAGTATTCACGATGAACCCATCCTCCGAAGGCTTAAAAGATCGGGCGGCGACATCACCTGCCTTATTCAATCGTTGCGTACTCAACTGGTTCGGAGACTGGAGCGATTCAGCGCTTTTCCAGGTACAATACTTTTGAGTACACATAGACATAAGAGTATCATCAAATAAATATAATTTTCTTCGTCAGCCTTTAACCGACCAGTTTTCAATAGCTTTGAAATTGTTAGTAGAACCCATAGAATTTAAATAATAAAAAAAAAACTGACAGTCTGTCAGACTCTTCTTATAATAAGATCCTATCCAGGTCGGTAAAGAGTTCACGACTCGCATGGACCTGGACTCCTCAGACTATGTGCCACCGGAGTTATTCCCAGCTGCCTGCAGCGTGGTGAGCGCGCGACCTTCACAGCGGGAGGCCGTGGTAAACGCCTGCGTCTATGTCCACCAGACCTTGCATAGAGCTAATGCCAGGCTCGCTAAACGGGCTAACCGCACCATGGCTATTACGCCCAGGTAAATATGCTTCAAGAAACAATTGACTGGGCTCGTTGGTATAGTCCCCACCGGATCAAACATTTTCCTAATCAATTCAAATCAATCTTACTAAAAGCAGAAATAATTTAACCCTGTTATTGTGGGTTAATAGAAAATATTCCTCCATTTTACAGACACTACCTAGACTTCATCCAGCAAATGGTGAAGCTTTACTCAGAGAAGCGCGCCGATCTGGAGGAGCAGCAGCTGCACTTGAACGTCGGTCTGGGCAAGATCGCCGAGACCGTCGAACAAGTCGAAGAGATGCAGAAGAGTCTCGCTGTCAAATCACAGGTAAAAGATAAAATACTTTAGAATTAAAATATGTTGCTACTAATATATTAGTAAAGTCTTAATATTGTCGTTCTAAAAAATAATTTAACTTAAACACTGTAACGATTTATAACGCAATATATATTATTTAATGTGGTAAGATCCAAATTCTTATTTGAAAATTAATTTTAACTGCAGCCCAACGGATGCTTTTCAGCAGCCGTGGTCGCGGGGAAACGTTGTTTTCGTTTAAGTAATATATATTACGTTTTAAACCGTTATAGTGTTAGTTGAAATGTGTACTACTCGAGTAAACTTGGTAAAGTATTACCAAGTTTGAATTCTTTAAATATTCTCATTCTTTATAACTTAAAATACTAATATTGTTTAATATTGTATTTTAGGAATTACACGCTAAAAACGAAGCTGCCAATGCGAAACTTAAACAGATGGTTAAAGATCAACAAGAAGCTGAGAAGAAGAAAGTTGAAAGTCAAGAGATTCAGGTTCTTTTCTTCTTGCCAATACTCTTTATCAATTATTTCCTATAAATCCTGTTTGTAAATACCCATATTTACCAATATTGGTTATTATTATAAACCAGGTCGCTTTAGAGAAGCAAACAAAGGAAATAGAAGAGAAACGTAAAGATGTCATGGCTGATCTCGCTCAAGTGGAACCAGCTGTTATTGAAGCGCAAAACGGTTTGATCCTTTGTATTATTACACTTACAGTAGTTTGTACGGAAACTCCCATCCCAATATTGACCTGACTAATTACTTGATATAATGCTTTGAAATTGCAAACCCCGCTTCATATAATAGTATTTTTTCTATGCTGTTTCAATTGCAAAAGTAAGCAAAGATATATTATTTAACGTGATGTTATAATATTTTTATTATCAGAATACTTATTCTGGTTGGAGCTGGCCAATACGTGACTCACTTGAAATATCATAGTTATATCCTCAAAGACATAAGTTTAAACAATGAATAATTATATATGTAAGTTTTGCGTTATTTAGTGACCAATGCGAAAGGAGTGCCGAAAATATTGTGTACATGAACAATGACGTCACATTCTTGTTTGTATGTTGCCTATTATGAGATTAAAACACTTGTAAGATATATGACGTCATTGAACTAACTTAGTATAAAGAGTAACCGAAGCCGATCCCAAACAGCGGTACGGTCTATCAAGAAGCAACAGCTCGTGGAGGTTCGGTCGATGTCGAATCCGCCGTCCGTAGTAAAAATGGCGCTCGAGTCAATCTGTGTCCTGCTCGGGGAGAAAGGGGACACCTGGAAGGGCATCCGTTCCGCCGTCATGAAGGACAACTTCATTTCCACTATTGTTAACTTCGAGACTGAGAACATCACGTTAGTGTCGCTCTACCCGCAGTACAAAGGCTTTACGGCATTTGAATCTACAATGCTTAGTTACACCGCCGTAAAAAAAATATACCTAAAACAACCCTTATAGGAATTTAAAAAAATTTAGACAAAATTATCTGATCGTAAAGCCTATGTGCTATTAATACTTCGAAGAACATTCATTTTTTTGTTACAAACATCACAGAATTATGACACTGTAGATAGCAAGCGTTCTTCATGTTACTCAGTCTCATATTTATTGGCAAAAACATAGAGTAATTAGTGCATTGAATGATGTAAATCTAGATGTTGAAGTATGTTGTTACTAAATGATTGTATCCGACACGTACTGTAGTTAAGTTGTTAATTTTCTACGAATGAAAATATGATTTCTTAGACATAACGTTATTGTAAATACGCTACGCTTGCTCGCATATGTGACTGTTGTTATTAATATAAAATATAACGCTGTAAACACAATGTATCGGCATCCTCGTGAGCACTAATAACCCGATAATGTCATGTGACTAACACTGCTCAGCATCGTTTAGGATTGTAATTAACCATTGTCAAAATCGGCAAACTCGTGTCATAAGAGAATAACGCCAGCCGCATGTGACACGGTCAGCTGCGACTCAACTACACCGAGACATAATAACATCGGTTACAAAGTTCACGGATAAGAGAAACGTCATATCCGTATTAAAAATTTAACGGACGGTCAACTTTAACCCACGTCATTATTACTTGGTGAAATTGGGTCTAAATTAGCTTTTTTGTTTCTATCTTTTTTGTACCCTCTCGCTCTCGCTTGGTGGTGTGCGGCGCGATACAGCCGTGAAATCTATTAAGAAGCAACACCTCGTGGAGGTCCGGTCCATGGCGAATCCCCCGGCGCTGGTGAAGGTGGCCCTCGAGTCCATTTGCCTGCTCCTCGGCGAGAACACGACCGACTGGAAAGCGATACGCGCCGTTATCATGAGAGAGAATTTCATCAACAGCATCGTCTCGAACTTCTCCACTGAGGATATCACGTGAGATCAGCCTAACACGCTTTTCAACTCCGATCCAATCCTAAAAATCCTGTTTAATCCAAATGGGGAATTACTTGTCAACAGAAGATGAAGATTCAAAGTTTTTTGGAGTACATATTACGTTCTTAATTTTTTATATATGGATGATAACCTACATTTATTGAATTTAGCAATTATTATGTAGTGTTGATAGTTTTCTTTAAATTCTGTTTGATAAGTGATGTCTAGCAAGGGTATTTTTGTGTCTGGAACATCCGATACCAAAAAATCTACACAATAATATAGAATTACTCTTTAGTGTCGATTTATTGGTTCACTACAGACAAAATAATACGCTTTCCTATTGAATGTGGTTTAGTTTCATAATTTTAGGCAATTTGCTTGCTTGTTGCATGGTGTGCTATGAAAGCATTTTGGGTTTTTTCACTGTTCGAAAAGGTAGGAAGAGGGAATTTTTTGTGCACTTGTAAATTTAGCATGATTTGGGATTGTCATACAGGTTATTGGAATGTTCTCGAAGGTTTTCACATAAACTACCTCAATAATATAAGATAATAATATTCGGAATATACAAAATCTCTAAAACTCAGTCGGTTTTGGTTATATATCTACCGTCTTATAACACCATAACTGATTTTAAGCCCGCAATATTAAATACGTAAGTTGCATGAATGTATTTGCCAATAAATATCTATTGTCCGTCCATTTTAAAGGTTTAAAGGAATTTTCAAATCACTAATGGCAGTGAGTTTTTTTTGCTTCACCTTAGTTCGTGTCAGAATATGTTTGCTATCTATTTTATTTAAAAGCATTGTTTTTTATTTGCTGCGTACAAAGTGACGTCCATTCCATTTTCATTTTATTTTTTTGGTTAAAGGAATATTTGCATGAATCAATTAGTTTTTTTTTTTGGTTTTGGTTCATTTTACGCATACAATTTTCACATATGATGTTACTTTTTTACGCCATCATTTTAATGCATTTCGTGTGTCGTTAGTGACGACGTTCGGGAAAAGATGAAGACGAGGTATCTTAGTAACCCGGATTACAACTTCGAGAAAGTAAACAGGGCTAGTATGGCTTGCGGTCCTATGGTGAAATGGGCCATTGCTCAGGTAATCCTGCAAATGATCTTTCTAATTAAATAAAACACAATTTTGATCCTGTTGAAAATCTCAAAACAAAAGCATATCGTCAATAACTTAATAAAAACGCTTATCTATTTACATTTAATACTACTATGCAAGTATGTTTTGTAGATTGAATACGCTGACATGTTAAAACGTGTTGAGCCGTTGCGTAATGAACTCCAAGCTCTGGAAGACCAAGCGCAGACGAACGTAAAGGCTGGAGATGAAGTGCGTGACTTAATAGCGCAGTTGGAGAAGTCAATCGCCTCATACAAGGAGGAATATGCACAACTCATCAGTCAGGCACAGGCGATCAAAACTGATCTGGAGAATGTTCAAGCTAAGGTACTGTTTAGAAATAATCAAGTCATAAAATAATATCTGCACTAATATATAAAGCTGAAGAGTTTGTTTGTTTATATTACGTTTAAACGCGCTGATGTCTGAAACTACTGGTTCGAATTAACGGGGAAAATTATTTATACTTGTGGGTTTTCGATGCGTACGCTGCAAAAACGTATCTTGAAAATGTCTATTTTGAAAATTACAAGAACGACTGGACGCGGACGACGTCGTGGGTAGAGCTTAAATTCATAGAGTTAAACACGAGGTTTGCAAAAAACAAATTTGGACCCTGAATAACGATTATACGCGGACAAAGTCACTGACACAGCTAGTTATGTAGATAAAACATTTATATAAGTTAATAATTAATTATTCATATTGTTTTTAGGTGGACAGATCAATAGCTCTCTTAAAGAGTTTGGTAATAGAACGCGAAAGATGGGAATCGAGCTCGGAAACTTTCCGTTCCCAAATGAGTACAATTGTGGGTGACGTATTGTTATCGGCCGCTTTCATAACCTATGGCGGTTACTTTGACCAACATGTAAGTATTATTCTCTTTTGAAAACGTATATTTGTTTCACATGTTATTGCACGTGATGGCACAATAAAAAATAAAATTATTATAATTTGACAAAAATTAGGACTCTGGTGAACCGGCATCCACGGCATTCAGCGCTGTAGCTCCAACCAATTGAAGTACCGAGTCCTACACGTAGAATTTTTTTCAACCTACCAAAACATGCACTTCTCGTTCAATGTAATTTCAGCCTTAACACTTGCGAATTAAGATTAAGTTTGAAATTTATTATTCTCTTCCCATTATATATCTCGTGATTACATTAACCATATGTTATTGGTGTTCTTCAGTATCGTCAAAACTTGTTCTCGACCTGGACGGCACATTTGGCATCTGCTAATATCAAATATCGTCCAGAAATTGCCCGAACGGAATACCTCAGTAACCCAGATGAAAGGTTGCGTTGGCAGGCGAACGCTCTGCCTACCGACGAGTTGTGTGTTGAAAATGCTATTATGCTGAAGGTGAGGACTTGTACGTATGTAAGTTTACCACGAATTCTCGTAATTATAGAGTAACAGTTACGTTTCATTTCTAGCGCTTCAACCGTTACCCACTAATCATAGACCCGTCAGGACAAGCGACTGAATTCATAATGAGAGAATTTAAAGACAGGAAAATCACGAAAACTTCTTTCCTGGACGATTCGTTTAGAAAGAACCTGGAGTCGGCTTTGCGTTTCGGTAACCCGCTGCTTGTCCAGGTAAGCAAATAGACTTAGCACTTTGAAACTTTGTATAGGTTTTCCTGCAAACTATTTGACGTATCATTGGTTTTAGGATGTGGAAAATTATGACCCGATTTTGAACCCTGTTTTGAATCGCGAGCTGCGACGTACCGGTGGGCGTGTCCTGATAACGCTAGGAGATCAAGACATTGATTTGAGTCCTTCATTTGTTATATTCCTCAGTACAAGGTAAGTTCAAATAGAACTACCATAAAATATAGACATTACGAACAAATAACTCTTGGCTTAGTGGAGGAACGCTCAACATTCGAAAATGTTATCAGTCTTGATAGCAAAACGTCCAGAACAATTTCTCAATGACAACAGAAATAAGCAATTTTTTCATATTATTACGCAGCTCTGAAGTTGTTACATTATATTAATAATTATTATTTAATTTCTACAGGGATCCAACCGTAGAATTCCCCCCCGACATGTGCTCTCGTGTGACATTCGTCAACTTCACTGTAACGCGGTCTTCACTTCAATCGCAGTGTTTGCATAGAGTACTCAAAGCAGAAAGACCAGACATTGACACCAAACGGTCTGATTTACTTAAGTTACAAGGTAAATGTCACTCTTTTTCAAGGATTAATTAATTTTTAAAATTTTCAGTCGCCGATAATATTCTGTATTCCAGGTGAATTCCACTTACGTCTTCGACAACTCGAGAAGTCGTTGCTTCAAGCATTGAACGATGCTAAGGGCAAAATATTAGATGACGATTCGGTTATTGCTACTCTTGAAACGCTCAAGAAAGAGGCTGATGACATTGGTCAAAAGGTATTTTTTAGAACAATATTAAAAAAAATATATAAGAGATCTGTTACTGCAATATTTATATTGGAATTACTATTTTAGGTGGAAGAGACCGATAAAGTCATAGCTGAAATTGAAACTGTCAGTCAGCAATACCTACCCCTTTCACAAGTAAGTTATTAATTTTTAATTAGTTGGTCCGGCAAGCGTTATCTTGTTGTTGGCGAGAATAATATTATTGTTCATACAGGTGCAACACATAATTAATTAAAGGAGGAGGAAAATAAAAACATTTCCTCCCACCTCAGTCCCTTTGAAGTCCTCAAAGATGAATAATTTTCCCCGTTTTAATTTTTTTTTTTTCAATTTTCCACTGTCTTTTGGATTCGAAGCAGTCGTTCCTGAGATTTTCTCTTTTAAAGGAACAAGCACTTGACGCTTATAGTATACGTATAGATTAAATAATATTTAACTGTTTATTAATTTAAATTTATATTATTTTTCTCTAGGCGTGCAGCAGCATCTACTTCACAATGGAGTCGCTGCACCAAGTTCATTTCCTATATCAGTACTCGCTGAAAATGTTCCTGGATATCTTCAGTTCAGTTCTTGTGTCGACTGCGCTCAACGGCCTGTCTGACTACACCGCTCGTTTGAAGATCATCACTGACGAATTGTTTACCGTAAGTATACGAATTTATTTGACATTAAACGCGACATAAATCGGAGACAATTTATTTCTGATGGTATGACAATAAATTCTATTGACTAATTAATATAAGTATATACTTTGAATTCTAAAAAATAACTTCTATTATTTGGATTATTTTGAGACCCCATACGTGTTACGTTTATTGTACTGTGGTCTATGCTTTCTTATTTTTATAATATAATTGTTAAAATATTTGCAGATACATATATACTGAACTGTGTATATATTAATAAAACTTGTGTATATTTCATGGATCATATATATTTAGCATAGAATTACGTGAATAATATTCTTTTAATTGGCAGACTGTGTACGAGCGTGTAGCCCGTGGAATGCTTCACACAGACCGGTTGACGTTCGCTCTACTCCTCTGCCGCATTCAACTAAAGGGCGCAGGCGCATCGGATACATTGGACCAACAGTTCGCCGTTTTCCTTCGAGGCCGAGAAGGTTTCGTGTCATCCTCTGTACAGCCGCCGCTCGACGCGTTGACACCACAGCAGCACGAAGCTGCTGCAAGACTTAGCTCTAGGTATGCTAACAAATAAACGATTATTTCTTAAACTAAATAAACCTGTTTATCTAAGATGTACAAGTTTATTCTTATATTCTTATTTTTTCATCAATTAAGCGATCGTAGACAAATACGATTCAGCAGGATATTTACGACAGCGGAGGACAGACAAACGTGTGGTTCACTTGTAGATACATCTGCCATAACATCTAAAACGATACGCTGTTGACCTATTTTGGCTTTGGATATTCGGAAATCCACAGACTGAAACCAAAACGCGATTAATCATGATGGATTTTACTCTCTGGTTTTTTTAGGCTGGGTTTACCCGGGCGGATTGTTCGGACGAAGTCCTACATGTTTTACAAAAAAATATAAATTTATTTACAAAAATCTTAGAACCAGTGGGAACCGGCCCGGGCCCGTTGATAGTTAACATTGCTATCATTACAGCTATCTCTCATTTTGTCAAGTATTCCTAGTTTGTTATCATACTTGTTATAATTTTTTCAGATTGGTCGCGTTCCGCAATCTGCTTGAAAAGGCAAGATCGCTGCCGGAGCTAGGAGCGTGGCTCTCGCAAGCTGCGCCCGAGCAGTGTGTCCCAACACTTTGGGACTCGGAGACTACTGCGCCGGAGCAGCCGCACACTCTTGCGATGGCTCGACTTCTACTTATACAGGTACGTGACAATTTCAAATAACTCTATTTAGGGTTCATACTTTGTGGAATCAAGCTATTTGTTTTTAAGTAGATACTCTACCTACGTTGTGTATATTATGCTACGCGATATAAGTAAATTGTTTTGCATAAATTAAAAATCGATTATAGCATGAAAAAAATTTACGACACGGACTGGACTTGAACCGGCATCACAGCATTGTAATATCAACTTTAACACTTGCGTATTAGGCGTATTAGTGCCATTGGGTGCAGTAACATGTGAAAAATATAAAACTTTTAAATATATCGTTTTGTTTAAATTAAATTACTTTTATCTCTTTTTCCGAAATGGAAATTAATAAAAAAAAACAATTGCCAGTCGCAAGCTCTAATTCATTTTGTTAACACTCACGTTATTCCCTTTGCTTACAGGCATTCAGGCCCGACCGTGTCATCGCGGCTGCCACCCAACTGGTAGCGTCAGTTCTAGGACAGTCGTTCATGGCCCGCGCAGAAACGGAACTGGAATTAACTACCCTCACTGAAACCGAATTAAACGCCACGACCCCGGCGTTGCTTTGTAGTGTACCCGGATATGACGCTAGTGGTATATATCTGTTGTATTAAGATTCTATAAAAATAAACCACAGAATAAAAACACTTCATACTTCAATTCACGCGATGGTCTTTTATCATATTTACCATTTTTACCCAGGTCGTGTGGATGACATGGCTACGGAACTAAATAAGCCACTCTCAAGCATCGCTATAGGTTCCGCTGAAGGTTTCAACCAGGCTGAACGCGCAATCAACACCGCTTGCAAGTCGGGCAGGTACGGCAGTTACTACGTATAATAATTTTACACAAGAAAACCCGTTAATGTATTAAAGAACTCTTTTACTTAGATTAAATTGGATAATTAATTTTGTGTCAATGTTTTTAGATGGGTGATGCTCAAGAATGTACACCTAGCCCCTGTATGGCTAGTCCAGCTGGAGAAGAAACTTCACTCTCTACAGCCCCACCCGAGCTTCAGGCTGTTCCTCACCACAGAGATCAGTCCTAAGCTACCTGTCAATCTACTGAGGGCGTCCCGTGTCGTTGTATTTGAACCGCCACCTGGCATTCGCGCCAATTTGCTCAGGACATTCGCTACAGTATGTAAAAAAATTAATTACAATAATAAACAAAAAAATAGTTTAAATATGTTTTACACTTCAAGAACTTTCTACAAGCTCTTTTATGAAAATAATCTATATGACGTTTTAACTTTATTGTTATTTTACAATATTTAATTTTAAATTTAATAATAGTGCTTGCCTACTATCAGGTACCAGCTGCGCGTATGATGAAGCCGCCATCAGAGCGGGCAAGGCTTTACTTCCTACTGGCTTGGTTCCATGGTGAGTTTGTACACCGTTTAGGTTATATTCGCAACAGAAACTGTTTTGAAATCCATGTACTTAATTAATCTTTAGACAGACTATATTATAGGCGTTAGTTTAATGACTATCCAATATATTCCGAATATCCAAAGTCAAAATAGGCTGCAGCACATCCGAACTATTCTTAGTACGAATTTTCTTTCAATTGGACCAGTACATACCGACCGTAGTGCGTTGAACCTAACATTTTTTTAATTTTTTAACTCAACTTGTCTATTTGAAGGCATCGTGCAAGAGCGTCTCCGCTACGTACCGCTCGGCTGGGCGAAATACTATGAGTTCAATGAGTCAGACCTCCGCGTGGCTTGCGACACACTCGACACTTGGATTGATGCTACTGCTATGGTGCGCTATTAAATTAGATACTACATTAATGTTACAAGTTAAATACACAATACTTAAATAGTTCACATTATTTTAAGACAATTGATTACCTTTGTTACTGTCACTTTTCTGACTTTTGAAATAAAACACTTTAACGGTTTAAAACGCAGTACATATTAGTTAAACTAATTTGAAAATTATTTAACTACGGCCCGACGTTTTGGAGGAGACTCCCCGTGACCACGGCTGCTGCAAAGCACCATTTAACTAATTTATATTGCGTTTTAAACCGATAAGTGTTTTATTTGAATGTGTACTAGTATTTACTTCTCTGACTGTTTGGTTTTTTTTACAACAATTTTGAAGATAGTCATTTGGGAATCACTTGAAATTAATTAAAAAAAATCGCCTAGCTCTGTTTGTATAATAGTAATTAATTAAACTAAAATAATTTCACAGGGACGTACCAACCTACCACCAGAGAAAGTACCGTGGGAGGCAATCGTCCGTCTTCTATCACAGTGCATCTATGGTGGTAAAATCGATAACGCGTTTGACCAGCGCTTATTGCACTCGTTCCTCACCAAACTTTTCACACCGAAGTCCTTTGAGGCGGACTTTGCTCTGGTTGCAAATGTGGATGGGGTGAGTATATTTGGTTATTAATATCTTTTCTTATTTAGGAGCAGAATAAAAATATTAATTATTAATTTCTTAGTTAAAAGCACCGATTCTTCGTCCAAATAATATCATACTATAATATCCTGTGTTTAACTAATGCATACGAATTATTACATAGAGATTAATTCATATTTTTAAGGCAAGTGGAAACCAGCGTCACATCACCATGCCAGATGGGAATAGACGTGATCACTTCTTCAAATGGATTGAGGAGTTGTCTGACCGGCAATCTCCCTCTTGGCTTGGCTTGCCGAACAACGCCGAAAAGGTAATAAAACAACTTGACTTTTCCATTAAGGTCATGCAAAAATGACCATTCGCCCTTTTTTACTTAGATGAAAATGATAACTTATCAGTAAGAATACTCTACGATTGTGTTCTAACAAAAGGTACTGCTGACCACACAAGGAAGCGATCTTGTATCTAAACTCTTGAAGATGCAGCAGCTCGAAGATGAAGAGGAACTTGCTTATAACGCAGCCAATCAAGACGATCCAGCCAGTAAGTTTTTGATGTCTAAATATGTTATTTGAGACGTGACAATATTTATTTCAATAACGAACATAGTATTTTCCACACTTAGGCTGAAAAGTGTAATGTCATTCATAAACAAATTTATCTTTTAATATTTTCAGATTTGATAGTTGTGGAAGGCGATGGTCGCCCAGCCTGGATGAAGTCCCTTCACCAGACCGCTACAAACTGGCTTCAAGTTTTACCTAAGGAGTTGCCTGTATGTCAAATAACCACCTACTTTAATTTATGTTAACACTTATTTTGATCAATGGTAATTGCGAAGTGAAACTACTTAGTTAAATTGCACTTAATTATTTCTTAATTTTTTGCATGTTGTGAATGTAAATTTTTAGATTCAAGTCTTAATCAGAGATATGATCATTTTTTTTAAATTACTAGACACTGCGTCGTACTGTTGAGAACATAAAGGATCCATTATACCGTTTCTTCGAGCGCGAAGTGGCGGCCGGTGCTGCTCTACTACAACAAGTGCTCCACGATTTAAGGAATGTTATTGCTATTTGTCAGGTAATTTTTTTTTTACTCTTACCAGAAATAGGCGACTTATTAGAATCAATTTGGATTCATTTTGATTTTGGTCCTTCAAGCCAGATAACTTCCTTTTTTTTTCAGGGCGAAATGAAACAAACAAATGAGACGCGAGCAATGGTAGGGTCGTTAGTGCGTGGTATGCTCCCGAGCGGATGGCGACGTTACGCCGTGGCCCGCGGTTGTACAGTACAGCAATGGGTGGACGACTTTGCTCGTCGTGTCATGCAACTGGCCACAGTTTCGGAAACAGTCTGCGAACGTGGTGCTAAGAGGCTTCAGGTGATAAATATAATTTTCTTATTTTAGAATTGTTTTCAATGATAAAGAAGGACGCAAGCATGGAGCCCACTTGATGGCAGGTGAAATACCCCAGCCATATGTCATCTAAGAAAAATGCGCTGTCGACTTATTTTGGCTTTGGATATTCGAAAATATACAATAATTTTATAAAAGCCTATTAGTCTATCCCTGATTTGAACTCGAAAACACATATAATGATAAATGCAAGACAACACATCTACATACACTGGCATGGTGTTTTCGAAAAAAGACATCGTTCCAACAGCTTCTTTTAATTTTTATGTGAAATAAAATTATATACAATAATAAACGTATTGCTTTTTTTAGAGCATTCCTGTATGGTTGGGAGGTTTACTCAACCCGGAGGCCTATATAACGGCCACTAGGCAATGTGTCGCGCAGGCAAACTCGTGGTCCTTGGAAGAACTCAATTTACAGGTAAAAAAAATAGACATATTAAATTTTACATACAAGCATACGTAATATCGGAATGAAAAAAATCGTAGAACTCCATGGTAATAAAAACTGTTTTTCGTTTTGCAATTTTCAGGTGACCATCCCGGACCCAGGTGTGGAGACGGACAACGCTCAAACCGAATGGTCGTTCAGCGTGACAGGCCTTAAGGTCCAGGGTGCCACGGTCAAAGGCAACCGTCTCTTACTCACTAATACCATCATGGTGGATCTACCTCTCACCGTTCTAACTTGGATACGGTAATTTTATTTATATTGTTTTGGTATATTGTATGACAGGCAACTGAAAGTCGCAGAGGGGCCAATAACAACTAAAAGTATTTTTAATCATGAATGCGCTATTAATTAGGCGAAAATGAACTTGTACTTTAGCCCACTGTGCTCTTCACTTGCACGCTCCTAAAGGCCCGCCACCCAGAAGTCAAACCTGCTTGCTTTTTTTGATAAATTTTTAATCTATGTGAAATTCATAAAATACATATAAGTGTTCAAAAAAACACTTTTTTTTACAGCGGCCCAGAGCCGGCGAGTTGCGGTCAGACGCTAACACTTCCAGTATACTTGAATAGCGCTCGTTCGGAATTATTATTTACTGTTCGTTTGCCAATCGCACCTGGCCAAGAACCGCATGCGTTCTACGAACGAGGCGTCGCACTTCTCACATCTACTGCACTTAATTAAGAAAAACGCGTTATTAATTAAATCTACAAGATACTTATTATAAAAGCACATGTAATCCCATGTAGTATTTATTATTATTTATGAATATTCACTAAATGCACGTTATGTAATTGCTCTATAGAGTAGAGTAATGTTTATTGTATTAATGCTTTCAATATATTACAATCATATTTGTTCGTTTTATTTTAGCTTACGTGTTCTTTGTCCATAACTAGATAAAATAAAATTTGTCTTGATATCTATATGAAGAATACAAAGTGAAACAAAGGATATACCATACAATGAAACGGTAATAATCTAAATTTAATTCTTTAAAGTACTATTCTTAAGTCTATACAATGAGAATAATTTAAAACTACAGTTGACTACTGCCTTGGATTACGGATTTAATGCCCTGTGGTTTTTGTTTTGGCAATCTGAAAAAAAAGAGATTTTTTAAGAAGCAAATTGTCCTTAAAATCAACAAATAATATGTCGCACGTTAATCTGGCGGTCTCGGTTATTATTACTTATTCAGTGTAATGTCATCAACCCGCAATGTAGCAGTATGGTGGGTCAAAGCCCATATAAGCCAATATGAGAGACAGGTCTCGACTCTGCCCAGCAGTCTGACCTTAATAGGTTACAATCAAAAATATGTGTATTGTTTACAAGATTGCAAGTTATTTAAATAAAACACTCTTAACACTTTTAAACGTGATTGTTAAGCTCATTTCAATTCATTTTAACTATTATCCCTCTCGTGACCACGGCTACTGCTAAGCATCCAAAATATCAGGTCTAAATTTATAAGTTAAACTCATACATTTCGCCTTTCAAATAGTTAGTGTTTCATTAATTAAATGGGGACTTGTGTACCTTGTGTATATAATCTTGCGCGGTGAAGAAGGATGAACGAGATCGTGATGTCGCTCCCACGCAAGGTATTTCTGCTGCATCCGTTGGCGACGTCGATCCACGTAGCTGATCTAGATGTGTATATAATGATAGTCTTTATTAAAAATATAAATAGAGCAAAGGTATAATTTTTAAAAGGACGCCACTTAAATAACTGCTAGACCAATATGTACATAAATACACGTGAATAAATGCAAACTTACGACACAACTTGCGGGTATCCAGATAAATGCCGTTGCCAGCACTACAACACCGACGATGTTGTCCCTCAGAAATCCCAACACATTGTTTATGTTAATGTCCTCAATTATATCCCAGAACCGCTCCACCACATCCTGAATTGTTTTCTCGCAGACGCCCTGAAGAATGTAAAATTCGTCATGTTAGTATTAATATAATAATTTACGAAAAGTTTCGCCTTATTAAAAATAACTCTAAATCAAATAAGTTCATTATTTTTAAGATAATAAAAAACTTAATTACTAACTATATTTTAATAATTCAAAAGTAATTTTTATATCCTAGTACTTTAGTATTTCTCACATTTTATTGTACCAGATGACACTATAATACAGTGAACTATTGATATTGGGTTGAACAATTTGTTAAAATACCGTGGGATGCCGGTTCAAGTCCTACCCGTGTTGTAAAAATTGTATACATTAAACGGTCATAGTTAATTAGTGTATAGAATTCGAGCGTGAGTAACACTGTAATAATTATAACAATACAAATTTATACAAAATACCTTGTTGCAAAATCCCTGAATGCAAGGCGTGCCGTCTGGTAGTATGTCATTGTGAGCAACCGGGAAGCAAGTCTTGTTTAAACTCTTACGGCAGCAACGCTTGCACGCATCCGCAACTAGAAGATGAATTTGATTACATTTAAACTGCCAAAATTCCGCCATAAGATGTATTATCTATTAAAACCGTTAAATCATCCGTACTTTATGGATGTAATTTGCAATATCCCATGCATGCCAGTCCTTCGTATCATAAATAAAGAATTAGTTTTTGTAGATACGCTGTGCCAGTATTAAAGATTCCATATTCTATTTTTGCGCCACATTTTTATCTTTTAGTTGTCTGTATATAAATGATTGTACTATTACTGTGTTCAAGAGTGTTGTTTTGACTATAGCCACTAATATAATCTGTGGATTGCCTACTGAAACGGAGAAAATTTCGAGGATACGATGTCTATGTCCGCTACTACAGAATATAATTATTAATTCATACCTATATCGCACATGCAACTGTGCATCCCCTGTGTCTCGCAATATGGTACGCAGCTACCGTTCCTACATCGACCCCGTTCTAGACATTCGTGCTCATCCGCTATTGCCGGAGCCTGTTAAAAACAAAAGAATAAATTATTAAAATGCTGAAGGATTTAAATACATATGGTAATAGAACATCAAAGAATTATATATTCGTACATATGTAAGTCAAATATTTCACGAGTTGCTTTATTGATGAAAATTATTTTTTATTATAATTGATCAAAATGGGCGAACCTTGGTCTAATAGTGTATATACGGCTAGTAACTAAAGGCCCAACAGCTTAAGGAGTGCAAATAATTAACATAACGTTTTTTGCCATGTACAGCTAATAATAACCGGGCCTTCGCTTCGATTCTTACAGGGTCTAACATGTTTATAGTAGATTTATAATTTTTCTGCAACCTGTTGCCCGTCATCTTGAAATATATTAAATAATAAGAATATCGAAATGCCGTCCGGATCACAAAGTTTTATCGTGTATAAAAAAATAGCATCGTACAATAGATTGACACCGTTCTAATTTAGCTGTTACCTGGCAGTTGTATTTCACACTGTTTCTCAATCATAAAAAAACATGTTGGACACCGTGTGGGGAACCTGCGTACTAAATGGGCCGTATCTTAATTCTGACCAAATCATGAACAACCTTAGGACAATCAGCAGAGGCACCATTACAAGTGGCCTCCCCCTCGCAGGCAGAATGCGCCGCCTCTCGGCACACCACGCCCGGTGGGGCAAACACGCAACCCGCGCAACACGGCGAGTTCTTGTCGCTACAAACGGCGCCTTGGCTTCGACGGAGCTTGCAATTCTTGTCACAACACATGTCGTTGTCCTCCGTACCTGATGCAGAAGTAATCTATACATTTTTTGTTTAATTTTTACAATACTAGGTGTAATTAAAATAAAACGGTGTAACTTGTAAATTTTCTTTAAATAATTGAAAGCTATATATATATATAGGACGAAATTGAAAATCCCAACCACATACGACTGGACGACAATTATTATTGATAGGCAAAAAGTTATGGTTTAATAGTCTTACCGAATAAAAAAGTTACTAGACTATCCTAAAAGAGATCAACCAACGCTTGATCGAACGGGCTTAGAAAAAACGACTTCGTCGGAAATAAAGGAAAACCTTTCACATAAGCTGTGTTGTTTGTTGTATACCATTATCTACCACTTATTGTGTCTGTTTGTATACGATTCTTGTTGTGGTTAGTATTTAGTATTGTAATTATAATTTATTGCATGCTTTTTATTGTTACTCTTTACTTGTTAATTTGGTTATCTCCTGTCCACAAAGATTGCCTAGAAGAAATCTCCATAGGCGATAAGGCCGTCCTTGCACTAACTTTTTATCCAAATTAGTTATTTAGTATTTCTACTTGATTTTGCAATGTATTATTATAAGCTGGCAACCTTAAAACTAACCAGAAAATTTTATTACCAAGTAATCCGGCGTCGCATTCCTCGCCACCCTCCACACGCAAGTTGCCACAGAAGCTCTCCTCTGGTTCTGAGAAGCATCGGCCCGATTTAGCCTGCAACACTTTGCGGATCGACCGCAGGCTGCACGGCGAAAATCTCTGCAATACGCATTTTAAATTAATTATGATTTTTTAATTTCAAAAATAATAGTTTTATTAAAAGTATAGTCTTCGCGGCCATTTTGCCACTATGGATCATATTTGTGCAAGCTGTACTATCATAGGCCTTGAATTTTAAAATTAAACAATTTATTTGTTGTTCTAAATAACATATAGGCTTTTGCCTGCGGCTAATTAGTTTTAATGAAAAGAAAAAGACAACAGCCACCGTTTCGCGAAAGAAGCATTTTTATATTAGACTATTAATGTTAGACAGGTGTATAAACGTTTATCATTCAATCTAGTAAAAAAATACCTTGTTATTGAGGTCGTATCCGCTGACACTATACGTGTACATTAGATACGATCCGCCGTGACTAGCAGCGGGCGAACATTCAGCCACATCTGGGTCGTGCTCCGAGCCCCAATTGTGGCCGAACTCATGGGCCGTCACTAGATCCGCCTCGCGAGTGATCACGCGTTGCCCATAATGGTTACGAGATGAGCTCAGACCGGAGTTCAAATATAGCGTATATCCATTCTTGAAGTATTCTGAGAGGTAATCATAAGAACACATACAGTGGTAAATTTGGTATAGATGCCATTATGAAAATATATATGTTTTCCAGAAGTTGATGCACTTAATAGCTTATTTAACTTTAAGTACGATTTTTAAATATAAGATATCAAAGAATATTAACTAATAAAATAAGCGATAGTACTGATACTAAACTGTACAACAATTATCCCAACACCTTCTTTAGTAAAAAAACATATTACATTGAATAAAAAATATTATAGAAAAATGATAAAAGATATTCAACAAAATAATAAGAAAGCAAACATAAAAAGACACTCACATTTCGCACCACAGAGCTGAAATAAAAATAAAATAAAAAATTAACACTAACTCTACATAAAAATATAGTAAAATAAAAAATAAACACCATATACAATTTTCTCAATTCTGTAACTCTTTACCTGGTGTACAAATTCCACCAACGGAGTTCCTGCGCGGCGACCCGACGTACGCTAAGCCCAAGATACCTCCTTCGAATTTAAGGTCCGTGAACAAGTGAGCCAGGCAGAAATCCTTGTGAGAATATTCTCGACTGAAGACCTGAACACAACAAGCCAACTAGGTAGTAAGCTTCTAAGTTAACCACAATTTCTTGTTTGTTAAAAAATATGTATATAAATAAAACACTTTGACGGTTTAACCCGACAGTGACCACGGCTGCTGCAAAGCATCCGAAACGTCGGGCCGAAGTTAAAAATCATATTCAAATAAGTTTAACTAATATATCTCGTTTTAAACCGTTAAAATATTTTATTTAAATGTGTACTACTCGCGTAAACTATAGACACTATTTAAAAAATATGTATAAAAGAATCTTTAAAGGATATAAAAAAAATCCGTGACAATTTTACTTGCAAAAACGACGAGACGCGACGAACGTCGGGTAAAAACTATAATTTATAAAGATGAGAAGGTTTGCAAAAACAAATTTTGACGCCCAAAATATTTGTATGCGGAAAAAATCGTTAATACAGCTAATTATTTATATAATCTCTACCTGGTATACTATTGTCCATTTCTTGTGTGGCTCCTTTCTTTTGGATTATTCAAAAATATGTAACGATTTAATATATAAACGAGGCTATACCTCTAACAAGTTCCGAACGTCCCACTTCTCTCGGACCATGTTGTAATGCGCTTCTCCACCCCGGACTCGAGTAGGCTCCGAGTGGACTAAGATCTTCTTTATGACGAAACCCATTCCCTTAAATCCGTCCATATCCTAAAAAATTCAACAGTCAAAACTACTAAATTTAATTAATCACCATCATTATACTCACACTGTGGTACTTTGTGGGAAATTACCTAACGGAGTACATAAAAACATATGTATTAATGTTTCATATCTTTTTCCTCTTATAAGTTTATTTAAAACAAGAAACAATTAAAAGTAGTAGTCTCACCTGTCTGTCCTGCCAAATAGTATCATTATAGATCTTATGGACGCGGTCTATAAGACTTATCTGAAATTACACAAGTTAAAGATTACATAGATTTATTTGTGCTACTTAGTATTTAAGAATGTATTGTTAAGACTATGCTATGATATTTTAAGCATTTAAATAAGTAACAGATAATAGACAACCCAAAAGGTTTTATGATTTTTAAGAAAGTTCAAGTTTAGAGTTTCTATATAAAATTATGAAGTGTATTTTTATATGAAATAAGTACTTTCATTGGGAACCACAGACTTACCAAGTAACTGATAGTAGTCTTAGTATTACTCGATCCCATTTCCTGGAAAAATCTATAGTCAGCTACAAGCAGTAAGGGGCAACGTGTCTTTGTTGGAGTGTACTCATAGTCACTTTGTCGCTTTACTCTCTGACCATTTCGCTTATTGGACCTGACATTACTTGACTCACTCTCTTTGTTACCACTCTGTGTGTATTCCAAGTATTTGTCTTTTTCTGACTGCTCTTGTATTGTTTCCAAGTCTTCATTGTCCTCTTCATCATCTTCTTCTAATTCTAACAACCAGGGGCAAATTAGAATTCACAATGTTACAAATAATCACATATATTGTTTAGATTAGTGCTTTAAGAGAGAACTGAACCAAAAGATACTTAAGTACTCAAAGGTAGAGCATTCCTGTTTAACTAAATTTAAGTTAAAAATTTATTCTCATTTCTATTTGTCCCTCTTTATTATACTTTATGCAACTAAATTAACTAGTAGGCCATAGAAAACAAAAAGTCATGAAAATTTAATGTAAAAACTTACCTTCCCCTTCTTTTACATACCCACACACCCGTGGTTTATTCCCACTAGTGTCCTGCCAACTAAAACGAATATCTGATGATCGGTATGTAATCATGCTTTTTCCATCTAAGTGGGGCAAGTGACGCCAAGAAGGCTGTATAATAAAAGATACTTATATTAAGAAAAAACTTTCACGAGTATAAATTAAAGTATGTGCAAGTGAGCTACAAAGAATACATATGTTATTATATTTCAAGTTCACTTACCTCAATATGATATGTTTCACCTGGAGTATGAATAATTCCTGTTATAACCCCATCTTCAATGTGCATTTTTACCTCAGAAGAACCCTCACCAAATACACGTCCAGCAAAAAAATTTTCACGATCTGTAATTTTAAAACAATAAATTATTTTTATTATGAAGTTGTTAAAAATTACTTTTGGATTAAGTCAATCAGATTTTTTATTGATCTATGTGTTTAGTATGGGACGGTGTTATAATATTTATAATTAATACTGGACTACACTTCTCACACAATGATAATTATGATGTTCTCCTTCATGACCATTATAAACAATGTTACTATAAATCAAGTTTAGGGAAGGAGATTAACTAAAACATTTTTTTATTCACTTACCAACATGAACCACTGTTGTATTTCCATTTCCATCTACAGAATATGCTTTAAAGTTAGAGTGTAATACACTGCTGTGTGGGTGAAGAATAAGCTTAAAATCTTTTCCAAGAGTGTGAAAATGAAGTTCCTTGATAACATTAAACGGATGTGACGAATATTTTAGTCCTCTCTTCACTATGTTATGTTTAAAGTTTGAGGCATGAAGAGTTTCAAAGTATCTCAAGTTATGATGTAAAGAACCTTAAAAGAACTCAAAATTACATTACTGGGAAAACATGTTCCACAAAATAATAAGGAACAATATCCAGTTATTAATTGTAAGATTCATGACCATTTATACTTACAACTAGCAAGACAAATATTAGCCAATAAAATAAAAATAGTCGGGTTCTTCATGCTATTGATTGCCATTTTTAACAATACGTTGCACTATATATTATATTCCTTAGTAATAATTTTCTGTAAAATAAGACTTATCGGTAACGTAACATAATAGTATTTGCTCATAAGAATTGTGTTTGTATGCACTTCTTCGGTTATAGTTCGGTATGCCACCACAGTGAAATTTCCATACAGTGAGTGACAGTTTCAAAAAATTTCTATGAAACTAGCGTCACGTAGCGTTTGGGGCCTGTAAACTTACTACATTGATTTACTCTGTTTGCTAGGGGATGACAGGAGTTATGATAAAAACACGACATAGATATTATGATAGACTCTATAAAAATATATGTAAACAATTTAAGTATACAGAAAAATTGTCTTATTTAATTATACAGAAAAATATTAAAAGATATCTGTATTTTTACATAGAAAGTATTTTTTTCGTATGGGAACTAAAATAATAGATGCATTCCCTTCGTAGTTAATACTTTTCCAAGTAACAGCATGGAAACTTAAAGACATAAAACAAATATTGCTATATCTGCTACTAGCTGCTTCAGCGACTTCGTCCGTTAGGAATTTTTATTTTGGGCATCCAAATTCGTTCTTACAAACCCCTTCGCCTTTATAAACTTAAGCTGTTACCAATGACGTCGGTCTGCCCTTCCCGTCGTTCTTGCAAGTTAATCTTAAAAGATAGACATATAGCATTGCGAATTTTTTCTTAGACCATTTGAAGAGGTTCTTTCATACATATTTTTTGGATATCTTGAACCGTTTTTGCAGCGTAGTCGCAACACGATGTGTTATACCAACAATGCTCTAGCAACTCGGTAGCTCAATTGGTAGAGCAACAGCACGGAACGCTGACGATGCCGATTCAAGTCCTGCCCGAGTCGAGATTTTATTTAATTTATTTTCATAAATTGAATAAAATCTCGATTTTAAAAATATTTGGTATTGTTGCGTAAAAAATAAAAGAATATATATTTGCTGTTGATTTTATTTTTATCAAAAATTTAAATGCCACCTCTCAACCTTAAAACTAGATGTAGGGTTGATTCTTTTTGGATGTTGTAGTCAGACAGTGTGCGGCCATCCTCTAGCTGTTTACCAGCAAAGATAAGTCTTTGTTGGTCCGGTGGAATTCCCTCTTTGTCTTGAATTTTAGCCTTTACATTCTCAATTGTATCTGATGGCTCCACTTCCAATGTGATGGTCTTCCCCGTCAATGTCTTGACAAAGATTTGCATACCTCCCCTCAATCTCAGAACTAAATGTAAAGTTGACTCCTTCTGGATGTTGTAGTCGGACAGTGTGCGGCCATCCTCTAGCTGCTTACCAGCAAAGATAAGTCTTTGTTGGTCTGGTGGAATTCCCTCTTTGTCTTGAATTTTAGCCTTTACATTCTCAATTGTATCAGAGGGTTCAACCTCCAATGTGATGGTCTTCCCCGTCAATGTTTTGACAAAGATTTGCATACCTCCCCTCAATCTAAACCAAATGTAGAGTTGACTCCTTTGATGTTGTAGTCGGACAGGGTGCGGCCATCCTCTAGTTGTTTGCCAGCAAAGATAAGTCTTTGTTGGTCTGGTGGAATTCCCTCTTTGTCTTGAATTTTAGCCTTTACATTCTCAATTGTATCTGATGGCTCCACTTCCAATGTGATGGTCTTCCCCGTCAATGTCTTAACAAAGATTTGCATACCTCCCCTCAATCTCAGAACCAAATGTAGAGTTGACTCCTTCTGGATGTTGTAGTCGGACAGTGTGCGGCCATCCTCTAGTTGTTTGCCAGCAAAGATAAGTCTTTGTTGGTCTGGTGGAATTCCCTCTTTGTCTTGAATTTTAGCCTTTACATTCTCAATTGTATCTGATGGCTCCACTTCCAATGTGATGGTCTTCCCCGTCAATGTCTTGACAAAGATTTGCATACCTCCCCTCAATCTCAGAACCAAATGTAGAGTTGACTCCTTCTGGATGTTGTAGTCGGACAGTGTGCGGCCATCCTCTAGTTGTTTGCCAGCAAAGATAAGTCTTTGTTGGTCTGGTGGAATTCCCTCTTTGTCTTGAATTTTAGCCTTTACATTCTCAATTGTATCTGATGGCTCCACTTCCAATGTGATGGTCTTCCCCGTCAATGTCTTGACAAAGATTTGCATACCTCCCCTCAATCTCAGAACCAAATGTAGAGTTGACTCCTTCTGGATGTTGTAGTCGGACAGTGTGCGGCCATCCTCTAGTTGTTTGCCAGCAAAGATAAGTCTTTGTTGGTCTGGTGGAATTCCCTCTTTGTCTTGAATTTTAGCCTTTACATTCTCAATTGTATCTGATGGCTCCACTTCCAATGTGATGGTCTTCCCCGTCAATGTCTTGACAAAGATTTGCATACCTCCCCTCAATCTCAGAACCAAATGTAGAGTTGACTCCTTCTGGATGTTGTAGTCGGACAGTGTGCGGCCATCCTCTAGTTGTTTGCCAGCAAAGATAAGTCTTTGTTGGTCTGGTGGAATTCCTTCTTTGTCTTGAATTTTAGCTTTTACATTCTCAATTGTGTCTGATGGCTCCACTTCCAATGTGATGGTCTTCCCCGTCAATGTCTTGACAAAGATTTGCATACCTCCCCTCAATCTCAAGACCAAATGTAGAGTTGACTCCTTCTGGATGTTGTAGTCAGACAGTGTGCGGCCATCCTCTAGCTGTTTACCAGCAAAGATAAGTCTTTGTTGGTCTGGTGGAATTCCCTCTTTGTCTTGAATTTTAGCCTTTACATTCTCAATTGTATCAGAGGGTTCAACCTCCAAGGTAATAGTTTTACCAGTCAATGTCTTCACAAAAATTTGCATATTGATCTGAAAAAAAATTAAGTCAAATTAAGTACAGTTCTTTGAAAGAAAGACGAAATACAAACAGACTTATTATTACAATTAAACCCTCATCGACAGCATAATTTACATATACATGTAACAGCGCATTACCTCTCGACTTCGACGTCCCTAACATGTACCTACTACGGAGGTAAGCAATTTCCTAGTGCTGCGTATTTTATTACGATGAAACAATACATAGAACAAAGGTTCACTGACAAAAACAGCAATGACCATTCTGTGTGTTAGATTCAGTCGCCATTTTGAAAGTGATTCATCCAATTTAAAGAACTGTAACTACGATATCTGTTATCATATTTATTTCGGGACCAATACTTTCTTATTAACATATAAAAATATATTTTGGTCCTCAAAACTGAATCAATAGTTAAAGATTGCAGATTTCTAAAATTTAGTTCAATAAACATGGCGTCGTAAGCAAAGATAAAATTTAAGCGCAAATTGTACAAAGAAGTCAACAATCAATCAAAAGTAAAATTCACATGTTATCTATTCGAGAAATGCGTATACAAAGTTTTCTAAAGGAAATCATACATTTATTTAGTTCTCAACATCTACTACGCAATAGGAAACTAACGTTGTGATACGTATTTATTCTAAATGCTTTAGATATCAATATTAGAGAATTAAACTTACCGTTAATGTAACACTGAAATATAAGGGAGCCAATAATGTACCAAAAATTTTATGGTGACTATTTAGGTCAGACGTTTCACTTTTTCACTTCTCAGTAATTAAAAATGATGTACTCTCTTGTAAATTCTTCTTATTAATGCAGAGAAAATCCAGAGACAATGCTTATATAGACTACTTGTTACGTCGATCAATAAAACGTCAACTCACTGAATAGCAATTGATATTAGTTAGTTATCTCTGTCTTTCACGAAAGAGAGAAGGAGGTAGAAATATAATTCTTCGAGAAATTTCATGCAGTTTGGAGAACAAAGTAGACTCATTTTCCTCGCTAAGAGGTTTAAAAACTAAACGGATTATTACAAATATATAAGAGAGTTTATATTTTCCAGAGAACAAAGTAAGTGACGCTAATACATGCGTCATTGCTACTGTTGGCAGTGGAGAAAACCTTTAATATTGTTTATTTCTTTTTGACTGATCAAAATCATATACGTTTCGATTGGTAATTAAAATTTGTTAGAAATACGAACAAAATTGTTATAATATTGCTATCTAACAATCATCATTGTTGCATCATATTACTAATTATAACATGACTCATTATTTCACCTTTATGTGCCCAATGCGACTTGCGAGTATGGACGGACCTTTCTTAAAATAAATGTTTTTTTTTTTCAATCAGAACCACAAGGACTTTTCTGTGGAAGTGTGCAGTAACTATTTCCAGACGAGTATAATAATAGTAGTAGTAATATATGTTATCAGCCTTCAAAAACCAATCAAATAGCATTTCTCTGCCAAGACCTAGGCTAGGGCAATTAGTCAAATTAAATGTTTGCTAGTCTGAATATATGCACTACACTTAGGTTTTTTGGTTATAGAAAATAGTGAAAATAATGAACCTCCCTTTCAACAGCAGGGCTGAATTTATGTTTATATATACAGGTATATTGGAAAAGATGTATCAGTGAATTAACAGCATTTCCAATATTTTTGTGATAAAATTCTATTCAAACAATATTTTACAACACAAAGTTTTTAGTCTTTATACAAGGAGCTTGTACACTTACAAAGTTAACATGTTTTTTTTTTGATTGCATCTTTTTTTGAACTTAGATATTGCTTTTATTTTTTAATACTAATTACTAGATTTTTCAACCTAAATACTATGCTACATTAGGATATACCTATGTTCAAAGTTTTTTGATGCTATCTTATTTTAATACAGAACAAGTTATTTGCAGAGCAACTAATTTGTTTTCTGTGTTTCTCCGGCTTCCCAAGGTCTTGGACCCCTTTTGTTCTCCCAATTGTCAATATCAAGCTTTTGAATTTCTTCAAATGTATTTTCTAGTGTCACTTCTCTTTCCCTATTGAGGCCCATTTTCTCAGCCTCTTCTTTACTTACACCTTTTACTCTAGAAACTTGATACCTAAAAATTTTGACTATATTAAGATTAATAATATTTAATGTTACCCACCCAGACATAAAAAAAAAACTTATTTTACCGAATTTGTGTCCATTCTCTAAGGCAAAACGATCCCCCAACTACAAATAATATAAAAGGTAATCCATACTTTACAGACTTTTTAGTGCTGTACCCCTTTAAAGTCTGTAACAGCGATTTAGATGTATCCATGCTTGTTTAGAATATTTAGTGTGCATTTAAAAAATATTTCAATTATGTATTCTTTTGTTTACATAATAGAATTGAAACATCAGAGTCATCAGACAATGTTTTAATTTTTAAGCTTAAAGATTACAAAGATAATAGTTGGTGAAACAGTATTATCTATGCCTAAAAACCAAGAGGCAGATTATTTCTACTTTCCACAGACTTCTCGTTACCAAAGTCTAAGCTCTGTACTACGTGACTATATGCTTTGGTCCAAGCCATGTTCTATTCTTAGTGTCTATGAAAACTGACAGATAACATAAACCAGAAACAACATTTTTAGAAAATGGCCGAACTTTGTATGTGACGTATTGTGTTGTGTTTATGAAAATTTAATTTATTTTTCGTAGTCCTCTTTTCTATATGTGGTACGATTTGATAATGAATAACTGCTAAAGTGAAAATTATAATACAAATTAACTCTTGGTGAGTAACTTATTTAAGGACTATAGTAATTATTTGTGCAAAGAGGTACCTATGGAACGAATTGAATGCATGAAGATCATGAAATGGTTAACCAGCTTACTTATCCATAAAAAACAAAGAAGCTTTGAATGTTCTGGTTTCGTATTAGTAAATGGTCATGATGTTGATATTATACATTCAAGTCCAAGGTTTCTCATAACATTACATATAATATGTGGACCTAATTCTAATATACATAAGTGTTCATAATGTATTATATTTTTCAATATCAATTTTATAAATAAGATGTGGCGGTTGATTTATCTACCAAAGAATTGACTATTAAAACAAAATGTTTAACCATAGTATTTTATAATTATAATCAATATCTTAGTGTTTATGTTGATTTCATATTGAATGAAATACTTTATTAGGTGATAATAGCACTATAAAGCGATGTAAAAAAAATAATAGATTTTACAGTTTATATAAAAAACCCTTTGCCCCATGGCATTGAGCAAGTGTTATTGGCGATATAATATTATACTCTGTGCTACTTTAGACAGTCATTTACTTCAGGTTATATTAATAGCTCTCAATGGACTAATGATTTATTGTGAGAGATCCTTGGGTAAAATACCTAAGTATTTTTCTTTAAATAAATAAAATAATGTAATAGTCTAAAAAACTAAGAATTAAATAGAAGCTTCAGTGAAACTATCACAGAAATCCTAATATCCAAAAGGCCACCTACATTGTTAAAAAAGAGAAATGGAAACCTTGGGTTATATCATGATATGGACTTGCATTAATGTGGGGACTAAAGACATATACAAAAATAATGACACTAAATAAAACACTTTGAATTAAGATGTAATGTGTCTGACTCATTGGAGACTTAGTGTTTTCAGTATAAGGTTCAGTAATTAATCAGTAACAGGAGACATTTAATCATAAACAATGTTTTTATTTAATGTTGTTCATGAATTCTTTTTTTAAAGCTTTTTTTTTTGGTTACTTGGAAAGAAATGCTTTTTTTGACCAAATTTAATTAGTAAAGTTATCCTGTGTGTTGTTGATTTGAGTCTGTGATGCCCCATTTCCTCATTTCAACCCTAGTGACTTTAATGAGGTAAATTCAATAAATGTGATAAAGAGTAATTGATGAGTGTCAGTCTTTGCCCCATTGACCTAATATTTATTTTCATAGAGCACAAATGCAGAACTTTCAGCTCCAATTTCAAAACAAGCTACCAAATGGATAGATCATTAATTGAAAATAATATTCAACATTCAAAGCTCTTTTTGTGTTGTCTTTATATTTAATAATGTTTATTAAATTTCCAAAGGCAAAATAGGTTGCTAACACATTTTGTTTAAATATGGCTGGGGTAATTCTAACCAAGTGAACCTTGCTTGACTGTTCCATCATAGAAAAGAATTACATAGTTTTATATTTTAGATTAGGAATAATTTAGCCAGATTACATATATTATTGTATCCAAAAGAAGACAGGTGTATCATTCGCAGCTGTATTGCTGTGTTTTGGCACCCAACAATGCATGTTTTCATTCAGTTAAGTTGTTCTGTAACCAGCGGAGTCGGTCACGGGGCAATGCGGTGCGAACACTACCGTACGTTGGATTCCTCTCACGCTCCAGTTGTCACGAATACCACTTATTGTATTGCGTTTTTATAACCCCGATAGAGAATTATGGTCGTGTTGACACGTATCCACTAAATCTCCGGTATAAAAAAAAGTAGTTGGAATACGTATCCAAATATATTTTTTTTTATACCGGAAGTACACGGTACATATTGGTAATACAAACAAAGTTTGAGATTTGGATCACATCGAGGGCGGCTGCTGCAACTCTATCGAAAACGCTAATGTAGGCCGTTTGTGTGGGCAAGGTATTTTTACTAATAGGGAAATATAACTACAGCTGGTATTATGGTAATCGTGCAACTTATCGTCAGTATATGATTGACGATCAAGTCGACCGCACGTCAACAAAGTTCGGAGATATTTAGCACAGTCGTTAGAGTACATCCCGTTTGTCGCCTTCCGCGGTGTTATTCGCGTTGTCACTGTAAATAAACAAAAGAACCGCTTGCGTCTGCTGACTCACTGCATAACGACGTCAAGTGTTCGTAAAGCTGAAATCTGCATGGTGCTCTTGTTCTTAAGGCGTCCTTAGCTTTTTCGTAAACATGTTTATTTACTCATGCGTTGCTTGTGCCGAGTGTTCTGTGCTTCTGGATGTTACAAATAAAATGTTATACATGGTACGTTCGTTTTTAAACATTTTTTGTTTATATTTTAATAGTTTCGTAACCAAAGCAATAGTAATTAGGTGTTGTGGCCTTGTCAGTAGTTAGAAAAGTGTTTTTTTAGTAAGTAATAAATAAAAAGCTAAACCTGGTCTTATACTACAGGCGCGATAGTCTTGTTTATGTATATTGTATTGTATTGGTATATTGATGCAGAATTTATCGTGTTCGAGTCCGATTCGCACATAACCGATTTTACATCGCTTATTGTTACTTTTTTTTTAAAATTCTATCCATGAATGTAACGCCGGCCATAAATAAAAAGCTCTATTCTGGGACAAAATCAATACTATCTAGACGGCAGATAAGCTATGTGTAGGTACTCGTTGGTGGACTCATAGCAGCAAATGCGATGCGCAAATAAACCATATGGCAGGCGTTAAATGTTTGGGCTTCCGTTTTAACAATAAGCCTTGCAAATTTGGGCATCATTAATCATTTATTTATTTTTTATATTTTCATTTCGTATATTCAAAATTTGAATAACGAAATCGTCTAACTGTGGATTAAGATGGATTGGAATGCATTTAAATATTTCACGTTATGCACGATATCCTCACACCACAGCTTAGACGAAGCCTTACTTGTCTGAAATATGATAAGAAAGTAAATATGAGAAACTGCTTATTAAAAGTAAGTAGCTCTTGCTATTAAGTTACACGCGACTGATCCTCAACTTAAATGTAAGTAATGCGCAATTTAAGTGTACGTTTTACCACATCAAATTTTCTTATTGACTTCAACTGATCATGACCTCTTGCACAACTAACATACACTGGTCGTATCAAGTATATATATACAAAACAGATAAATGCAAAAATACTATGTACAACTAAATTTCTTTGGCTTGGAAATGTTAAAAATATTATTTTCAGAACCACATTATCTACATATTTGAGACAGAATATGTACAAATTTACGTAGGAAGTAGCTGGTAGGAATAACGTTTCCGTTTATGCCATTTTACATGGCCGAGGAGGGAAGGAAATGATTTTATTATCATTAAGGTCAAGACGATTTAATCGCAGTAGCAGTTGCTTGTTAAACGTTTTAACAATGCGCCTTTGTAATTCCTACTTACGACATTATAATTGTTGTATAGAAGTAATAATTGATGACCAAATGTGGTAATTTTTCGGAGAACTTATTTAAAGTGTAAAAAGGGACATAGACTGGATTCAAAACCCACGACTTTGACGCATGACCAATTGAGCTACTGCGTCACTTCTGTGGCCATCGAATTTTTCAATCATTTAATACTTATATCTTAGCGTAATGATCTTCAAATTTTGCATATTCTATTTTTTAAATTTAAAATTAATGTTTTGTTATGAAGCGGAAATGTTTAAATTAACTAAAAAGAAGACTACGTAAAATAAGCAGATGGGTGTTAATATAAACAATGATGCCAAGACTTGACATGAACATAAAATAACACATATATAGCAGACCAACGTTTCACTTCCTGCATCACAGTTTTTAAGGTCATGCCGACGGCAAAATTTTTGGACCGTCTTAATTCATTTGTGCTGTTTTAGTCGCAGGCGCCTATTACAAATATATTGTTTTCAGAATTTCTGGTAAATGCTGTCGAAGATCACGTAGCATAGCGATAATTCGTTCTTTTACTACCATAAAATTCGACACTTTTAAAAGTTAGGTTTAAAATATTAGTTTATAGATTTATTTGTCAAAATGGAACTCACATACAAATTTAAAAGTAACTATGGCGAATTAAAAACATAAAACACAGATCTTTGTAAGAAAAAAATCATAAAGATACACATAAAAGGTTCTATAAAGTACAAACGGTAATTAAAAATATGGTAGGAAAATGTATAATCTAAAGACTATTCATGCCTATAGTTTTCACCTTGTATAATTACCAGCTTATAAAAAATAAAAACGATAATGTCTATTTTATGTCTTGTTGCTTAAGTTTTAAAAGTTACACACTCGTCCTTGAGCCGTTGTCGAAATTTTGGCGTTAGCAGTATTCTCATTGAGGTAGCCAGCGTCAGAGGATGAAAGTGAAACGCGCGTGGTGACTGGTCATTCAACTCGGCACGCGCCTGCATCCTCGCTGCAATATTTTATACCACTTTTTCTAAACCGTGCAGTTGAGTCCGTAGCCGTTACGATGTCTATAGATACTAATATATAAAGCTAAAGAATTTGTTTGTTTGAATACCCTAATCTCAGGAATGGTGTGAATTGAAATATTCTTATTGTGTGGGTTAGAGCATCTATCGAAAAAGGTTATATATAGGCTATAACACATCGCGCTGCGACTAATACGAGCGAAGTAGCGGGAAATATTAAGAAAACGGGTAAAATTATTTATCTTTGTGAGTTTCCAATGTGTACGCTGCGAAAATGGTTCGAGATACCCAAAACATATGTATGAAATAATGATTCCTCTTTAAATGATCTAGAAAATGTCCGCGACACTATAAGTCAAACTTTTAATATTACCTTGCAAGAACAAGGACGCGACTGACGTGGTGGGCAACAGCTCAAATCTATAAAGATCAAGAGGTGGTTTGCAAAATAATTTTTGCCCAAAATAACTATTGCACGCGTACGAAGTCGCTGACACAGCTTGTTTAAAAATATATGAGGGGCATCGGGCGTGTCAGTCGTATAACAAAATTTGCATAAAATGGGGTTGCGCCTTAAAATTATTTAATTGAACCCTTTTTGCGTGTTTACGCTACAGAAAGGCCAATATAATACGACCATATTTGTGACCATAGTTCGATAGCCAGGTGATATGTCAAAGTAAATCATATAATTGTTTTATCTTGGTCCATGTCGTACGTTAAGAAGTTGAGCATTTGTGCAGATATACATATATTTATTTGTTATAAAGTTACGGTGACATGTTTTACGGGATGCAAAATGTGTCAGCATTGATTAATATTTAAAATCTTGACACCGGCTGGATAATTTTAAACTTACATTTTTACGAGCTATCGTGGGTCAACATTGTGAGAGAAGGTTATAGTTCTTTGCGTTTAATTATTTATAGAATTCACTAACTTATAAAAAAGAGATATTGAATTATACCGACGCCTCCACTGCACACCTTAAACTTTAACCATAGAGGCAAGTGGTTCTATCATTGATTCTCGCACGAAGGCCACCAAGATTTGGGAATCTGTACGCCCTAACATGCTCACTGGTACAAGACCGTAAAATCATATAAGCGACCTTAATTTCAATCAATTCTTTTTGCATATGCACATGTCGACAAACTCAAATTTCTCAATAGCAGGCATTACTAGACCACGTTTGACGGTCCGTCTACTTAGTAATCGCTATTTGAATAAATTACATTAGTAAGCTGACCTTCAAACTTATGTGTTCAGATGTGTCAACATCCAACATCGCATAAAGAAGCTTGTAATACCTACATATTTTATTAATGATGTTCATGTTTAACCGACACGATATAAGGAGAGTAATGATTTTGTCAGCGCATATGTGTGTTGCATACTAACTTAAAATACTGTGAGGAGTTTATGTGTAAACGTTTCGTTATTATCGTTATTATAATATATAAGAAGAACAAAATAGACCACTTTGCGGCTCTCATTTACTAAAACCTTACTTCTAGTTTTCTAGTGCGGTTACATTAGACAAGTACACAGCTCCTTATCCAATATTACATCGGTCGGTATGCGGCTAAATTAGGAGGGCAAGTTTCCTGCTATACAATATACGTGTTACTACTGTTTGCAAAACTCGACGCTGACTGCTCATACGTGTTTGTAAATAGGTTTGGTGGTACTCTTGCTTATTATGAAACATTCGTTATTATTTACGTAATTTCGTAACGTCCACCGATTAAGTATTAGCCAGTTTTCGTTAAGGAAGTGAAGAAAATATTAAACAAATTAAGCACTAATAGACACATTTGCCATATCGATAACTAATTTCGGATCTTAGGCAAAAGACATTAACAATCTTAGTTTATTTTTTTCTATTAGTTAATTGACTACGACCCCGGTATAGTACTCACCTTTAAGGTGTACCTACTATATACACGACTCTGTAAAGTTTGTGCGTGATTGTAATATGACAATTATATTATTCTAACTCATTTATAAGCATTTTTTTCTGTATTACGCAGTTGCATAATTTTGTTCATGCAAGCGGAACAGGTTAGCAATACAGTCACGGAATACGACACGCTCGGTCGCAAATCGTCACTTAGTTTGATACATAGATCTATTGTGGATAGAAGAATGAGAGTGAATCATCGGGACCACTCCCACACCACTCAACCCGGCGCGCATTGGCGCTAATTAGCAAGATCACTTGACATAAAAATTGCGTATTTTATTTGGATATAATATGTTATTTGAAAATACCGTTTCAGTTACAAGTATGAAGCCTATGTCATTGGAAATATATAATCTTGCAGTGGGAGATTGCGGTTTCTCTTAGCTTTCATCTAATTTGTTACGATAGCGGGATAGGAAATTATCATTTTCTCTCGTTTCGTCATCTATTCATAACGATGGTCGTTAGTCTTTAGTAAAACTCAACGATTTACCTGCTTTAATATTTGTACAAATTAATATAGAACTTTTTTCGGAACGTCGTCTAATAACGCTATTAAATACCTTCACTTAGGTACTTAATTTATTACATATTATGATAGTTGATACAGTCCACAATTAATACATTTACGTGTATTTAAATGTTTATATAGCTAGCATAATGCAAAACCTATAAAATATAGCCCCTATTCCGATAACATAGTATGTCGTATAAACTATCTTGACTTTCTATTATATATTGCTGGTCTTCTTCTTACAGATGATGAAGCTATCTTGAATTGCAGCTTTGTGGAAGTATTGCAAGTGCTATGAACTCTGACGTGCACCGTCATCAGGCGCATCCGCCGCTGTCGCAGGTACCTATTGAATCTCTGGGCATTTAATGCCTTCACAACTTTTCAATGCCCCCATTGGACTAAAGAATCCTTTTAAATGGATTATATTTATTTCTCAGTTGACCTTTACAACATAGCCGGTAATATTCTAAAGAAGATTTGATTCATGAATTCATTGATCGTAACATTAAATGACGAACTAAATAATATTGTAAGAGTTCTAACTAAAGTAGTAATTTTTCCACGTTCAATTCTAGACAGTTCGCAATTACTCAACCTTTTAATTTGTTATATTTATGGAAGAACGATCGCATATTCTAAAGTATATTAATATTTTCATAGTGACTGGTGTTTCGACAAATTAAACATGGCAGTAATTGTAACGTCCATTACTCAGCGTCTAATAGCGCACTGGAACTATAGCTACTAGATAAATTGCATCGCCTCTGTAGAACACACTGATCGGTGTTTTCATTATATCGAATGATCATTTAATACAAGAAAATTTTCCTCGTACGACGATTCTAAGAAATGGACAATCGCGTAGTAAACATTACAAGCAATTTTCTACAGTAAAAACAATTATAACCGTTCTGAACTTAGTTGAAGCACTTAACTAATATATAACTATTTCGATTTTCTTTATCGTTATGCCAATTTCAATTTGGTTCAAGCTGTTTCTTTGTGATCATTCTTATTTAATATGTTTGTTTTCAGAACGTACTTCTGTTAGGCTCTTTTTTATTTTCGCATCGTATATTTTTTAATGTTATTATAATTCGCTTGAAATTTGTGTAATAAAATGAAATTAAAACGTAGCCCACAATTGTATACCTTGTGGTGGTATACTTACTATTAATGATTGTATTACAGTAGGTATGTGGAATATGATACAATGCTGCTTATGTTTGCCACACATGGTACAGAGTTAATTGCGCCGGTGACTCATAATTTACGATTGTACTAACACTCCTTATACGAATTCGATTGAAGTTCTTTTTAATTAAATAAAAAGATTTATTTTAAATTTTTGCTCTCTATTACATAATATTATGGAATCAACATTATCATATTCATTTAACGATTACCATTGCTTGGATACAAGTATCCAAAAGTAGTCAAAAAGTTATAGCAGCCTTATATACGTTACATAGGTATGTGGTCTATAGGTGTAGATCATCACGGTTTTCGTAATAAATGAAGTGAGAAAATCTAACTTGTGTACTTACGTGATTTTTTGCTCAAAGTCCCTTACACGAAAATGAAAAGTTTGTAGCACCTACGACTAGACCATCTCAGCTCTTATTGTGTGCAAGTATACATTTAAATTCTGTGTAATCTTTTTAGCACGGTGTACACGCGGGCGGGCAAGGCGTGGGCCCCTGCGGCTGGTATTCGGCGTCAGCTGCGCCGGCGCCGACAGCTCCCGCGAGGCTCAAGCGTGCGCAACCCCCACATCAGCTACCGGTAATTTTTGTAACGTTTTTTGTGGTACTTATATACAAAAAATACAGGGGTTTCGTAAGTATTTTATACAAAATATAATGTTTCTACGCTTTATTGTATAATTTATTTCAATTGAAAGGAACAAAAGCCTTGCAAATCGGAGTTATTGCATTTGCTATGAAGTAGTATTAGGGCAATTACTTTTATTGCATTGTCTACTATTTCCTATTATTGTTCTTAAGTAAAGATTTTTTTTAATTTCCCCTTAGTACTTGTACAAATGGCTTTTCCGTGTCCATTTAATGACGAAATAATTCATTATATACTTTTAGCGGGTTTAAAACGCGAAATTTTATCATTAATTTATTTTTTTACGAAAACTCGACGTTCGGGTTGTTTGCAGCACCTGTGGCCTTATATTGTTTGGCCGTAAAAACGATTAAATACAATTGAAATCTAATGCTTTTCGTTACCATTCTTCGCAAGTGTCTTATCTACTTCTCGGATTTCTAAAAATGTATCTGATACTGTGCAGCCAACTTTAAAAGTCCTAATAAAAATAAATATGCTCCATAAACGCGGTTGATGAATAAATTAAGAAGATTTATGGGGCATTGTTCTAATATCCTCCGTGTATGTATCCTCGTTGTGTCGTTTTCTAGATGTGTGTCAAGTTTAAAACGTTTTCATTGAACTTAAAACACCTTGGAACCCAAATATATTTTGTACTAAAAAATTGTAAATTTTGTTACAAAAAATAAATTTGTTAGATAAAATATTTGCTGTAGTACCAGATTTGTACTCGCGATAAAAGCGTGTAATAGAATAAGAGTGATATTATATGATATTCTAGTGTGTTAAATGATTGATGTCATAAATATTCTTCTAATTGCAGTCCGGAGTCGGTGTGAGCGGCAATAATGGTCCCCACGCTCCTCTCTCGCCCACCGCTTTGCAGAGCTCCATTCAGCACAATGTAAGTTGAACTTGAATCTGGTCACTTAACCGCGAATTAACCACAATTTGTGATTCAGGTTAATCTACGTACATGTATTAGCATCTATAAATAACATTGTCATAAAAGAAATTACATTGCGCGAGAAGTGTATGTATGTATCAATAGGCTGAGAAGGTTTGACGATGACATGTAGGACACGGTAGAACAATTGCTTAGAGCAACAGCACAGAACGCTGCGGAAGCCGGTTCAAGTCCTGCCAGTGTCATAAATGTTTAGAACATTAAAAATTTTGAGAGTTTTGATCTCAAAATCCTTGCCATTTTTCATAGAATTTTGATACATTTAATAGCAGTTTCAGAAAAATCTAATAGAAGCATACTATTGGATTACTTAGCTGTTCATCTTGCGATTAATGTTCCAAAGTGTTAGTAGAGATTTTGTAAGGTATTGCGTAATAATAACACGAGTTACGGTCTAATGGAATAATTGAAAACTGCATGCGATGTGTAACAGAATGTGATGTCGTCATCGGTGCGTGCCCCTGCGCCGCCTGGCCCCGCCTCCTCGGCAATGCACACCTCACAGACGGGTGGTAAGCATTAATCTCTTTATCTTCATCATATAATTACATTGCTTATAGACATCGTTTTTATTTGAGAATTTCATATGTATTTATTTATAAAGAGATGTTTACTTGAGCTTATAATGAACTGGCAACCGAGATTCAAATAAAAGAAATTTAGGATTTGTTTCCTTTCATAGAATAGGTTTAGGCGACTAATGCAAATATTTTAAATACATCTATGTTTTTTAATACAGTAATCCCCAAGGGGCCCAGTGATGTCCTGGTGAATACTTCCAATCAGAATCCTCCGCCCGCAGCCAATAGACTTGTTAATATGACTCAATATCCGTAAGTATAAAATTATCATACTAATTAAGCAGTGTCAGTGTGTAATTATTAATAAAACTGACTCCTTAAAAACTTAATATATAAGAACACAAAATATATTATGTTTCCCGACGGGACCCTCATAACCACGGCTGTTTTAAACCATTAAAATGAAGGAGTGTTGATATAAGCTTTTAATTAAATCACTTTAACTATTAAATGTTAACTTATAAGCTTTTAAACCGTTAAGTGTTAATTAATTTTTTTTCCCCTTAATGTACATATCAAACTTGGACTTGTAATTACAGATCTTAATTAGAAATAAACTTAAAAACAAGCAAATATAGCCAGATATCTGGAGGTTAATTGTTTATCGATATCGTATCGATATATAGGTTACGATAAAATTGATTTTCGATACTATTAGTGTTATTGAAGATGGACACGAAATATGAGATAAGATAGAGGTTATCGTGTATGTTGGCTCAGTTGTGATTGTGATGGAGGACAACATCGACTCGGTACAATCGAAGTGTAATCAAATACTTGATGAGGAACACGAGTAAATAATATTTGCATATTTACAAATCAGTCTCGTCTCATTATCATAGTGTACTGCGCAAGTGAATTGTAGATAAGGATGGAAATATTATTTATTGGAATAATCAATATTTGGTTTCATTTTAAAAGCCAATTCTAGAGCCATGTTATTAATATAAGAAAATATACTCGGAAGATTTTTTCCGATATTGGAAGGATAGCAGTCAAAAATAAAAACTTTTGCCTTTATAAAAATATTTTTAGTTATTTTACTGCCCCCTATTGAACACTTAAGTAAATATAACAATTTTGATTGGTAACACGGTATGTTTGAGTTAACAGAAATCTTAGATTTTTATTCTAAAAATTTTGGTTATATATTTTTTAGCACTGGTTTTTTTTTACATCTGGCTAAAATTGATATAGGTTTTTTAGTGTCTTTTAATAGATAGTTAAATATTTAAATATTTTTACAGATGGCACCATGGTGCTATATCCCGTGAACGCGCTGAGGCGCTGCTGTCGGGTTCGCCGGATGGAGTGTTTTTGGTGCGAGAGAGTACAAACTTCCCGGGAGACCACACTCTTTGCGTACGCTTCCGCGGGCGCGTGGAACACTATAGGTACGCCAATGTTAATAGCTAACTCCACTTAAACGGTTCAAAACGCGAAATATATTAGTTAAATTCATTTACAAATTATTTTAACTACGGTCCGACGTTTCGGATGTTTCGCAGCACCCATCATCACGGGCCCTATGAGACGTTGGGCAGTAAAAATAATTTGTAAATAAGTTTAACTGATATATTTCGCGTTTTAAACCGTTAAATGTGTACTACTCGCGTAAACTAACAGTTTTAGCTGTACATTTGCAACTTATCGTTAAGTGAAAAATAACTTAAACTTTATTAATTCTAATGTTTAAATTAAGAAGCAAGAGACCTCTGGAAAGTAAGAAAATCTGTGTATATTTATTTTCTAATTTATTTCAAATAGTACTATAAGGGTCATTTTTGTATTTATATCCTTATTATATTCTTAATTTGCTTAATGTGCATATTTCAGAGTCAAGTGGGCGACCGTACCTGACAGCCAAAACCAACGTCTTACAATTGATGATGAAGAATTCTTTGACAACATGACAGACCTCATACATGTATGTCACAGTAACCTCATTCTACTAATTAAATAATTTATTATTGTTTTTGTCATAAGAATAATTTTAAATATATATAAAATAGTTCGATTGGTCCTCAATTAATTTGCTATTGTTTTACTATTTTCAGCATTATTTGAAGGATGCAGACGGGTTGTGCACGAAACTAGTACGGTGCCTACCCAAAGCGTCGCCAAATGGTGCCAACAACAACAACGTACTGCAGCCGCCTTATTCACCGCTACCTGCAGTAAGTAAACATCTTTTTACCTGCTAACGCTAACGCTGCGCTTTTGTCTATATTGCATACGAGAAACCCACAAAAAGTTATCGCATATACCGTAAATATTATATATAGAAATATTTTGTTTTTAATTCACATCCTTCCTTTCAAACCATCACGATAGATTAACAAATCAACTACAACATTTAAGCTATAAGCACATAAGGCTTTTCGATTTGTAACTACTTTGCAATAAATAGTTTTTGCTATGCCGTTTAGTAATTAACTTGTATGTATATATACTGTTTATAGTTTACGCGAGTAGTACACATTTAAATAAAACACTTTAACGGTTTAAAACGCGATATATTAGTTAAGCGTCGGGCCGAAGTTAAAAATCATTTTCAAATAAGTTTACAAATATCGCGTTTTAAACCGTTAAAGTGTTTTATTTAAATTGTATGTTTATTTCAATACGTGTTTCAGCAACCGCCGCCGTATCCAGCAACTCCGAGCGTATCGCACGCGCTCAGCTCGGGCCACTTCCCGCACGCGTACAACACTCAAGTTCCCGCAACAGATCAGACCGACAGCGTCATGCCCCCGCAGAAGTTTGTCGACGCCCGTATGTATATGTTGCTTTTTTGGTCACTAATTGTACACTTTGGAGTAGTTTAGTTCCATTAAATAAACCGCTCCGAAGTGAGCTAGATGCGATGTCCCTTTTTGGCTTTTGAAGTTCGAGAATCCTTAACAGACTGTAACTGAAACGCGATTAAATTTCACTCTCCTTTCACGTACGGACGCTGGTTCGTGGCCCGAACGGAACTTTCGATATTCCTATCACCTATTTTATATCCAGATTTAGACAAAGTTGAGAAACATATTTGGGAAAATATTATAAATAGTGTGTATATAGTAGTGATGTACCCGCCAGGGATCGAACCCCTTGATTATTAGCCTACCATTACACCAACGACCCCATCAAAGCCATCTCGTCCCATCATGATTCAAATTACAATTGTTTTTCTGGGTTCACTCAGTATTACTCACAATTGCTTCACTGTTGGGCAAACTGTTTTTTATCAAGACGTTTGTTCCAGGCTGGATAATAGCAGAACGCGACCTGGAGATCCGCGAGAACATCGGCAAGGGCGAGTTCGGCGATGTGATGCTTGGCATATTGAACGGCACGCAAAAAGTTGCCGTCAAAATTCTGAAGGACAAAGAGGCAGCCAGCAAATTTCGCGCTGAAGCTAGTGTTATGGCGTAAGTGTTAAATTACCTTGTCTTACTAGTTTACCTTCACGGTTTTATTGCCACCCATGTTTTAATGGTACTGGTTTAAAGGTAATTTTAACCGTTTAATGCGCATGCGCTGCTAGAGATAATAAATATAACTAAACAACTCCATTGACTCAATATATTAATTCCAGATCGTTGAAGCACGAAAATCTAGTGCGACTACTCGGGTGCGTAGTGTTCAGTTCGAACGGCAGCACTTGCATAGTGACGGAGCACTGCGCGCAGGGCTCCTTGCTTGATTACCTACGCAGTCGTGGACGTCACTACGTTACGCAGCGGGATCAGATCGACTTTGCCTAGTCAGTATATCTTTATTTGTGCAATATACATTAATTAATATAAAAAATAAATGTATATTTTAATAAATACTAGATAAAGAGGGACCTTAAGATTTTAATACAATTCCAATAAAAATACTATTTAACATAAGTTGCAATATCAATGACTTCTCTTATTTTCTTCTGCTCCATAACTCTGACGTCAATGGTGATGATGGTTCTATCATTGACCATATTAAAATTCTGTCTGTAGTTTCCTCGATTACCACACATTTAAATAAAACACTTTAACGGTTTAAAACGCGATGTATATAACATCCGAAACGTTACGCCATAGGTAAAAAATATTTATTTAATAAGTTTAAATAATATACATTGAGTTTCAACCCGTTAATGTGTTTTATTTAAATGATAAATGTTGTGGTAATGTAGGAATCTGGGTAACTTGTCATTTCTGGTCATCCATCCAGGTTCATATATCTTCCACGTTTCAATTGTAGAAACTGTTGTTAATGATAATAGACTAAATTTAAAAATCATATTTAGTGACGCGTGCTGTGGTATGGAGTACCTGGAACGCCAGCGCGTGGTACACAGAGATCTAGCAGCGCGAAATGTGCTGATATCGCAAGAGGGGACAGCCAAGGTGGCTGATTTTGGCTTGGCGCGAAGCGACGCAGTGCCAGACGACCCCGCTGATGCGTTACGCGTGCAAGCTAAACTGCCCATCAAGTGGACTGCACCAGAAGCGCTTAAGTATAACGTGAGTTTTACGTAGCTATATATATATACTCATATATTGTTTTACAGATGCTTACGTCACACATTATCCAAGCAACATGTTTACAATCGAATAATAAATATACACCTAAACTAATAAGCGGTTAAAAGATGTTTTATGCATTCATTTTAATTTTTGAATCAGTAAAATAAGCCTAAATACATATAAAAAAAAATTGTTTTGCTTAATTTTTTACCGAAAGAAACGTGTAGCATGAATTGTGTTAGGTAATAAGTTAGTTTTTTTATATGATAGACGAGTTCACTTGATGGTATGTGAAATACCCCTTTAGCAGCCTATAGCATCTAATAGATGCGCTGTCGACCCATTTTGACTTTGGACATTTGGTCATAATTGTTTCTTACACAGTTCTCAATTGGATTTCTCGTTATTTCAGAAATTCTCTAACAAATCAGATATGTGGAGTTTTGGTATTCTTCTCTGGGAGATATATTCATTTGGGAGAGTGCCATACCCGAGAATTGTAAGTGTGTTACCAATATATTAATTTAAGTACTCCATAAAAAGTACAAACTATAATTTGAATTTAATTTTAATAGTACGAAAGTGGAATATATATTAGACAAATTGTTAATATTAAATGGTATTGATTTTTAGCCATTAGCGGAGGTAGTGCGACACGTAGAACGCGGCTACCGTATGGAAGCGCCCGAGGGCTGTCCCACGGGACCCTACGAGGTTATGCGTGCGGCCTGGCACGCTGACCCGACGCACCGACCCACTTTCGCACAGACCAGGCTGCGTCTTGCTGCCATACGAGACGCTGCACATGCGCACCAGGTAAAACTGTTATTACATAATATTGCATAATTAAGTAAACGACGGTCATTAAATTCCGATTTAGATATCATATCTATATAAATTTCATTTAATTTTTTGTACAACAACAGTACCTACAACTGAACTGATTTTTTTTTTGCAGTGAAAAGCACGCAGAAGGAGTAGAGCATTCAACATAGATTTTAATGTACAATGTTAAAATAAGGGCGCTGTGAAGATGGTAAATGTATTTTGTATGATTAATTAATTATTCTTAATAATCTATATAAGTACTAAATTATTTTGATAAAGTTATTTTAATGACACTCGCTTATCCAGCCCGTACGATTCAGGATACCGAAGTATCGGTGTGTCATGGTGAAGCTGTTGCAAGGGCTTTTAGTGGGAACTTTAATGAAAGGCAAAGAATGTGCACATACAATTTAATGTTATAAACGTCGCGTTAAACTTTAATCAAAAGCAAACCTAGCAGTGCAAATTATTTTGTTACACCAAATGTAATATATAATAAAAGATTTTTAAAGTTATATTTCAATATAATCGCTAGTACTAATTATTCTTATAAATAAAAAAATATTAATAGACACTAAAAGCCCGTTATTTTCAAAGGCCTAAATTTATTCTTGGATATTCTTGTATAAATCAATGCTGTATGACTACCGTACGTGTGTAATATGGTACTGTCTAGTCAATATTATGATGTTTGTAGTATTGTTTGTATCATAATACTTTTCCAGTAAAGTTAGGTGACTCATCACTTCTCGCTATTCTTGAGCACAGGTAGTTAATAAGGTAGGAAGGGAGTGTCACAATCCCTCAAGTAACAAAACGGTTGTTCACGTGTATTAATTTTATGGCAGGTTTTTTCCATCCCAATCTTATTCCAATAATAAGTAATCTCTCGTGCTGAGATGTTTTATTGTCAAGAATGAGTCAGATCAATACATTAAAAAAATGTTGGTGTCTGTACAGTCTTCACGTTTCTGTGGACACCACCGTCAAATAATATAACAAGTGTGACGTAACAATCAAATTACTAAAAATGACGTCACACTTTCGCTACATATGTTTTTTTTCTTTTAAATCCTAGACCGAAAGACGGTCTGACTCATTTAGTCAGCAAGATTGTCTGCTATAATTTGGGAAAACTTTGTGTGCAGTAGACACTGTGTGTTTTAATATATTTGAATTGTTATGTGTAAAATCAGTGTTCTATTCCTACACTAAAGTCTGAACCTTTAAAAAAATTCTGTGCATTTTAATATCTACGTATTGTGATAGATTGGTGTGTCGTAGATGTGAAACGTTTGCTTAGTTTTGGGTACAATGTTGCATATTGTGTCAACTTAAGGTTGTGTATTAAACATTAAGAACGATTCGTTAGCTAAATCGCTTGGGATTATTGTGAATTTATTCAAATTTAACGCCTATAATGGCAAATGTATCGGAATGAATCTCAACACGAGATATCTAAGAAATTTATAAATTGTATTAGTCTTATATGCTTGCGATTGTACAAAAAATTAGTGAAGTTAGGCTGATTATATTATTTATCTATTTCCATATTCTGTAAATATCTCTCTCTCTCTCATTTGTATTTCATATTATGATAACAAGCATATAAGATGTGTTCTCGTAATTTATTTTGATTCTGGTAATGTACTTTTTGTAATGTCCGTTCATTTTATTCCTACGCAATATTAGTTCTAAGTGTTATATTGTTTTTTTACGAATTATTTATGATTTTTCTATGAAATTGGATAGCAGTAACGATCCGAACACGAAGTGGCCTATTAGCGAGTCGCAATATTTTTTGTTGACTTATTTATGCCAAAGTGCATTTTAAACATTTTCTTTGATAAATCATTACTACGTGTAGATACTCCGAGCCATTACCTCTGTATTACACTATAATAAGCCTTGAAACTGCCTGTAAAATATAGCACAAATATTTTTTGAACCTCTTTAAAAATTCGCGACCTCGCTAATAGTGCTACTGGACTCCTTACGAGTCATTTTTACCAAAGTAAAGATATCAATAATTACCGTAACGTCTTCCGTTCCGTTTTCTGCCCTTTCAATGATCGCAGCTAACAAACTAGTCGACAAGGTCCAGTTGACCTCACGGCTGAAAGATGGCGCTCGGCCAACGTTTGGAGGTTAAATGAAAATCTCGTTTTGTTTTTGTTTATTACTGTTCTATTCGAGTGTACATACAAGTCGTATTAAGGAATAACATGTATTATAAGAAATATAAACTGGGTTCGATCGTTTTATTTATCGGCAACAATCTGAGCTACAATCGGTCACGCAGTAAAAGCAGGTGTCGCAACAGCTGCTGTCGCAGGACATTTGCGACTTGCTTTTCTTCAAAACCTTTGTTTTACTGTCGTCTGCGGAATCCTGTTTGCGCAATGGGCTATTGGAATCTGCACAACTGACAGCTTGATCCGTGAAGGTGGACACCATTTTATCAACCTTTTCATTTGTCTGTTTGATATCCTTTTCGCTACAACAGCAAGAATCACGCGCACGCCCTTTGTTAGGATATTTAAATCTCACTTTTGAATTTTTGCGCCGTCGCCTCCTGGTTTGCGTTTCATCGTCGATCGACATAGCACTGCTTGTGTCGATCATACTGGGCCCACAGAAATGTACCCTAGGTTTTCCTTTAAGTGCGAAACAACGCTCTTTAGAAATACGCCCGGTCTGACTGCAACTATTCAAGGTCGGTGGAACTTCAACTTGCACCATTGCAGATTGTTTCAAATAGCTTTTGCGTAAATTTGGGTAAAAATAATGGATATCGGTGGTCGATGTAACGTTATCGTTATGGAACTGGAATATTAACATCCAAAGTATATATAAAAACTTGTTACAGATACCTACTTATAAATTGAATAAATACCTTCTGATAGTAATTTTGCTGAAGATCCACGTCACCCTTGGATATATAATATGACCTTAAAAATGGATCTCCATATGGTATACTCTCTTGCATCATACTCGGATTCAATCTAAATTTATATAATCGTTATGAGGGTAGTGTTTTAAATAAAACAATTATACGTATAACCAATATATCTTTCATAAAATTTTACGGTAAACATGAAGATAAAAGTGGAAAAAGCTAAAGGATAGTAATTTTTACAGAAAATTTAAAGCTGATAGCTTAATTTAGACTCTATTATACAATTTGAATTATACGGATCTGTGCTAATGTGCTAGTTAAGTGTGCTTACGGAGCGGATACTTTCCGTATGAACCACGCCTCTGTACGGACAGACCATGGTAAAGGGCTATTAGAAGCTGGACGAAACGGATATGGGTACTGTCTATCTCGTCTTTGTGTAGGGATAAAAAAGAATTGCACGGTACCATCAGGAAAAACAAGCGATACAACGTCACCTTCTCCTATTATATCTGTATATGGCAAAGCTGCAAGAAGTATCCTCATTTTATTTTTATCAGTAAAAAGTAAAACCTAATTTTCCATGCACGGAGTATGCGGTAGACATTTTTGGATCGCGCTTAACGCATTGTAACCACGAAAGGTGGTCCCTTCTCCTTTCTCAAAGACAATTAATTTATAATCTGAATAAAATATAACTTGCTGAAAGTAGTTGTTAGAAAGGAATGTTGGAGGCTCGATTTCATTTTGTACAAGTATCTGCTTTTACACACCTCTATTCTTCTTTCTATACTAAAAGTTGCTTATGTATTATAAACAAAACTTACGAGAAGGATATGATATAAATTGGTCATTTAACACACTATGGAGGGGTTGATTAAACTGCATAGTTACAAATTAGTGAACATTACGCAGTGGCTGTTAGGTTACATTCTGAAGCTATTGTTATAAATTATATGTAATGTTAACATTTTTATAGGCTATTTTGTTGACGCTCATCACACTGACATTAATGACATCAAAAACAAAATTACTGTGATCACTAAAGAGATTTTAATCAGTAAATATTGATGAAAATTTTATGTAGCATTCATTTTCTTCTGACGAGAAAACATCTCTTCATTTGATTAAGAAAACTTTCCTTTTGGAAATCGTTTTAACGATTACGCAATTACAGGATCTCAAATAAATAATTTAACAGTAACTTTATGTCAAATAAACTTTGCGTTCTTTCTTCTTTCATTAACAATAATTCATCTGCATAAGAGGAAATTTCCAATTCCTGAATTGTGCTGCTTAACAAACGTAGCTTACCAATTTGCAAACTGCAATATAAAATCAACTTCGTGCACTACTGCACATAACATAAATGCCCTAAATGGTGCTTTGCGTTACATCAAATAGAACATATATGACAGGATGTCAACTAAAAACCGCATTCCTTATGTGGAAGTTAACTATATATTCAGAGTTTGTCCGCTGCACACTGATAGCAAATGGGTCTGTGGGATGAAAGGTAAATGCCACGAGCCTACGAGCACTAGCCGGAACTGACTGCCCTAGGACTCCCGCATATATCTTGAATTTTAATAGTCCCGAGTCACGCGCGTAAAACCTATAAAACAAACACAAAATATATGTAACTTTATATCGATAAAAAATACTTAAATCATACTGTTCAAAGACTATTACCTAATGGGATATTCTCCATATGCCTTGGGTCGTTCCATTACAGACACCCATTTATCATCATAACTAAACAAGCCAAGGTCTAAATAAGGAGAACCACTATACGACTGTGCACTTATAGGCAATTGAGCTAAAATCCTCTTAGTAGCTTCAGTCCTACCACCATAAATTGCTCTCACTATAGTCTGCTTGAATCTTTGTTGAGTCAACCTGGCAAACAGATTATTTGATGGTGAACATGTAAACTGTGAATCGGCACATAACCGGGCATTCCTGAAGCAATCACAGTAATTTTCAAACAACTGCAGCAGTCCTTCTGAAGTATTCTCATATACTTCCAATATTTTACTTTCACTTATATTGTAGATAACAAAAAATGAAGACTGACTGTTAGGCTCTGCCACTCTTAGTGTTACCACTTCTTCACTGGCATATTTTATAAAAAGGTGGTCTTCATCCAATAACTGCATCTTCCACATTCTTAAACTTTTAAACATATCAAAATATTTGTAAAACTTTCTGAGTTCAAGAGGGTCTTTTGTCTCATCGCTTATAGATTTAGCCCTTTTGAATAAAAATACAAGGAGCCTGTGTTTTAAACTATTGATGGTTCCCTCGTGGAATGGTCTCTCATTCATTAAAGGCGCAAATACTGAACTTACTATAAATGGATCGTCATCATAACAGAATCTTCCTATTTTTCTTATTTCTATTAACATTCCTTCCACGATTTGAAATAAATGAATTGTTTGATGCTGTACAGAAAGGACAGCTAATACTTCTTTGTATAAATATATACCCTGATTATGTGAAAGATATATTTTATCTGTCCTAAAGTGTTTTGTGTCACATAGTTTACCATGATGAAGGTCCACTAAATGTAGAGAATAATCTTCTAGTGCTGACCTGAAATAAATTTTTCTTATAGTCTTTTGTATTTCATAAATGTCTATTGTTTGATTGAGCAAAGTATGTAACCCCACCTAATGGTTGGTGTAACAGCTTCATTGTTACTATGTATATTGTAAAAATGTGGTCTTAAATCATCAGGAATATGAGCTGCCGAGCCTACTATGACATATCTACCATCTTCAGTGAATAGACTACATTCTCTATTCAATTGTTGTTCGATAAACGGCAACTGCCCTGCATTTCTTTCATGTCTTCCAATAACTCTTTGTTGGCATACATTAACTGTAAACTTGGGCTGTAATATATAATATCATATTAAGTAATTTGACTGATCAAATTTAATTTTTCTTCATTGTCATAAAACTTTACCTTAAAAAATCTGTAAAATATGTGTGTCCTGATTCTATGATGTGCATCAGCGTCTGCATTTAATAAATCTGATGGATATCCAGCAACTAGATCACCAGCAGCCGCAGCCCCTCTGTATTCATATATCTAAAAACAACATATCACATTGTTCTTAACTATCATCGCAACTAGAACTGCATATTTTTTTTATAAATACCTCAAGGGATGTCTGATCCGCTGAAAAAGCGATAAAATGTTTACCATCTGGACTGAACTTTCGCAGGAAACAGGGTGGTTTTTCTACATTAACTATTGTTAAATTAGGAAAAACATTTTGATAGAATTCGCGGACTACATGAAAGTGCGATCCCGGTTTACGAGAACCATAAATTTCTCTATTCATAAGTCTGATTACGATGTTTTGTGGCTTTATTTTTCTGGGTACAATCTTCTCGGTACAAAAGAAGTCATCGTCATTTAGATGTCCAGAAGGAATGTCTTCGTAATAAACACTATCTGTAGCTCCAGGTAGATTCATTTTTAACAAGATTTATATAATTGAATAGTGAAAAAGGTGTTTCTATAACTACAAGCGTTAAGATAAATTTCAGCGTAATATAGCTATACATATGTAATTATCGTTTATGTGCTGAAGTATTTTAAATAAATTAAAATTTAAATGAAAATAAAAACATTGACTTGTCATTACACATATCAACAATTAACAGACTCTACAAATTTCGTACGGTATATAGGGTCACGTTACTTGCAGTTCACTCTGCCATCAGAAAACAGGCCATTGTCAAACTTCAAAGTACCAGTAGTAAAATTTTTCAAATACAGTGTCTGTTGATGATTGTTGCACGCTTAGCCTATTTTTCCAAATTTGCAAAAAAGCTTCAATATTTAACAAAATGAGCAGATGTAAGAGTATTGTTTAATAGAATTTACTTAAAAAGTGGCACTTAATTATTTAATACACATGCACCCTTCCGCCACAAAATATGGAAAGGCCCATAATACGATATGAAAAAATTGACTTCTTGGGCGAGGGTCAGGTATGTTTTGGTTTATTTCTTTGACAATGATATATTTAAAATCTTTCTATATTTATTTATTTATACAAGGCTTACCAACTACATACATAATTAAACTTACAAGATCTATTTCTAATAATAATTATTACTACTTATGTATCTAACTTAAAGGTATGCACAAATTTTACTTAATATATTAAACTAAATTATACTTAAACAAACTTTTTATAATGACCAAATATAGATATAATAGAAATCTATTCTTTTTGTGTTTATATTTATTAATGATTTTAGTTTGCTACTGTGTATAAAGCCAAGGATATAAAAACTGATAAGATAGTGGCAGTAAAAAAAATAAAAATTGGATCAAGATTTGAAGCACAAGATGGAATTAACAGGACAGCTCTTAGAGAAATTAAGTTACTTCAAGAGTTACAACATATTAATCTCATAGGCCTTTTAGGTAAAATTCAATTGATGGTTTGATTTAAATTCCATTTTTATGGCCATAGATAAAATTAACTAAGCTAAGCTGAAACAACTAGGTAGTATTTTTTAAAGTTATTTAAATAGATTGAAAAAATCTTTAATGCAGTCAGGACTTGAATCTACTACCAACGCGCATCAATGCTAACACTTTCTGATTGAGTTGACAAAAGTACATATTATGTTCATTGGATCATTGTCTGTTACTGAAAATAATATATAAATGAATTTGGCTTTTAGATGTATTTGGACAAAAATCCAATGTGTCATTGGTGTTTGACTTTATGGATACAGACTTAGAGATAATTGTGAAAGATAATAATATTGTACTTACACCTGGAAATGTCAAGGCATACATGATAATGACGCTCAAAGGTATAATCATAAAAATTATTTTACTATGAAATAAATCAATTTTGTCAATTGCTGTTCTTAGAGGACTATTCCCTAGAAAAAGTTAATAAAGGCATGAAAGCATTTTTTTCTTTAGGTTTAGAATACCTACATCAAAATTGGATATTACACAGGGACTTGAAGCCTAATAATCTATTAATTAACAGAGAGGGAATTTTGAAAATTGGTGACTTTGGTTTAGCAAAAGCATTTGGTTCACCAACAAGGATAAACACACATCAAGTTGTTACAAGGTGGTACCGGTAAGTATCTACAATAATCTATTGGACCCTCGTAACATTACTTTGGTAAGATTGGGGAGAGAACAAATAAATGTTACATCAGAAAATATTTTACTTTTGAATTACACTGTAAAATGAAATATGTATTTTGTAGGTCTGATTAAAATTATTATTATTTGACTGTACTTTATATAATATTACTTATAACTCACTTATAACCCATATCATTGATGTAATTTTCAAAGGTCACCTGAACTGCTCTTTGGTGCTAGGCAATATGGGACAGGCGTTGATATGTGGGCCATCGGTTGTATACTCGCTGAACTATTGTTGCGAGTGCCATTCCTACCAGGTGAATCTGACTTGGATCAGTTGTCAAGGATCTTTCAAGTGTTTGGGACACCCACAGAAGAAGTATGGCCTGTAAGTTATTTGATATATTCTTACGTTTTTATATCATACACTTGTTAATAGGCATATGTTTTTGTTGGTGATGAATTTTACCAAAAATTAAAATTATAACCAGATGTTTACAATACTGCATATTTCAAATGATCATTTTAATTTGTATCTGTTATTGTTGCACAAGGTTTGCATATGAACAAAAAGAAAAATTTCAGGGTATGAAAAGTCTCACTGACTATGTGAAATTTAAGCATTTCCCTGCACAATCCTTGCGACATATATTCAGTGCTGCTTCGGATGACTTAATTGATTTGTTGGAGACTTTGCTTGCGTTATATCCACCTCGACGCTGCGATTGCACACAAGCCTTACTGATGCCTTATTTCAGGTAATATTTGTTGTCTTCTCCAACATTTTCAAAATCCTTTGTTTTTTATTAAACGTATCATCAAAATCTTTTGCTAATTATCAAACGATTTGTGTTTGGACATACAATGATTAACAAACACTGAGCAGTAAATAAGTCATTTCTTGTGAGCTGAGAAATCATCACTCAGTAGTGATATGTGAAAAGATAATTCTAAAACTCAAAGCAATTAGTAGAGTAGTATTTTTTCTATGCTGAGATTCATTACATTTTTAAACTAACCTTTTGTTTTTGAACAGTAATAAACCACCACCTACAGTTGGACCCAAGCTGCCAATGCCATCCAATATACCGAAATTAGAATCGGAGAAACCATCACTCAAGAGAAAGTTGCTGGACAACTTAGACGGTGGCTCATTAGCCAAAAAATTACAGTTTTAAAATCAAATCATAAACTGTTAATTTTTTAAATTTACTCTTTTAACAAATATTTGAAGAGGTCCTTAAAAACCAAAATATCTTTATTGCATCAACTGAATAAGGAAAAAGACTAAGAATTCACTCAAAATTGTTTAGTTCAATGTTATGTTAGAGTGCAATTATTATAAGATATTATTTAATACAGGACATGTATAGGTAAGGTGACCGTAATTCTAAGACAAAAATAAAGGTAAATAAAATTTATATTTCTTATAAACTTTTCCTTATAACGTTTTTCCTTTCATCAACAGTTAAATAAAGTTAAATTAAAATTACTATTGACAAAATAGATTCTAGGCACCACATAAGTTTAATGCGGAAATAAAAACCACAATGTGTAACAATACAATAATAGGTATATTCTTAAAAGTTTCTAAAGCGCCGGAATTTACAACAATATCATATGATTAATTCCATAAAAGATTGATGGTTAGGCTCCTATTATTTACACAAAACTAGTTAAATATTTAGACAGAAACGTTACTTTCAACATTTTACTGGATTTGTGGAAACAACTGACCTGACTGGTGACCTGAAACAATATTGACAATGCAAAGTCGGGCCATTAAAAATCATTTTCAAACAAGTTTAACTAATATATCGCGTTTTAAACCGTTAAAGTGTTTTATTTAAATGAGTGAAGTTAGCAGCCGGAGCGCCAACGCGTATAGCGTAACCGGCTGTTAAAGCTCATACAATTTATTTTACCATGCCATACTAATGTATAGTAATGACTAATTATATTAGTTATAGTTCTTTTCTGTAGACCCCTCTTCATAGTTTAGGACATAAATTGTTGAAATGTAATTTTAAAAATTTAAGATGGTTATTTTTTCCACATTTCTCATAGTTTCTTCGTCCCTATTAGTCACAGTATGATCTTTTATAGCATTTTTTCAATTCGAACCAGTACACAACACAGAACAAACAAACAGACAAATTCTTCAGCTTTTTAATATTAGTATACGGTAGTATGACACAGTAGGTACAGTACCTACGACATGTCCATATAGTGCGGGTGCGTCATGTTTGGTGGAAGCGAGGATACAGTGTCAGTTCCACGAGATGCATACGGGCATCTGTTATAAAATAATGAGTATACAATTCGTGATTTCAAACAAATTTGCACATAAATAAATTGAAAAAAATTACAACTCTGGCAGGGCGTCAACCGGCATCGTCAGCGTGTCGAAATTTTTTTCAATTTATTTTCGATTTTTAAATTATATACTTAGTGCCTTCATGTGCAATAACATGTAAAAAATAATTAAGTTTTCAAATTTGCACATTTCTACACCTGAATTAATTTGTTTTCTTGAGACATACAACAACTTTACTGTTGGTGTAGCCATATATGTACATATATATTTTTAAACAGACTTACCATCGAATTTGTCCCCAAGCCCATTCGTCTTGTACGCTATTTCCTTATTCTTATTAATTTTCCTCTGCACACAAATTTTTACCTTATCTTTTGTTTTACATGACAATTTTTCCTTTTTATTTGTTTTGACGAAAATTTTTTACTTTCACATTTTCTGTGGGCAAACACAACTTAACTATTAATAAAAATGTAGTCATAGTCCAAGGCGCCAATTTATATAAACATTGTGAGTTAGCCAAGAGAAATAATGAAATGGCCTGTGAACTTTATTAACTGAATCACCTTGTTAGGAGAGTTGGAGACAACAGACAGGCGGCCGTATACGCCATACTTCCGTTCGTCCTCAGGTCGTAAAGTGCCCATTTTCTTCATTACTAAATATATCTGAAATAAAATAATAACATTTTTCCCTCGTGCATACACAATGAATCCTGGGTAATTGGGATCTCAAAGAACCAAGACACATGTACGAATTATCGAGGGGTTTCTAATAATCCAGATTTCCAACTAAGCAGGTTTCAAATTTTAGTTCATTTATACGGGTAATTGAGCTACTGTGTCAATTATAAAGGTAAACGAAGAAAAAGTCTTCGAATTCAAGGTTCATGAAGTTCCATTATCCAGGTTTGACTGTAGATGCAGATCATACTGAACAATAGCCTCTTAGTCAAGTAAACAAACAGACAGCAAACAGTTATAGTTTGCTCTTGAACTTTCAAGTATGGCTTTTTAAACATACCTGCTCTAACATGCCATAGCTACGGATTAGAAAGTCCCGCTGCGCTAACAAATTGACACGTTCTCTTTCTTCCTTCTCAACAATGGGATCCGGTTCGAAGGAACATAGCACGTAAGATGGTTTCTGTTCTTTCTCTTCCACCTGCATTTTACGAATAGAAGATGAGTCACCCGTTATAGCCGGCTTGCACGATCATTTTTTAAGAAGACACAACTATTTGAAATTTGCTAAATAGTATTGTTTAACTCACAACTCGCTGGACAACCGAGGGCTTAGCAGTCAGTTTCTTTTCATCCTTGGTTTCTTTTCGTTTTTGGTCCTTCTCAGACTTGGTTTTCACTTTTGTTTTGTCGCTGCTAGTTGTGGCGGTGACGTTAACGGTGGTTACTGTACTAGCTTCATCCGGAGCTTTCTTCTCTCCGTCTTTCAGCGGCTTTGGTTGCGATGGCTTTTTTAATGCTTCAGCCTTTGCTTTAGATTGCTGTAAATTAAATATATCATGATTAGTTTTCAAGTTTAGGGCTAAAACAGACCGCTCAAGTGTATGGACCTCAGGTCATAATCTCTAACCAAAAATAAAAAACGTTAGGCGTAGATACTCATAAGCTTATCGATTACCTGAAATTCTTCCCGCTGAGCACGAGTACAGTCGCCTCGTGCACGTGACGAGGCAGTCCCTGTGTATAAGGAGCCCGAAGGTTGTTGAAATAGTGAGGCGTACTGCTCGCCTACTGGGTACACTCGCCTATTCGCACAATTCAATTACATTATTCAATTGAAATCGTTTTAGATTTCGAAGCAAAATACCAATTTGTGTGACGAACCTAAAATTCCCCAAATGTGTTTCTTCCCATTGAATTTGCGTTTGCCAAGGACTCTTCTCTGGTTCTTTCTCTTCCGAGGGTGTGTACTCTGGAAATCTTAAGAAAACAGAATAAATTACCCCTTACACCCTTTCTTTAAAAATCCTGAAAGTCATTCAGCTGTAAACATACTTATTCGTCTGAAGCAGCCTATCTCGAATTCTCTTACGGTCCTCTTCGAGCACCCGCTTTTTATCGCATTGCCAAATATTGAGCATGGTAAATGTATCAGTGAGTAAGCCTTCTTTCACTTCACGATCCAATTGTGTGTCAGTATGAAAGCTCGGCGAGTGATTGACCTAGAAAGCCAAGATTGAAATGCTGGTCCTTACAAAAATTACTGTTTTAGTAATCCATTCTTTACCTCCAAGATGAACGGATGCAACTTGTGGTCTAGAAGAATGTCAAATCCAAGTATCTCGAAACATGCATGTACCTGATTCAATATTATACTTGAAAATATTTATTTTTCAATTCAAAAGCCTAACAACAAAACAAATGGGTTTACATCGACCAAAGTAGCAATAATAATTTCGTAATAAGATTATGAATGAATAAAAGGATTATCTGAGACTATCTTACGACTATTAATACTACTAACTGATACCGCAATATTTAATACAAAATACATAGAATAAAAAAATATATAAGTGTTACGCGATTCGTGTCTACTCAATAATAAGAAAATAGAAATTTAACCATGTCATGCGAGGGGAAACAGGCATGGTAACTATGCTTGAGTATCGGCCAGGCAGATATGATAGTCTTAACGATAACTTGGTCTATCGAGTGCCAGAGGCGGTCGAGGTCCACGCCTTGCGACAGCAGTATTTTATTCAGCGTTGATATCTTACTGATACATTAAATTTATTTCAATATTATAATTCAAAGAATTAATAAAATTTACCCTAAAGAGTACTTTTTATAGAAATTGGATAATTATTTAATTTGTTTGTAACTAGGATTTTCATTGACTCCGACACTAGCTTAAAAAAAATTAGTGCAGTGTGTAATATAAGTTTTAACAAAATGGACACCCTCAATCTTCAGTTCCTAATGACCACGACTGCTGCAAAGTATGAGACGTCGGTCATAGTTTAGTGTAAATAAGTTTAACTAATACATTTCGCGTTTTAAACCGTTAAAAGAAGGTAAACTAACCGTTTACTTCCAGCTTCCGAATCGTAAACATAGGTTCTACTGTGTTTGTTTAGAGCATAGTTAGTCAGATGCATAAAGACATTTGTTGTATTATTTACATTTGGATCAGCATACCTACTTGTTGCAAATCTAAAAAAAATTGATAAGATATTAAATCGAAAACTTGAACAGCTTACAAAAAATTAAATATATATTCTTGATTACCTGACAAGACCCTCATTGTACACAAAAATCCTCAAGGGATCACATGATGTAATAAGAGTGTACACTCGGATGTCAAATTTGTAACCATCCACTAAATATGGTTTTGATAAATAGACCTGAAAATTTTTATCTATTGGCAGATTATTATGTTAATAAAACAGAAGAAATTACTTTAAAACAATACTTTTCAGTATTTAAGAATGATGATGGTGATCAACAAACAGTATATCAAACCTGACAAATTAATTTATCTGTGGGTTTGATTTCTTTAAGAGATTTTGTTAAATAGATACCACGCCCCTGACTTCCACACTCTGGTTTTATTATGAAGGTCTTATTTTTTCTTGACTTGCTATAATTTAGTGCTTCACCAAAGCTAGAAATATTTTTAATTAAAATAAGTATCCTTTTCACCACAAACTCATAATTAAGTATACTAACTCAGCTGGTAGGCACCACGTTTTTGGAAAGAAATTGTATTCCTTAGGGTATATTTTCTGCATTCTATTCAAATTACGGGCCAGTAGATCCTTCCTGTAGAATCCATAAGGTGTTATATACAAAGCTTAACTATGTCAAACGTCATTATGAGAATACAAAAAAATGTTTTTTGTCAACCTGCAAATCTCCAACATCCCAGGAAAGTGATTTATTCTCTGGAACCTTTTCATTTCTTTTGCTCTTTCAACGGAAACACTCATATCAGTCCAGTAAAAATTCCATGCGTCTTCTTCAGAAACTTCTCTCATACCAAAAGCACTTGCTACCTTACGGATGGACTCATAGCGGCAATTTGTAAGGCATATACTTATTTGAGATCTAAATTAATTAATTCAAGGGACAGTTATAAATGGCAAATTATACAGTATTTGGTATTGATGTAAGAAAAATATAACTAAATAATAAGGTTACTTTTAATTATGTGTTGCACCCAAATTACCTCTTTCTCTTCTTTTTTTTACGTGTAGCTTCTATTGGTATAATGGGTGCAGTACGAGAAGTGGGTTGTGATGTATCATCTTCTGCGTAGAGTTTACTATCATAATTACGAAGTAAAATTGATGTAATGTTATCCATTTGATCATCCTTTAGTTGCTCCATACCTTTTTCATCTTCAATTTTAAGTATATTAATTTTAATGTAAAAAAATATTTAGTAAGACGAAGAAGTATTAAATTCAACATATACCTTGGGCATTTTCTACTTTTCGTTTAGAATGTTTCGATGTGTGCGGTACCTGTAGCTCTTCGTCATTCAAAAGAGACTCCTGTAACTCCAACTGGAAAATATTAGATAAAAATAGTACTTTATTAACAATAATTGATGAACTAGTTTGCAAAACACACCTCCATTTCATTAGAAATAAGAAAAGTCACAAAGTATCACAGTAGCTGATCATTCTTCAGTCTGTCTTGAAATCTTATAAGAATAAAAACTTTAAAGATAGGCCTAAATCACAACCCGACCTGGAATAAAAATTATAAAACTATTATCGGGATATATATACTATAATTTATAAACTAGAGATACTAACAAAACTCTACTAAACCAAATTTCGATAAAATTTTGTGGACATTGTCGGATATTGTTTTTTGTTTTTGTGTTATGTCAAAGCTCTAAATAATACAAAATTGTCAATTATATTTCACATCCATGTGACACCTTAATAGTTTCCACTTCACTTGTATTTTTCTTAATTTCTACTAAATCTTCAGCCTGTGGTGAAATACAAACACTAAAGATCTATCTATGGTGGTCACGTCCACTATCAATCAATTTCATGCTCATATCTGTGGAATATAATAGTTAAATAATTTGTGGTACGCATTGTCGTGATCTGTGTCAAATTCTTGTGCTGGACGATTTTGCCGTTCCGCCAAAGTACAGAGTCATCTAGATTTGTTAAAATGGCAGAAGGCCAAGAAGAACCAAAAAAGATTACAATCACAGTAAAAACACCGAAAGAAAAACAACAAGTGGATATCGAGGAAGATGCAGACATTAAAAAAGTAAGCTTAGCTACTCCAAACCTAAGTTTCATGGCGTAATAACATAGATATTGCACACGCAATCACTGATGACATTTATAAAATCATTCGGCAATAATAATCGAATGTAACTATGTTTTAGCTTAAGGAAGTGTTGTCTCCAAAGTTTAACGCAGAGCCTGAACAGCTATGTCTTATTTTTGCTGGAAAAATTATGAATGACAGTGATACCCTGAAACAACATAACATCAAGGATGGGTTGACAGTGCATTTAGTGATAAAAACTCCTCCAAGGCCGGAACCTGAAGGCGGTACTCGTCGGCCACCAGGTAAGCTTCTTACAACACTATATATTTTAATGTCAATGTTGTTAAAGTACCAAATTCTGTGCTGTAAACTTTATTCTATTATCCTAGTATGTCACAACAAAATATCCAACAATGCACTGTCACTGTTGTTTGATATTATGTTATATGTGTAAAATAATTAGTAGAATTTCATAGTTGTAGTAGCTATATTATCAACGACATCATCATGTTATCTTTTTCAGCTGATATAAGTGCTACTCCATTTGGATTAAATTCTTTGGGTGGCCTCGCTGGGTTAGAGAGTTTAGGTCTAGGGCAAAGCACCTTTATGGACTTACAGGTAAAGAAATTATAGTTTCACTTATAAATTTAGATTTTAACTTGTGGCTTAAGAAACAGAATAACTATCTAGTTTACATCCAAATTTTTCATAGGCTCGTATGCAGCAAGAATTATTGTCTAATCCAGAAATGCTAAGACAAGTTTTAGACAATCCTTTGGTGCAGCAAATGATGAATGATCCTGAGAATATGAGATCACTTATTACATCCAATCCTCAAATGCAAGACCTTATGGCTGTAAGTATTACTCCCTAAAGAATAATTAGTTTAAAGTCCTTGATGCTAATAACTATTGTGTATGTAGCGAAATCCAGAAATCAGTCACATGTTAAACAACCCGGACCTACTTCGGCAAACCATGGAATTGGCGCGTAACCCTGCTATGCTGCAGGAATTAATGAGATCACATGATAGGGCCCTTTCAAATCTTGAAAGTATACCAGGTATGTGTTTATGACTTGTAACTATGGACTCTGAAGGACATAAGATTGTGGTCAATGTTACTACATAGATTTTTATTCTAGGTGGCTACAATGCACTACAACGAATGTATCGTGACATTCAAGAACCTATGTTAAATGTTGCAAGTAGCATGGCAGGAAATCCATTTTCTGGACTGGTTGACAATTCGGGTATGCTATAAAATTTTCTTTCAATTCTTAATTTTTTTCAGTGCAAGTTTTTGAAAATCGTGGTATTTTCGTAATTGTTTGTTTGGATTGAAATTACTTGTTCTATCATCAGATGGTACCAATCCTCAACAAGGTGCTGAGAATCGGCAACCATTGCCTAATCCTTGGCAGAGAGGTGGAAGTGGTACAGGATCTACCACACCAGGTTCTGGCACTGGCCCAGGTCTAATTAATACACCAGGAATGCAGTCTCTTTTGCAACAGATGTCTGAGAATCCACGCCTCATGCAATCAATGTTGTCTGCTCCATACACTAACAATATGCTTCAAGCACTCTCCGCTGACCCAGAAATGGCCTCTCAACTCATTAACCAGTAATTATAAATTGATAGGTTGATGATTTTTTTATCTTTCGGGCTCTCCGGCCGATCGGCGCGCCAACCACTCCCCCCCCGTTTCGTCCCCCCCTCTGGCGGCCCCCCTCCCGCCGTCTTCTCCCCCCCCCCCCCCCCCCACTTTGGTCTCTCCCCCCCACACCCCCCCCCCCCCCCCCCCCCCCCCCCCCCCCCCCCCCCCCCCCCCCCCCCCCCCCCCCCCGATTGCAGGTAAAATTGTTGATTTTTATTTAATCTTAGATAATGTCTGCTTTAATTTTAATTCAATGTATTGTAACCTCATTTCAGAATCCTATGTTTGCTAATAATCCACAACTTCAAGAACAAATCCGCACCATGATGCCACAAATGTTGGCACAATTACAGAATCCGGAAATGCAGCAAATGATGTCCAATCCACAAGTAAGTACTAAGTCAAATGTTACAAGCATCTGTTTACTTACTGCTGAATGCTCTGTATATTCAAAACTAAGGAAAACAATATGAGAAGCAACAAAATAATAGGCGATAATATCAAAGAATTGAAGATGTAACAATTAATAAGTTTATGCAAGCAAACCGGATGGTTTGGAGGGGCATAGTGAGAGTTGGATAATCCAAAGTCCCCAGCAGAGAGAAAATGGGTGAAATGGTTAGCAAATAATGTGGACTGATCACCTAGCCTTCTATCAGTGTCACCAATAGAAATCAATAATAAATTAAATAAACAAAAGTTAATTTTACATGAACTGTGAGAAATAATACGTACAATAACGTTATAAGATCAACGGTGTAGCCCTGGTCTACTGTTGCGTTAATTGCGAGAGGTCCTTATATCCGTTAGGTCACAGAAGTCTGATTAACTATTTAATTCTAAATAAGCAATAGCTTAAAGGACAGAACATTATTATTGTTAAAAAATGTATGACATCATTGTCTTCTTCCCAGGCATTAAACGCGTTGTTACAAATTCAACAAGGCATGGAACAGCTTCGCACAGCAGCACCAAGTCTCGTTAACAACTTGGGTTTTGGCGCAGCCGCTGCCGCGGCTCAACCGCCCGCTGCACCCCCTACCGCACCGCCCGCTCAGAACAACCAGCAAGCTCGTCAACAACAGAACACTGAACTTTTCACGCAGGTTAGTTTACAATTTATTGAATCCAATAAATCTCATACGTAAATGACAATGTTTCTTTAACGAATAAATCGCGTTTAATTTGACGTTACGTATTTATTGATTCGATATAACTAGAAACGTGTTGGAAAGCGTTTGTGTACCGCCTTCGGTTAACACTTCTATTGTAAGCATTTGGAAACGAGATCTAGAGAATGTTTCTACAGTAACACAAAGTTGAACGCAGGTTAGTGATAGGTCATATGAGACAGTAGGCTAAATTATATGGTTTTCACATAAGAGTAAACCAAAACTCGCATTTCAGTTTATGCAACGAATGGTGTCAGCAATGGCTAATGACCAGAATAGCTCACAACAGCCCCCAGAACAGCGATACTCACAACAGTTGGAACAACTAGCTGCCATGGGATTTCTAAATCGGGAAGCCAATTTGCAAGGTACATGAATTATGAAACTGGAAGTATATTTAAAAAACTGCTAATCTATTTATAAGTGCACATTAATAATTGATGCTATTTTTTCAGCGTTGATTGCAACCTTCGGGGATGTTAACGCAGCAGTGGAGAGGCTGTTGGCACTGGGGCAGCTCTCCATGAGCTAACATACTCGTGTTCACCTGACCCACATACACCATGACTTTGATGATTAGGGAAATGCAATACTAAATGTACTGTTAGAGCTAATCAATATCATGGTGTAAGTAAATGGCTATACTTTGTGAAGTTTTATCTTCTCTTCTATCAAAATAGTTATTGTGTCATCAGAAAATCGTAATCCATTCCTTTTTTCATTTAAGTTACAAAATATAAATGGAAATTAGTAAACTAATTAAAAACGAAATTTGATTCCAAACCTATTTGCGTGAAGTTATTTGTAAAAGTGGTGTGTAAATAGCTTGCTTTGGGTGAGAAAAGATAAAGCCATGCAATAATTACATTTATAAAATTTGCTATTGCTTATGTACAGTCTTTGATGTAAAATTTGCTTACACAATTTTTATTTCTTTCAAGTTCTGTATATTTTCCATTTATATACCATAGTGACATCTACACATTAATATTTGTGTTATTTACTTATTAGAAAAATGCTTGATAAACATCTTTACAAAAACGTGAATTTCACCTCGCAGTAATGCTTCACTTGTTTTGTAATATTATGTTTGTACAGAATAACTTAAAAGACACATGGATGTGCTGTTGTTTTTCTCTTTGTCTTTTGGTGGTAGAATTTTGGTTCAGCTGTGTGCTCTAATTTATAGGATTCTAGTAAATTCTATTTAATAATGATCGTTCTTTAAACTAGAACATGCTGTTGCTCAGTTTTATTGGGATTTTGTTGAGTTGCCTAAAATTCTATGGAATAATCATAATGTAAGAATACTAATGTATCAATAGTCTATTTAAAGTGTTTGTTATTGTATTCTTTAAATTGATTATGTGTTAAGGTTTTTCTGCCTTCTGCAACATTATACATGCATAATTTATTGTTTACTACTTGCTGTGAAAAATATTGTGCGGGGATCTTACAGTGTTAAACAAGGAAGCTTTTTTGAACTTCGTCAGACATATTATTTAAAGTATTTCTTGTGAACGGAAAATATATTTATTTGTGAAGGAATACAATTACAAAATATACAAAAAGAATAAATTGTTTTTTTATTGTAGCACTATACTATACTTGTACTCCATACAGTGTTAATGTCTCCTCAATAGATATTATTAGCAAATTATTTGCTTACACAACCAAATACAGGGGTAGGCTACAGTAGCGGTAGTACAACGATATATTTTGATGAGAAGCAATTCCATTTTTTTGTTGGGTTATACTGGTTAACTCGCTGCATTATACATGAAATTTTCAAAAAAATCTTAAATGTCTTTCTCCTAAATTAAAATTATAAATTTCTTCTATCATATAGAATCGTCATCGTTGTTTATCGCTTTGTCGTTGTAATTTACCCCCCCTTAAAACCATTAGACATATATTTTCCCCAGATTTGGGGAAATACCCTGAAGTAGGCATCACACACCATAGAGAGTATTATTTTCTTTGCTTATGAATGACCGATCACAAAGTCACATATTTCGAAGTTGACGCTATTATCTTATTCTATACTTTATGAAAAAACCCATCCCTAAACTTTTTAATTGATCGTTACGGAATACGGTACTTTTTTATAAGCCATGTTTGTTTACTATTTACGGCAAACGCGAAAATGTACTATTCTATAGTCTACACTTATACACAGTACATTTAAATTTGAAATAGAGTAAATATATATAATGAAAAAATTATATTATTCCATCATGTTTTAAGGTAGTTTACGGATATTACTCTTAAATTCTCGTTTTCTGTTATTAATAATCGTTTCTAGATTACCCTTGGTAAGTTTTTTAAACTGGATTTTTATCACACAGAAGTCCTTATTATCGCACAACTACAAGAAGATGTATTCTACTTTTATCCAATTACCTTTATTACCATTCCAGATACTGATATGTATTCTCCAAGGCAAAAAATACTGTGGTTCGCTTTTAATTCAAGACTTGTCATATTACTAATACAGGCTATCAGTAATTTGTTAATACCAGACCATGAAGCAAATGTATTTACTAGTCCAAAAGATCCAACATTAAGGAGGAACAAAGCTGATTCAGTTGTCGATGGGCTATTGGGTGGACTAAAGAGATGGGATGGTCAGTACTTTATTCATATAGCGCAGTATGGATACACCTATGAGAACTGTTTGGCATTTTTTCCTTTATATCCTTTAATAGTAAGACACTTTGCTTATGTACTAAATAGTGTTTCTGGTAGTTTTCTTAATTATCATAGCAATTTATTAATATCTGCAACTTTGATCAACTTAGTATTTTTTATAAAATCTGCTGATATTTTGCATAGACTAAGTCTCAGAGTTCTTCGAAGTGAAAGCAAAGCTTACAAATCAGTTATCCTGTATTGTGTTAATCCTGCTAGTATATTTTTTGTAGCACCATATTCTGAATCATTGTTTGCTTTCATGTCATTTTATACTATGTTAAAGTGTACAGAGCCTGAAACGTTGCGTTTTGCAAACATAGATATGTTGGGTGCTCTACCAGCTGGATTTTCAATGATAACAAGATCTAATGGGTCTGTTAATTTAGGCTTCATAATTTATACTTCCTTTAAAAACACTATTGAGAGAACAATACCTGAAATAATGTACAAGTATAGAACTCTAAAGAATAAAATGATTCTGCCAGTTCTACTTTTGCCCTTGATAACTTCTTGTCTTGCATTGGTAATGACTGTTACTGTATCTATTATTCCATTTGTATTAGTTCAAACTTATAACTATTTCAAATTTTGTGTTTCAAGTGATAATGTTTTACCAGAATTTTTGACTGAATCCAAATTTGTATTACCAGGAAGTGCTGTGAGTCCGTGGTGTAATTATACATTGCCTTTATCATATTCTTACATTCAAAGTTATTATTGGGGTGTGGGATTTTTAAACTACTACCAATTGAGACAAATCCCTAACTTTATGTTAGCATTGCCTATTTTCATTTTAATTCTATACAATTGTTTTTCATATCTAAAAAGCAATATGGCATTGTTCTTAAGAGTGGGGCTAAAAAGCAATATATTATCAAATTTCAGTTATGCAGGCAAAATGCCTTATAAGGTAAGACAATATTCTAAAGGATTTGGTGCCAATGACCCAATGTTTTTTGTATATATAGTCCATGTAATGTTTTTGTCAATTTTCTGTATCTTATTTGTGCATATTCAAGTTTCAACAAGGCTTCTAGCATCTTCAAGTCCAATATTGTATTGGATTTGCTCAAGTAAAATGAATGTAGGGCCAACTCCAACATCTGACCAGAACACAATCAATGAACATTTTCGCCGAATAGGTGTAGGAAAGAGAATACCGTCACACCATTTATCAATCGCAAATTTAGAAGGAGTGGATAATATGTATAGTAAATGGAAAACCTTTATTATTTCCCAAAGAATGCCAGACTTACAGTCTCGATTTATACAGTTTTATTTTCTTAGTTATGTTATTTTTGGGACAATTCTGTTTTCAAACTTTTATCCTTGGACTTAATTCATATTGCATTAATATTATTCACATATCGTATATTCTTCTACATATCATCTTATAAATAAGGACATTACAAAATACAAGGTCAATTTTTGCTTGAATTCCAATAATACGCGGGGCCTTTAATCTTAGTCCATTTTTACCATGTAGTTAGATAATATATAAAATGTATTGTCATTGCATAATGTTGCCTTTTAATATATAATAAGGACTCAATAATTCTAGTCATAATACTGTGCCGATGGATGAATGATTATATTTATTGATATTGTTAAAAACATCCTAGATAGTGAATTGTCACAAAAAAAGACATCAACTAGTCATATAAATTTTAGCTAGTTAAAGTTTTAAAATTAGTATTAGAGTTAGAAGTACAAAAAGTAATAAGCACAATAATAATAGCCTATGTTTGTAATTTACACAACCGTCCCTTAAGCAATAATGTTGATTTTTAAAATTATCATTATTCTTATGGAATTTTAGTATTTTATAGGAGTTAGACTTGATTGACACTTACACAGTTGTCCCACCTCTAACGATGAGCGATACCCGAGCCTAGCCACAATTAGAAACTAAGTGAGATTGTTTCGTCGCTGGTTTATATGCGTAACTCGGCGTAAGCGAGTTATCGCTAAGTGATTTTTTATAGATCAGCAGCTCAGTTACAAACTAGTTGAGGGAGGCATCCTGGCCGTAAATATAGTAACTGTCAGCGCATATCTATTTAAAAATATGCATCTCATTAGTTTACACTGAATGTATTCTTTTATGCGGGAAAGCTAATAGTCATTTAATCGTCGCTGGTGGGATAAATCTCTGAAACAGATCTATTAATGTTAATAGATTTCATAATCCGGTGTCGCCAAAGTTCTCTGACATGTGTGCTGTAAGTTAAATTTAGGATGACAATTTGCAATATATATTAAAATACTTGTAAGTGTAAGGATTTAATCGGTTGTGGAGCTATATGCTTAAGATAATGCACATTACTGCTTAAGACGACATTTTTATAAATAAATAAGTTTCAAATTCTAAAAGTTTTATTTCTTCAGCATACGTGATATTATTTACACGCCCATATCAATATAGTTCACACATTATATATCAATAAAAGCAGATTATATTCTTATCCCATACAGTCAGTTGTATGCTTTTCCTGAAGATAGTTATTTAAAAACATATAATTTATAATATAATAATGTTGTTTCCTTAAAATTATCCTTTATATATTTAATTCCTTCATATGATTTAAAAATTATTACATGGCTGTAAGTTTAAACATATTATTTGTATCTGACCTAGAATCTTTTGGATAAGATTCAGTACACCAAATTAGTTCACACATGTAAAGTTTATATAGATGTTTCTGTGCTATCTGGGACACAGTCAGAATTGATAGCTTTAGGTGAATCTGCAGTTGAATCAGGAAGGACCATATCTATGGGGTCGGTTTCCTGTAAATCGGCAGCGGGGAGAATTTCCTCGCCGCCGGCTGGACCCTATGCGACCGCCAACGCCTCTCGCAACCGCAGGCGAGCTCGCTTCACCCTATCTTCTTGTCTCTTAACATCCTCCTTAGTTATTGTTACGGCTGCTATCAATGGCTGTTCTGGGTTTAAAAAAACTCCTGGGTTTTCCAATATTGTTTGTTTTGCTCCAGTTTGTCCTGGAAAAGTTTATTAATCATTTATTTTAAATGGTCATGGAGGGAACAAACATTTTATAATTTAGTGTTTCCTTGTCTACAATATAGACTTAAGTTAAAAATATACCTGTTATTGGTTGAGATGAAACATGTAGTGCTGTTGCTAGAGACTGAATTGTAGTTGCATCTGATGTATAGGGACCCAAAGGTTTTATGTATCTTGGTAGTGAAGTGGTACCAATAACACCATTAGCGTCACATGCTGTAAGACCCTGTAATATTTACATTAACATACAATCAAAATAAAAAAAGACGAGTTCACCATTGCTTTTACTGAGCACTACCATTATTAACTGTTACTTATAAACACTATTGCAATTGAAATTTCATTTACCTCAAGCCTTTTTTCCCAAAAAAGTTGTTTAGGCTTTTCCTGTGTACCATGCTTCAAATCTGTTTTCACTTTACTCTCTTGCGTCTTGTATACTGTAACTGGTTGCTTGAAAATTGAAGCTGTTTGACGAATAGGTGGCACCAATGATGCGTCGGACCGAACACCTCTGTATCAAAAGGAAATATTATTTACCATATTTTTATTTTTAGTAATTTTCTTAAATAGAATAAAATATTATGTTGTAGTCATGTATAATCGCCATAGTGAATTAATTTTAAGTATAGGTTCATCAATATTTAAAAACAAAAAATAAACACAACAGTAATTTTTATGTCTATTTCAGTTATTTACCATGATAATATGAGATGAACCCCATATGTTAAATAACGTCATGCATATTATTAGTCATGCTATGGTCTATATGGTGTGATCAACTTTTATGCTGTGTACATTGAAAACCAAACCAAAATTAAAGAGCAAAAATGAATATACAGCAGGACTTCTGAAGTTACCTCTAAAGAAAAATTTTACTGTGTTACTATTTTAGAGTTTGGCTGTGAGTGATTGTTGAGTAATAGCTTTTGATAATTGACCATCACAAGGAAGTGGCAATCAGTTGAGAAAAACTCAATATTTTCTTAGGATACTAAAACACACATTGGCCACAAAACCTTTGTAATTTTTTACAAACTAAATAGAGTAGGCATGACAGATGTCCTACTGTATATACATAATAGTCTTATAGTAAATAATATACCAAATTTGCTGTTACGTATAAATATAACAATTATTATACACTTTATTTTTTCATTAGTGTAAGACTGTTATGGAATTTTACTGTTTAATGAAGCTGAAGGTGTAAGGCACGACATAAGCACTACCAAAACTTAGCTGTAAATATTGGTCTGTTCTTCAAACCTGTGCACTTCTATATCATCAAATAATAAACACACTAAACGAAGCAAATTCAAGAATTGCAATATAAGATTGAAGCTAAAACGAAAGCTAAGTGTTGAGCAAAAAACAGATGTAACACAAAGCAGGACTGCACTAGTGAACACAACACAGGTGATACAAGATAGGACACTGATAGTTGAACCTGTAATCAAACTGCGCACGTGCTTTCTTGGCCTTGCACAGCAGCATGGTGTTTATTTGACCTTGCTGAAAGTCGAAACATGACAGGTCCGTACTATCACCAAGATAACGAACTAGTTCTGGTTTACTGCGGAACTTTTTACCTGTTGGGCTATAGAAAATTTAATGTCACCATAAACTGACTTAAATAGTGGTTTTAGTTGTGTTACTTGTTGGATAGCAATGGTGATTGTTATTTATGGCCTGTGTGCAAATAATTACAATGAATGGCTTAGGATCAAACAACTGATTTTTAAACTGCATATACCTATTCTTGTTAGCAGCTTAACAGTAGGTAGAAAGACTTCTCACAGTTTTAATTTTAAGGCAAAATAATGTTCATTGCAATACATTAAGCTATTACATACCTATAGTAATATACATCTACTTTTCCAGCTGAGAGTCCACTTTTTCTTATCACTTCTTCCCTTTGCCATCCCTTGGGCAAGGCAGGACAATCCATTCTTTTTTTCTCAATAGATATATTCATTTTGATAGGTGTTATTATAGTAAGGCTGTAAGTAAACACATGCGTCGGAACGAATTCGTTGAGATTTAACACTAAGACCACTTAATATGAAAGAAAAGTACTGGATACTAATTCAGGACGTTAAGTTAAATGGAATTGAAAAAAGGTATTTTTTTTATACCTACGTATAATTCACACGTGTTAAGAGATCGGAGCTTAGTATAAACTACAAAGTTTCATCATTAATGAAAGCGTAACTATAAATATTCTTTTTTATTGATACCTCCAAGATAGAATGCACTAACGATGCACTGGAATTCAATATACAATAGCAGACAGTAGTAGACATTACAATTACAACAATACCACAGATCTTTGATAAACTTGTCAAATCTGTGTCACAGGCATATTCCGTTTATTTTCCAAATATGCCCTTTATGGATAGATGATGTGTGTATGATCCAATTAATATCATACCAGTGAATATAATAAGTCAGCTAGTAGTTTAGTTTTGATTTAAATTCTTGGTAATATTCATTACCGGAACTTTTCCGATGTTTTCCAAACTACAAAAATAGATATCATAGACAATATACATTGTAACCTGACGTTTATGAACAGACGTTTTAAATTTATAACGTCTGTGCAAGAAGAGATATTCTGTAGTTTATTTTTTTATTGCTAACATAATATAACGGGTTAGTTTGGAAAAATGATATGGTCATCGATCATTGTCAGTATTTGCCTTATGCCTATTTTAAATTAAAAGTATTTTTTAGGATAGTATAAGCCTCATTAGTAATAAGTGTAGCGCTTACAAATATTTACTTAAAAGTGAGTAGATTCATATTAATATTAGTCATAAGGAAAATGTATGTGTTAACTGTTATTATTGCCAACTTTTCGATTTGCTTTCACTTTTGAATAACGAGTGCTTAGTGATGTGACTAGTAAGAATTGGGCTCTTACCGGGATTATGATTTTACAATTGTACATAGGTATTTTAATTTGCCCTTATAATCTTCCTACGTTTATTTATATATAGAAATAACAGGGTAAAGTGTACATACAATTATTTTGAGTATTTGTTATTACCTTCACTAACCTCAACATATTGCAAGTATTTATTTATGTATTATATTATGTTATTTGATTATTAATTTTATGTGTAATAAATCTATAAGCCCACATTATAAAGTATATTAACATAGTAAAGTATATTGTGATATGTGATGTGCATCTAATATGGAATTATTAACATAAATAAATTTACTTTACTTACTAAAAATTATTTTAAAATTGGTATATATTTATTAATTAAAAAGTTATTACGTTTAGTATGTAAAATCCAGTGATGGAACAGCAGGCTATTTTGATTCTACTATATGACTCACAAACAGTGTACTTGAGTTTATGAATGGATTTTTAGGAACATTTGTATATTTCTTACAAATGATAATGCAATTAGTATTTATCAAAAAACTTACTAATATTATAAATGCGAAAGTAACTCTGTCTGTCTGTCTGTTACTCTTTCACGCCAAAACTACTGAACGGATTTAAATAAAATGTGCTACAAAGATGGTTTACATCCTGAGAAAGAACATAGGCTACTTTTTATTGCGAAAAGGGTGTTGTAAGGGGTTAAAAGGGGGGGTGAAAGTTTGTATGGACATTCGTGGCTGGCTTGGCTTTTTGGCAATAGGAGTGGGAGTTAGAGTAGAAGTAATGTGAGGTGAGAGTGATGCGGCAAACTAGCACTTACAACATAGATTGGCTGCGATAAATGCACAAGTACATAAATTAATAATCAGCCTAAATAATTAAAAATTCTACCCCAAGTCACTATTTCATGCGAATTTTAATATCTTTATTTAATTATTGTTTACAATAGAACATTTTCATAAATACAATTCAAAACTACAACTTTGAATGGAGTCATCTTAATTACCATCTGTAGTTTATTTTTAATGCTATATAATTTGTGTTTCCTGAGTTTAAACAAATTAATGTACATATAATAAAATAAAAGTAAATTAATATTGGAAATCCCTTTATTAAAAGATTAAATAGAATTTATATACTCACAATTGTTTAAAATAGTTACTTAAAAACACTTTCACGGACCGATTAATAGATTTTATAGTACTAATAAGTGAATTCTATGTTTGTATAGAATAAAAATATGAAAATACAATATGTCACACACTTAGTGTTACAGTGACCGAATAAAAAAAATCACTTTTTTGGTAAATCGTATAAAACTATGATGATGGCGTTATTATAGTACTGTCAGTGTATTTCTCTAATTTTACTTAAATTTTGAGTTAGATCACTCTAACACTAAGTGTGTGATGTGTTGTATGTAAAAAAAATTGATTAAACTTAGATTATTGACCTTGAAGGTACATTTACATGCTATAGATACATTTCATATAACACCAACCAGGTGCTTGGAATCTCACGGGCCTAGATATTAATTAGTTTGAATTATTTACTACAGAACTCCAACAAATGTCGACATTGTAATAAGCCTTGAACTTCCTTTTTTTAACAATGGCCACAATTTTTGCTAAGGTTAACCTATATTTGGATTTAAACAACGACTTTAGTTGTGTCAGTGTTTTACTCATGCTGTTTTATGGGTTATATGGAGAAGCTATAAGCCCCTATGCTTACCTTGAGGTTAGCAACCATCAAACTAATGGACATAAAAGACATGCACGCAACGTACCTTGATTCGGCTTCGTTACAATAACATGTAGTACTTATACTTTGATTATTTTGCGTGTTAAATATTTATGAATTAACATTATCAGAAAAAAAAACATTCACAAGTTTTCGTATCTATAACGTAAAATTGTTCGCATTATCGTTGAACTACCTTTAATTTTATTTTCAAAAGATAAGATTTCATTTAACACCTTTTACGCCTCGCGAAATGTTTAATGAAGGATACAAAATCTTACAAATAACGTATTAATATTGCAAACATTTTTTTAAGGACAACACAACATTGCATTAATTTTTGTTTCACTATTTTTAAATTACTATTGTTTATTATACTATTAGGTTGTTCTTTGGCATAGGTGCCATGTGCTATATCTGGAGAAGTATTGTACTCTTTTGTTTTGAAATTAAAAAAAAAAACTTATTCTTATCCGTCTCTCAGAATGTACAGCCCTAAGCCACAAAAATGCCAAGGTGGCAACTGGCAAAGTCGTGTGCAAATAAAACAAGGTACGGGCTACGGAGCTATTAAGGTCCCTCCGTTATCATAGGGTAGGTGGTACTAGGTAGGGCTTTGTTGTTGCCTTCGCCGAAATGTCAGGAGTGGCCTATGACGTCACCCCGCGAGAAAATAGCACGACATTTCATGGTGCTCGCGGATAGCCACACCCTAGTTTCCTTAATCTTTCATGACTGGGTTACCTGTATCGTGCTAAGTCAAAACGAATTTGTTACACAATTCCCTTTAATAATATTTGTTTGTATTGTCCACAGAAAAGAATAATGACATCAAGGATTATTCACCACGAGTCCTGTCTTCGGGACTTATTGTAACTTGTAAGTAACCTTGCGATAAAATACCCAAATTCAACCTAACAATATGTAGTGCATTTCACAATAATTCGGATGTAAAACGGCAAACCGAGAAACGAAGGAACACCGTGAGTCAGTTCTGTATGGACCTGGATGGATGGTTTCTGCAAGTATCTCTATAAGGAAACCCTCATAGCAGATTCGACTTATACATTAGGGACACCCTCCATCTTCAGTCCCCCCGTGACCACGGCTGCTGCAAAGCATTCGAAATGTCGGGGCATAGAAAAAATAATTTCTAAATAAGTTAATTAATACCTTACTCGTTTTAAACCGTTATATTTCATTACGTAGTAGGTATATCGTATTTAACATTTTTAGAATCTACCCCTCGCTTTAGTGCACTAGTTTATTGTTTCCCGGGGTATGTTGAATTTCGTCAAAAAAGCCGTAACCTTTATTTGAATAGCTTTCCTATACGTTAATTAGATGTTGTCTCTGAATAGTGTCGATCTTTTGTCCAGCTAATGTATTTCGTAACAGGCCAATCGGAAATCCAATATTTGTAATGGCTGGCCGTCTAAATCCTATTACCGTGCAAGCAATCAGTTAGAAAGAGCCGGGTTATAACTAGACCATCGGGGTGACCGCATAGACGCATGGCCGCGCCTAACTCAATCACGTACCTGCCTTACTTGAACTTCTAATGTTCCTGAAAGTGGAACGTGGAATTGTGCAAACGGGTCATCGCAACCTTCTGTTATAGCGCCGTTTGTTTTATATTAAGCGCGAATGATGCGACACTTTGTGGCGCATTGATTTTTTGTAAATAAAGCATTTGTTTGTTAACGACGCCTAAGCTTTGTCGTTGACATCATCGGGCCAAAGGTTTTCCGACAATCGAATAATGATTGACATATTAGAGCTTTTGCGATTATTACGAAGACTAGCTGACCTGGCAAACGTTCTTTTTTTTCATATGAAATATTTCGACGAGATTTCATCCCCGTAAACAAGGTTCTTGTGATTTACTGTCGAGAGAGGAATGTTTTTTTCATACATTTTTGGTATCTTGAAACGTTTATTCCATATTTCCCTCTGTATGTTCGCTTCTATTAGTTGTAGACTGATGTTCTACAGTCTAAATCCTTCTTCGATAAATGCTCTAACCAACACAGCCATTTTTTTTAAATCGAACCATTAGTTCCTGAAATAAGCGCGATCAAATAAACTCTTCAGCTTTATTGTGTAGGCACGCACTGCAAGTAGACTATACAGTATGTATATGGCTATTGTTGTGATCCAAGATTCTACATCGAAATTTTATGTCATGGGCACAATATTTGTTTGTAACAGAGATAAAACTTCAAAAAACGACATCAAACGCGCAAAATCGAGATGTTGTAAACGTTCCATAGAAGATAAAAGTGTTGAGCAAAATTATAAGAAATTTTCAATATCGTTTAAATTTACGAGCGAGTCTTATTACTTTTTTAATAGATTGACTATAGACCTATAAACGTTTTTTCCGTAACTAACCATTCCTATTTATGCCGCAAACACAAAGTGTCTGTGTGTTTTCGGCAAAATTTAAGGTTGGTACTGCTTTTTTTATCATAAAGCAGTTTATAAGAAAAAGATCATTAATTATTTGTTCAACAATTTTGTTGTAAAAATATCTAAAAACCTTCCTTTACCATCTTTTACCGTTCGTGTTTCCTCACGTATAAGTACAAAATGATAGTGGTTTGGGCCGTGCGCATGAGTTGGGTGGCGTGTTGTTATGGCGATGAACAACTTTAACTTAGTGCATTCAGTACACACGCACTTAGCTCGAATCGCGGTCGCTTTTACGCACACGTAAATTTGTTTCCCATTCACCACTGGTTGTGTACGGCTTGAATTGCGTAAGCACTTTTTAATCTGTTTTATCAATAATATTAATCTATAAGGTACTACGCTCTATATTATAAATACGTCTACGATATCAAGGCAATGCAAATATTTTATACAAGGGTGTTTAAATCTAGTGTTTTAAGCTGCAGCCTACACAATATTCCGCAAGATTGTATAACGACACTATACTACTAACACTAAAGGTATTATTCCGCGTATTTCACACGATAACACCTAAGAAATATTATATTATAGGTTCTCACCCTTTCTGTATAATATAATTCATCAACTAAACGATAAAATGTCGATAAACGCAGTCGAAATTAAATTTTAATTAAGAAGTAGTTCGCAGTTGCGTGATCATATAAAATTGTCATTAATTTAAAAACGAAAGTAAGCTAAGGACGACCAGTTATTTTGGTGAAAAGTACAAACAATTATGCAATTATATTTATATGTTACTGGAAAGTTGTTTTTGATAGTTCTTATTACAGCTAAGTATTGTTTCCGAATGTCCAAAGCGAAAATAAGTTGACGGGGTAACTTAGTATGCAGTATTATTTAGCATGGTGGGGTCATGATTTACATCAAGTGATCTCCGTGCTTGCATAGTCTCCCATATCCCCCCTGTTATATAAAAAATCAATATTAGTATATTTCTGAAGAAAATTTTCATTATTTCTCGAAAACATATAAGGGCAAGTTTATGTGATAATAAAAGTTTGCCGTGTTATTGATAAAAAATAACCGACCAGTAAAGCTCGTGTTATAAGATTTTATAAAACTTAGAGAAAAGAAGGCATCGTCAAAATAACACTCGCTCACCTTGCTGATTGCTATAACGTACGCTAAAATGTATTATAGTATAATATACGGGCGGCTAAGGCTATACAATATACTACGATATCAAAACAGTGCGTCAAGTTCTTCGCTGGCGCTCGCACGCTGTGGCCTGTGCCATTTCGGTCTGTTTTACGAAATTCGAATATATCACGTATATTTACGAATTTACAAGTGCCTTATTAAATTGATAAGTAATTAGCGATATTGTTATTTAGTTTAGTATTACGTTGTTATTGTTAAAGGAGTGAATATTGCAAAGATCCATTTTGAATCTTATTGCTAATGTAAGTATCTTAAATTCGTATTGGGAAAACCTTATAGCAAACTATTCCAAATTTAAACAACATAGAACACCTGCTATCTATGCCTTAATTTGTTCTTCACCCGCTTTAAACGACATAAATAAGATGTTTTATGATTCTTTGATTTAAATTAAGTTGAAGAGGCCTGAGGTTAGTTACACAAATAATTACATAGTAAACCACATAAACATTTAGAAATAGTTCGGGTATGAAATCTTCGATGTGTTAGACATCGTATTGGAGGAAGATTTTCGCAAAGTTTTGCCATCTCAAAGCACTGGTTAGCCTTGAATACGAATAGTGACCTGGTACATTTATGTTTTGATGTCTAGAACTGAATTATATACTCATTGACAACTCATAGTACAGTTACGATTTAATATTAATTATGCAATGCATATGACAATTAAAAAAAAGCCTAAATAATGCCGATATCTTTTTATGAGTATTTGCTTTTTACTATTACTTATATAATACACCTTATAAATACGTTATTTATGTCTGACGTTATATGCTGTTCGGTCTTTTCAAAGTCCTTTTTTTCTCATCTGTCTGACTGTTTTTCGACGTTGTAATAAACCAAAACTAAGAAAGTTAAAATATGTACTCATTTTTGGGAATATCCGAATTCAGAGTTGTATAGTGAACTAATCGCAATTACTGCTAGTTGAGACGCAGCTGACCTCAGACCTCCTAATTCACGTCCACTTCTCCAACTACGCTGATGTTATAAATATAATAATGGAATTTAATAGGCGTGTCCATATCGCATGAAGCCGACCAAAATTTTGCAAGTGCGTAAAAAGTAATAATTATTTTCTTTTGTTAAACATAAATTATACGTAATTTAAAAGTTTTACGAAATCCAAATAAAGTTCTCTCAAACTCGTGTTAAGTATATAAAATGTATTTCTTTGAATGTCTTTCATATTAAGCTATTTTCTTTGATCAACAAACTGAAATATTTTTTAGACTTTGTGTAGAGCTAAGTTCAGCTAAGAGCATATTAAAGTAAGTTTATGTTAAACGCCAAATCATTACTAAGTTAATACAACCTCCTTGGTTTACTGCTAATAATTTTCGACTGACTGTAATAGAACGCCGTACAAAATTAAACTATCTATTCATGTAATTAAAATGATATAACTTGATAGGTAGGTATCCAAGTGAGAAGAGAAAATGCAAGCATTAATGTATTTACTATTTAATGAAATGTACTTTAAAGGCAATATGTATATATGTACTTAGATCTATTTATATCAGCATTATTGTATAATTGAAAAACATTCCTCTCATAACAAAGTATGATTTATTCACGCGTTGCATAACAACGATTTCAATTAGATCAAATCGATTTTAATCAGCACTTATCAAAGCAATAAACAGACTGAATATTAGTAAATATATAATATTTAAATATATCTTGTACATAGATAACGACTAGAAAATAATAAATCAGTTTAATTTTAGTTTCCTGCAGAATCTGACGGCAGCCAGATTCAGGTTACATAGAAATCATAATTATACTTATTCGAAAAGTATTTTTATATAACAATAAATCCCAACTTTTATCTTATAATACTTTATCAATCATTAATTAGATCAAGTAGCTAATTACATATATACATGTTAAAATTATAAACATTTAAGAACTGTAGATTTGTTAATGGTTTGTGCTTAAAATTCACACATGATACAATAATTCTGACGTAGCTGTCCAAGTGTTCAGATTGTGGCTCAAGGCTTTCCAAGTCATGATGTCACTCGGTCCATGGTATACAGACTCCTTGTTTCAGATCAATTACGTATCGCAATTATCGGCATCATAAATAATATGAACTTGACCTAGCCCAGCCGTATCTGACCAAGTAATTTTGAATTATTGGCATGTTCTTATGTAAGACTTCCTTCAATTTATATAAAGTGTTTATGTAGCCCATAGACAGTTATTTATTGTAAGAATTAATGTTTCGTTATTTTAAAATAAATAATGATTAATATCACTTATATAAACAACTAGCTACGTCAGCGTCTTCGCGTATAATAGTTATTTTGTGCATCAAAATTTGTTCTTGAAATCCCACTAATATCTTTAAAAATGTAAAAAATTGAATAATTCTTTCATATATATTTTTAGAGTGTCTTAAACTTTTTTCGCAGCGTACGCATCGGAAACCCACAATGTTGAATAATGTTCCCATTTTTTTTACATTTCTTGCTGCATCTTCGCTTGTATTGGTCACAGGGCAATGTTTCATAGCCTTCCTCGATAAATGCTCTAATCGCAACAAAAATATTTTTTTAATAAATTTTTTTTCATGGTTCCTGAGATTAGCGTGTTCAAACAAACAAACTCTTCTGCTATATATATTAGTATAGATAAAAAATAGCCTCATACTTAAATAGAGATTATTCTACTTAGCGCGTCACCACGTCTACCAGTTTAATGCAGACAGTAAAGTTATGAGTGTTAAATTATCAAATTTTCCTGTTACAACGACATAAAAAACAACAATTCTTACCTATATATGGAACGTGCATTGAAAATCCGTGAAATTAATGTGTTTGCGATGGTCTTTTGGGATTATAAAAATGCGAGATTTCATCTTAATCCGGTTGTATTGTTGCATAATTGTAATTATCTGCAAATATTAACGTCACTGATATAATATTATAGCCGTATTAATGTACTAATGTCTGTGTATAAAGCAGTATTTGATTATTATTACTATATAACTTCACACGCGGGATTCGTTCTCACAGAAATCCTAATTAATTAAACTGTTTAAAAAATAATTATATTTTGCTAACGAGTTGTGCCTATTATCATTACATTAATAGGATCATTATAATATAATATTTCTTTGTCTTACTCAAAAGCACCACGGCACGGAATAATTCCTTAAAATTCCCGAGTTGTATCCGCGAAGAAGGTTAATGATTTTTTTGTCAGTATATCATTTGCACTAATGCCTTAACTACATAACTAAAGGAAATGTAAATATGGAATTTCAATATCGATCGATCGATCGATTCAGCCGTTCAATGTCCACTGCTGGACATAGGCCTCCCCCATAGACTTCCAGTATATATGATTAGAATTCAATTTCAGAATTTCAATATGATACTAAGTAACTAGAATCAAATATATCCATATTGTTACACAAAGGTAATGTTCGCGTTACTTCGTTCTGGATAATAGTGTTAGTAACTAAACTTTGTTATTCTTTCGTACTAAGAAATATAAGTACTGGTGATATCTATCAGCGCAACTCAATTCCTTCAATCAAGTTTAATTGTCTCATTATATTACGGACACAGCTTGATAGACGGTTTTAGTGTTGCGAGGCGTCTCGGCTACACCACTTACATTGTGTGGGCCCGATTTATGGGCCCATATTGTTTGGCTCTCGTAAATCCCGTGGCTATTACGTTTTCTATCTAATTACAAGTTTCGTTGTTACTGTGTGCTGGATCATTCGTTAATTTGCCGATAATACGAGGAAGTTTTTAACGTGAAATTGAAACAAAACGCCAATTTTAGCCATTTCAATGACTTGATGTATTTTTATTTAATTCGGCTTATTTAATGGTCAGTAATATGTTTGCATTGTAAATTTTTGTCCGATGGTTATAAAAATTTCACTACTATAATGTTTGTTGTTCATTATATTAGTGAACATAGAAACTTTATTATATTTTATAAGGCTTTCAGCGTAATATTATTTTCACATAGGGATATAGGTGTTAGAAACCTTTATTTTCGTGTATGCATATCCTTTGAATTTTACAAATCCTACTAGTATTTTCTAGAAGACCTCTGTCAGTCCATCGATAGTTCAGAACATTAGGCATTGACCTACCATTTGGGCTACATTCGAGGTTCTCCATTTACAAAGCTTATACGACACTACTACTACTAGCCTACATTATTGCTACATACAACGCCATCGTACTTTTTAACCCTTATTTTCAGCGCCAACCTTAATGTATATAAAAACCTGTACATTACTAGGTAAAGCATTCCTGTATACATTATATAATAATTATTATATTTGTAATAAGATTTTCCTCCTCGTTGTTACAGGACGGCGAGGCGCATACCGGGTCCGCAGGATGCCGATCGCACCGCGCGGCCCTCCGCACATCTCGGTACCATACCGCCAGCGACTTCATAAGAGACCCATCTTAACCCTCAAGTGCCCTTAGTTATTGTAAAGTGTAACTTTTGTACGCCTCTTTTACACCGACCCGTATACAATAAGTAGATAGACACCGTGCTAGTGTTAAGTGTCGCGCGCGAGTGTGTATATGTGTGTCGATGGTGTGGCCGACATGGGAAAATCCTCGGCGAGAACACATGGCCAAGGTGAGTGCCCAATAGTTAGCGAGCGTTCTAGACATTGTCTTCGAAGGCCGATTCACTTTTCACTGACGAAGGCCGCCAATTATTTATTTACTAATTTTTAACTAGGTAATAAATTCTATTTTAAATGCCATAATTACTACTATGTAGTACACAAAAATTATAAAAATAACAATCTGCGTTTTCACTTTTCTTACGTATCAATCTAATACTTATCTACAACTATTTAAACGTTACATCAAAGTTCTTTCAAATAACATTACTTTTTGTTAAGTTGATTAGTGAAATGGAATAAGAACTCATTCTCAATTACTTCTAAGCTTTACTTGTGTATATTTTAAATATCGCCCGGGAGTTTTCCCGCATTTCGCACAATGGCGACACATACGGCAACACCGACCGCACTCGGAAAGTAGATGCGCGCGCCGCTGTGGTGGCGCTAGTGTGCGTCCTCCGCGAGTATCGGCCCCGCGGTGGGCCGAAGCACGCGTGCGGAGCGCTTCGCAGTGCGGGTCTGTGCGCGTCGTGGTCGTGAAAGAAGTGAACAGCGGGGTGGCCAACCGCGCCAGTGCGCGACATGGCGCGGCGGTAGCGGCGCGGATGTGCGCGCGCTCGGAAGCCGTGGAGCTGGAGGTGCTCGGCGCGGAGGGCGAAGCGCGCTTGCCGCCGCGCCCCTTGCGCCTCTCCCTCCTCGAGCTTCTAGGAAAGCTGGTGCGAAGAGACCAGCCGGCTGCGCCGCGCCGCCGCACCAGGCATAACCATAGATTTCGCACGTTCGTCTCCTGCGGTTCGTATTGGAGTCGGCTTCTTGAATAACATAATCTGCGTCATTGTATACAATGGACACGAAAATACCGCCAAGCGTGACATTGAGTCATTGTATAACTAGATGCCGAGCGTTGTCGGCGGAGCGCGATTGTTTTATGTTCATACTCGATATCGGCCGGAGTCCGCCGAAGAGACCATTTAACTCGATTCAGTCCATTTCACTGAAATATTACACAATGGCCAAGGTCGGCGGCGACGCGCCCTCGTACGGTCAACGGCCGGCCAGGGCGGCGGCGCCTTAGCGCTTCGTGTATGACCCCGTGTACTTTCTATCGATTTTATCTGGTAAACACTTAATCCCAATTAATATAGTAAAACATGTGCTCGTCGCTTCAGGTAGGCGAAATGCGGTCTTATTTTATGAGCGGATAATTTTTACATCTTGTAATGACAGATGTTAGGTAAACTAGCAACGTATCGACCATGCCGCTATATTTTTAATTAATTTTACTATGTAGGCAAGAACTGTTAAAATATTGTGTGCGTGACTCTATATGGCACATGGATAATGATAATAACAAATATCATCAACACTTTATTGAATGTTTATATTTTCCTTCGCACATAGTGAAGACGTGATCTTGTAATATTTTGCATTATTTACTTAACTCATATTATTAGATATGATAACTATAAGGTACTTTAGTTGAAAGAAGACTGCGACTATTAGAGGGATATATCAATAATCTCTGCCAAAGTGCGACTGATGACGTAAACGAGTCGACGCTACTAGGCGTTTCGTTGACTAAAAATTCTATACAGATACGTGATTGCAAAATTCCAGCATCGGAGCGAACACATTTCTGTGTCCGTTTAACTATAGTAAGTAATTGTTCAGACTATAAATGTACTGCCTAACCAAAACGATTTGTTGTTTCCCCAAGAATCAAACTTCTCGTGCGTAACACAGCGTAGGCCACTGTTGATCTGCGGGGAGGACAATCAATTACATAGATTCTTCCAAGACTCTACATGAATGACTATAATTTTTAATGATATTCTCACACCGAATATTGGCAATCCAAATTGAAATACCTTATTTCGGCTCATACTCTGTATCTCGTAGTCAGTGTACTCAGATTTACAAACTGAACAATTTTAGCACGTGTACCCGATTGTGGGCCTCAACAGCTCTGTGTTTTTATAAAGCGTGACAGTCGTTCATCGTCTTCAGTTAATCAAAACATTTCACGTCCGAATTTTTCTCAAGGACATCTTTTTCAGTCTTGTTTCTCGAGACATTGACACAATTTTTTTTATTCTGCGCTACTCTAGTGGCGAATATTATTCTACGAAGACGGAAATTTTCAACCCAAGGAGCTTTAAAGTGCAGTTGTAAGTTATATTTATACGGTTCTTTAATTAGAAGTACTTACTTCAAAACGTCAGCCGTGATTCATTTAAATATTATTAGATATATTTATTTATTTATTATGGCACATCGTCAGATCACTTACATGTAATACATTATACTTAACATCATAATAAGTTAAAATACCTATGTAGGACCCAATTGCTGATGTACAACAGCATTGTTAACTCAAAATTTGTGTTTCGAAATATTAACAGTACAGAATTCGAACCTAATTATAATAAAGTGTCTATAATCGCAATACTTTATTTTTAAATCGTGCAAAAGAATCACAGTAAGGATCAGAGTCGGTTTCTCGCGTGACTTTATTAAGGGTCTCACATACACGGTACAATGGACAGTTTCGACCTACATTAGTTTTTGATGTATGAAGATAAAATACTTTTAAGCGTTTCCGTCTTGGACTTTTTTTTGGGACATTAAACTGGATTTTATTTAATATATTCGGGGCCTCCATCTTATTATTTAAAATTTAGAAAAGAAGAGAATATATTATATACCTCACCTTTTAACACATACTTTAAAGATCAAAACCATTTTGCTCGCAAAATCATATGAGTATTTAAGTAACTACTTTACGTCCGCGATTTCATTGACGTGAAAAGGAATCTTTCAGCAATCTTAGCGGATATTTTAATCTTTAGAATCCTAAGAATTATTCAAAGTAAGCTTGAAACGGTGATAAGATTTTGATGATGATAAGAAGTTTTACACTTTTCTTCTTCCGCTTACTTAATTTTGAATATTTTAACAATTGTACAAAAAAATAAAAATAATAATAAACCCTTGAAATATACTATCTAGATATATATTTATGGTAATTATTACTTTGTATAAAATAAAATTTATGGTACACGCCTACTATGAAACGAAACCACGCGGTTACGCAGACAAGTGTCATCTTGTTTTAATGTAAAGATCGATCGGCGGCATCCGGGCGGCGCCTGTTTTACTTAGCTTAGGTGACAACTTGAATGAAATGATTGATAAGGAATGAAAGCTTTCACCACACTTTTGTAAACGTCCAACTGTTTCACCTTACGTCCCTTCCACGCAAAAGTCGTTTAAAAATTAAATAACAGAAACGAAAAATACAATAGCTAATTCCTTATTTATATTCGTGAGAAGATAAAGTTCTGGCAAATATATAATGAACAAAGATTATCTACACATGTACTACGAGGTCCTTCTGTTAATAAGCCCAGCCTATAATTTTATAGTAAAACAATTAAGACAAACGCAAAATATTCAATGCGTTATCAAAATTATGTCATTGTTGGCTAATGTATGATTTTAACTCTTAACAAATGAGTCATGCCGGAAAATGTTTCATACAACTAGCTTACTGAATCAAGGAGATCCTCCTTCAATTTATGAACGGACTTTATGGAAACTTTACACTTTTCATGCATATAAATACAAACATTTTGTAAAAAAATGTAATACAGACTGTGATGCTAAAGCCGAAGGCAGAAAAAGCAGGACATTTTAAGTAATAGGATTACGACTAGGTGCGGCAATTATATGTTTATGTGGTGGATAAATAACACTAGAACGTATTTTTATTTTATTATTTCGCTCATGAATTTAAAAGTATATTAATCGTCAGAAAGTATACGTACACGCAGATTTGTTTCCGGATATCACGGTTGCAAAGTAAATAGTCTAGAAAGTTTCGGTCGATCTTCGGGTTTTTTCTGCTTTCCTGACTTCAGTCTTTGTACAATACCTAGCCGTGATTGTCGAAAGAGTTTTATTGTCGCGACATTCGAGACCTTCAGTCTCGCAGAGTCAGAAATAACTGCTCGTAAAGTAGTAGAGCGTGTTTTATCGTACCGGAAGCCATTCGACGTATATTTTTCGACCATTGTAATGTCTTTCAAACGCGATATTTTTTTAAAGTTGACTGCGTAGTGCAGTATTTTAATAGGGAGTTCCAGTATATACACAAAGCTCTCAAAAGCATTATTCTTACGCGTCTGTTTGTTAGTAATGTTCATTTATATTGTTGCTATTTTTAAAGGCGGATCGGAACATACCTAATTACTACCTTACGTACAATATATGTATTTCGTCATAATTATTTTCTAACTTAAATTTTATGAAACATAGAGATATTACGCGATATTATACAATACGTTATTGACGTTCATAAAATTATTAAATGCCCTCTGCATTGTTGGAGAAGCCACAGAACAGTGTACGCTGAGTAATTCATCGAATATATTATTGTATTGAACTGAGCCGGGTTTGTGGCATGTTATAGTACATTCTAGTTTTATTTTGATATAACGTTTTCATAATATGCCCAAATCATTGTATTTTAAACTTAAAATAACCGCTTATTTTTAAATATAATTTTGCTGGATCTGGAAAATTAATTATCTTTAATATATTTCGTTCAATACTTACATTAACCCCTATTATCCCTACCAGAAACACGAACTATTTATTGAAAAATAATTATTGTTTACAATTCCCAATTCCTTATAATTAATTTGACCTTTTTTGTTACAGAAAATGAACGAAGAATTAAAGCTAACAATAGAGAGTACAACGCCCAGTTCCGCTATGCTGTAAGTTGTCAACTAAAGCTCCTAATATATCCGATATAATATAATAGCGTATAGTTCACAGCACAAGCTGGGATATTTCAGACCTATTATTAGATCGCTATAAACTAAGATCTATTATTCATTTCTTTTCCCTATGTGGGGGTATGGGGCACAATTTTGTGCCCTAAATGCGGATAAATTATTTTTGCTGTAACGCAAGGATTAACTAGTATCTCTCGGGCTTAAAACCAGCGTAGAAAATGCGGTATTTTATAATAATGGAGGATAAACAATCTTGGGGTTCATTTGTTGAAGGGTGAAATGAACAAGCTAAACATGTAAATTAATAAAAAAAAGATGCTATGTAAATTGTATTTTCGTAGTTCTAAAAATTCGAAGCGAATCATCACACGGACAACTGAATATTCAGATTGTCTAGACGTTGGAACAAAACATGACTAGATTTCCAAATATGATTCATACCCGTCTTCATATTCATTTTGACGGGCTTGCCAAATAATCAACGGGTCGTGGGTTGGATCCCCACGGGGCCAACATTTTCCTAATTAATTTATAATTTTTCTGAAACATGTTGGACTTCGTCTAGAAATCTGCATATTAAATGGAGGAATAACGAAATGTCGCCCAAGTCACAAAACACTGTCTACGTCGAATGGAAAGGCCGTCAAGTTTAATCGCGTTTCGGTTTCAGCCTGTGGATTTCCGAACGTCCAAAGACAAAATAGGTTGACAGAACATATTGACATATTGGCGACCCGTTAATAGTATTCCAGGCCTGCTATGATTACACTACAGATCCCGGGAAACATTACCCAATGCAAACCAACGTGGTAATTAGGCGCACGATATAATAGTGCCTTATCTTTACCATATTACTGCAAAATGCCATATACGAAACAACGTTAACGGTAACGAGGATATTAGTGCCACATTAAATAGATGAGCCACTCGGCTATATACATAAAATCGCATACCTCCAAACTCTACGGTACAGGCTCAAACTCTTGGCACGGTTACAACTTTCCACAGCATATACGATTTTGATCGTTCTGAATGGAGCTTTTATTTATTAGCTATATATTCAGTATCCGAACAGAACTCATTGATGTTATAATTACGTTTTTAATAAAACACTGATCCGATACTTTGATTCGATTACAGGCGCGACAGATTCGAGCATTAACTCCGCGCCGTAACACAAAAGTTTTAAACCTTCACTAATTTCAAAACGCATGATTAAAAAACAGTTCAAACAGAATTTCTTATGGTTTTCCTTCTTTTGATTAATAACTGTAACAAAAAACATTACCTCAAAATGTGTAATTTGTAAAGAACATTTTTGAGGTACAAAGCTCTCTTTCTCTTCTTTTTTTTTGGTTGCGTATCCAAAAGATTAAAACGTGTCCTGAAAAAGACTGTAAAAGACTCTCTGTCACCAGGCTGAATTAAGACATTTTGACATAAAAATAATTTTAATGGGATTTTTTTCCATTATATCTATAACGGTAATAGGAATAAATAAAAAAGGTTACAATATAAAATTTTAGTATCATATCTTGTTTTAACCTAGACTTCGGTAAGAAACCTTTCGTGCAAACCCCCACTTGTCTACCCTTTTACGAAAACTATGTTATATGAATATCTTTTGTTTCAGAACAACTACATCAAGACTTCGAAGTACTCGATCATAACATTTCTGCCGTTGAACCTTTTGGAGCAGTTCCAGCGCTTAGCTAACTTCTACTTTCTATGCCTGCTGGTGCTGCAGCTGATCCCGGCCATCTCTTCACTGACGCCTATCACTACCGCCATACCGCTTATTGGTGTGCTCGCACTGACTGCCGTTAAAGACGCGTACGACGATTTTGTAAGTTTTTTACAAACGCTGCTTGGAAAATCTCCAGTTCATATTAAACCCATCTTATATGACGTGACATAGAATGTGTTCTATTTTATCCTTCCTAATAGTTATAGAAAATAATGGAAAATTATAAGGAAACTGGTATGAATTAGTGCAAGCCTCTTATGTCTGCAGTCGGATAAACTTGGATTATTCTGAAGGCTTGAAGGCTGAAGTAGATTAAAACACTATGGCTTTGTGTTGTTTAAACTGCACAGTTAATGCAGTTGACTTCTAAGGCATACATTCTGAATATTTCATGAGTTAGTAAGTTCTTAAAATGTAGTAACTCAATTCAGTTACTAATCGAGTTGTCTTCAGTAAGTCTACTGTTTTGGCTTCTGTGAAATAAAGATTTACAATTATATTTTTGAATGAAAAACAGATAGATTTGTCGGTAAGTGAATTAGCATGCAACACTGAGGTCGTGGCTTCAAACCCCGCCTGTGTAATCGATGTTAAGCTATCATGTGTGTTTCAATATTTCAATTGTAGATATTACAAAACTTTTATATAATTAAAAGTGTTATATAACACTGAGATTTTTTTTTCTAAAGTAGTTACAATTATAAATCCATCGTATCAAATGTTTCACCAGAGATAAATTACATGCTAATATTGTGGCAACTTTTTATAATATTTATATCTGATTTTTTATAATGTAGCTATATATAATAAAAACCTTTGCGTTTTTTATAAAACGACGATGTATCATAATTGTGGTAATTAATAATAATTATTATGATTGTCCTTTTCTTATTCATAAACCCGATGTTCCAGTCATTAAAATTTCACAAAGTAGAGGTTAACTTCGACAATTAAGTTACATCTGGGTCAGTAGTAATTTTTGGTCATTATTTTAATATATGACCTACGCGTTTATAAATTACTAGGCTATTTTGTTAATCAATAAATAAGTCCATTGTTGCATGTGAAATACAATTACCCCCTGTGGGGCGTTGGGCGAACACATCTTGGGTCCGTTTCACTAATCTACAATATTTTCCAGATTTACAGGCAAAATTGATTTGTTTATTTATCAAAACCAGCCATACCTTATGTAATAATCGTTTTAATATAAGATTGACTTATAGTATTTTTTATCTATCTAATTTATAAAGCTGAAGAGTATGTTTGTTTACGCGCGCTAATCTCAGAAACTACTGGTTCGAATTGAAACATAATTTTTTTAATGAATGATTTATTTATTACATTTATCGAGGAAGGCTATATGCTACAACACGTCCAGTCTAATAGGAACGAATAAACAGCGAGGAATGTGAAAAAAATGGGAAATTTATTCATTATAATGGGTTTCCGAGGCGTACGCTGCAAAAACGGTTTAAGATACCGAAAAAATATTTATGATGTAAAAATATATATTCGTCTCTAAATGATCTAAAAAAAGTCCGCGACGCTATATGTCTATATTTTATGATTAACGTGCAGAACGACGGGAAGGGGCGCGTCCGACGTCGTGGGTAACAGTTTAAGTTTATAAAGAACGGGTTTGCAAAAACGAATTTGGATGCCCAAAATACCGATTCTCGTGGACAAAGTAGCTCACACAGCTAGTATTTTATATACATAATATATTTATGAATTTGCTCGGTGTGCAACTCGAGCCCAGGGTTTTACTCAATGCTGGACAACATATGGAAATTTTATGATAATAAAATTATACGTAAATCTGTTTTAGGACAAAAAACACGAAAATGTTATTTGAAATTAAAGATCCAATATCATCAATCGTTATTTGGAATGTTTCGCTTAATATACCGTATAAAGGAAAAAAATACTTAGATCATATTTTATTAAAATATAAAGATACAATTCGTTCAGTCTATGTTTAATCTAAATAAGGATTAGTATTATTAAACAATCAAGCTATAAGTTTATTAACGTAATATAGCAATTCATATCGAACTTACTATGATTACGAGATATTAAAGTTATGAGAGCGCTATTTCTCAACAGATGAATAGTAGTCTTTTGGATTTACTTCAGTTTTCACTCTACTTATTAACCAAACGGGCTTTGAAATTATCTCAACTTTTCCTGATCCTAAGTGGCTGTGCCAATTTATTTAAATTTAATTATTTACAAGTGTCTACATGTTTTGTTCCTCACAGCATTCTAAATAGCATTTTATTAAATTAAAAATCGATTATAAATTGAAAAAAAAAAAAAAGAAATTGTGACACGGGCAGAACTTCAACCGGTATCCACAGAGTTCCGTGCTGTTGTTCTAACCAATTGACCACGAATTGATGCCTTTATAATCGATTTTTAATTTATATAGCCATCATGTGCTTGTGAAAAATATTAAAGTTTTTAGCTTTTTATTAATCAAAGAGTGGTTACAGCAAAGACACCAGAACGACTCTCAAGTGAACCACAGGCGAGCGAAGACCTTGCGCAATGGGAAGCTTGTGGAGGAGAAGTGGGCGTCTGTTCAGGTGGGAGACGTCATCCGGCTGGAGAACGACCAGTTCGTGGCCGCGGATATCTTGCTCCTCAGCAGCTCGGAGCCGAATGGTCTCTGCTACATTGAGACCGCCGAGCTTGATGGGTGAGGTGTTTTCCCTCATCGATTAATTATGGTTTGACATCGCCATATTCAAAACCTTAAAAAAATAGTTGCCATCTAGTATGGTTGAAAAAGGTATACCAATCAATGCACACAGTGCGAATCCCATCAGCTGTCCGTACTGATAGCTATAAGTTAACGAAAATATCTTTTAAGCGAAGTGAAGACTCAAGATCTTATCTTATCTATTTCGTGATTGTTTTTCATTCATAGTATAGTTTTTTTAGGTTAAGTGCCTTTAAAATTGCATTGTCTCCGTATGTACGATTCTTCCTTGCACGACGCACTTATCTAAGATAGTACGTGCTTATCGCTTTGATTTGGTATTGATAGAAACCGATTGTTGTGTAATGGTAGTATATGACGAATTAGCTAATCTTAAAAAAATTTAAACCATTCCTTTGTTTTTTTTTGCTTTAGTATAAATACGAAAAAAGGTTGTGAGCATAATATAATAGCACCATTCTCACTGTTACACAAAGACTTCGTCCTATGTATTCGTGGTCACTAAACGGAAAGAAACGCCTTTTTATATCTACTTTTTATTGTACCTATGGTTGCCATGGAAACGTAAACAATACAAATATACACAGTCGGAAACATGTATAAGATACCTTCAAACTTACACAATGCTTTGTAATATTACGCCCGCGTAGTTTTCCTCAAGGCATTATACAAAACAATACAATGATGCATTAATGCTCCACATAATTTTATCGAGCAATTTTTTTCCTTATTCGAACCGATTTTTCCAAGATTGTAATACATGTGTGTATGTAGATCCTGTATTTGAAGGATGTACCTTTTTTTGACATCTTCATCCTGTTGACATAATATGGCTGGGGTTGGGGTTGAACCCCTTACAGACACGTGCAGACAAAGGTCTGTTCTCCTCTTTAATAAAAAATCCTCTTAAAATGCTTGATACGTTTATACTTAGTTAATTTTAATTAAGTTGATATTGTGTATCTTTTAAAGAATTACTTTCATGATATACTTAATGCCTTACTGTGCTACAAGATAAGTACTAAGTTGCAATCTACGCTCTTTGTAGGGAGACGAACTTAAAATGTCGTCAGTGCCTCCTGGAGACCGCTGCCATGGGGCAGGACGACGCACAATTGGGTGCTTTCGACGGCGAAATTGTCTGCGAAACACCCAACAATCTACTTAATAAGTTTGAAGGTGAGTCCTTATCTATCAATATACTTATATATCGTAAAGCTACGTGTCATTGACTAACACCACCGCCCCTTGTATAGGACCTTGAAATTTTCCTGTTACTCCATGGTCAATAGTAACATTGTGACTCACGATGTTTCTAGGTAACATATATTCGTATTTTTTTAATCATAATGATATAGAAAAAAATACACAAAAATGTGTTTGTAAAATTTAAAATATGCCAAAAATATTAGTATTGGCAAGTTTGCTCGTTCAAGATATTAGGGTAGATAGTACAAAGCTTTCACGGTTTAATTATTTAATTAAATGGAACGTATTTAGAATCATTCATATAATTTCGATAATTTATACGTGACTAAAGCTGCTTGTTAACTTAAACGTATACGTAATGAAACGTTGAATTAATTTCCTCTTTTTTCTTCGTATGTGCTATAACGCGATTGTTATAAGTGGATAATTCCATGAATGCTTTTCCTTATAAGTAAAAGACGAGAGCTCATTTGTATAATAATCACAACTTATTTACATACAAAATTACAGAAATATGACCGATGTTACTGTTTATGACCATTGTTCGGTATTCTACGCGATGCACTTAAATTAAACATTTTAATATTATGTAACCACACTGAAGAATGTGACTACAAATAGCTGAATCTTATAATTAGTTTGTTTTGTATGAGCAAATGTCCTGTTTACTTTATAATGGACAGACTTGAGAATATATTGATATACATTAATTCGATTTAACATTTTATAAAGTAGCTAGTCCAATTACCGATTTTCATAGTTCTGGAGGGTGGCCAATTTTACTAAAAAGACTTAATGCGCCACTTTTCAATTCGTTTGTTTGTCAGGTACGTTAAGTTGGCGCGATCAGCATTTCTCGTTAGACAATGACAAGATTCTGTTGCGCGGTTGCGTGTTGCGCAACACCTCGTGGTGCTACGGGGTCGTCGTCTTCGCCGGAAAGGACACCAAGCTAATGCAGAACTCCGGCAAGACCAAATTCAAACGCACCAGCATAGATAGGCTACTTAATTTTCTTATTATAGGGGTGAGTATTTTACGATCTGCCTTTATCGGCCTAGTGTGTACAATCTTAAGAATGCATAAGTGTCATTCTATTTCCTGGAGCCTTTATCACTAAGTGCTATGATAATATATTCAACACACATAACATAGTATGTTGGTAGTAAGAAGTAGAAATCCTTTTAGAAATTCATCTACATGTATACAAGACATTAGTATGATGTTTTCTTCTGTATTGCAAATATTAGCGTTAAACAAACAAATTCTTTAACTTTATACTTTTACTATTAGTAACATTTTAAGTCTCAGATCTAAAAGCTAATGGTAATTATCTCTTAAGGAAAAAAATCTATTTCAGTTTTTTTGAGTTTTAAGTTGTTTTGGTATGGCTGGGACTCGAACCAACGACAACCGAGTGCACACCATTTTACAGCAGCATAGTTCTAACGTTGTATATTTGTATATAGTAATTTTAAAATTGTTAAACAGTTTTCCGTTGTAAAACAAAAGAATAATACACTTTTCATGAACAATTTCTGTGTTAAGAGTTAAGACACTTCTATCAACCTAAGCAATCAACCCGAAGTCTTTGTCCCGTCAGATAGTTTTGTTCCTGCTGTCGATGTGTGTGTTCTGCACGGTGGCGTGCGGCATTTGGGAGTGGCTGGTGGGGCAGTACTTCCAAGCATACCTCCCCTGGGACACGCTGGTGCCCGCGGAGCCGGCGTCGGGGGCCACCGTCATCGCTATTCTAGTGTTTTTCTCCTATGCCATTGTGATGAATACCGTCGTGCCCATATCGCTTTATGTCTCTGTTGAGGTTTGTTGATTATTTTATTAATCAAAATCAAATCATTTATTCCACATACAAATGAAATACATAATAATTTAGATATCTGTGTAGGGACATCACTCAGCTTTTGTTGTACCTGGAAGTAAGCACAACGCTGATTTTCAGTGATGCCCCACGCTTGACATTATTGGGGTTACAATTTCAATTAAAAATCTTTTGACTACCATAAGCAAATCCGACCAATCTCGATGGCATAAATACTACTAAACAGTTGTTTTTAACAATATTATGTTTATTTTAAAAATCGAAAATAAATTGAAAAACCTCTACTTGTTGCTCAACAGCAGGGAACGCTGATGATGTCGGTTCAAGTCTTGCCCGAGTCGATTTTTTTTTTCATTTTATTTTCGATTTTTAAATTATATAGTGCCTTCGTGTGCAACAACATGTGAAAAATATTAATCTTTTCAATATTATGTTTATTTTCTTAATCTATATGTCATTCATTTGATGCCCTTGAATGCGGAGTATGTCCAATCACAGGTTGACAAAAAAAATATTTAAAAACATATTGCTTTCCACTTAATTAGACATCTATAGAACTTTAGCATGTTTTATTTTATTAAGAACCGCTATTAATTCAAAGACAACATCGAGTCTAGGCAAAAGTCACTAGGTGTTTTTAATGTTGACATTTGAGAAACTGACCTTGGCAAACAAAATAAATTGCTAATGCAAAGTAGAACGTCTCCAAAAGACCTTGAACAACGTTAAAAACATAGCAGGAAAATTTAAAATAAACTAAATGAATTTTAACAATATATAAACCAATGTATGGAACCTATTATTTCTAATAACGAAAAATAATTGTCTTTACAGGTGATAAGATTTGCGCAAAGTTTTCTAATAAACTGGGATGAAAAGATGTATTATGAAAAGACTGGGACCGCAGCCAAGGCTCGGACGACCACCTTAAACGAGGAGCTAGGTAAATATTAATATCATTATTGTCTTTTAGTCGGGCGGTAGAAATTCATAAGAGATCGGAAAGTTCGTGTTTGCAAAAGTAATCACTTAATTTGTGTGTGTACAAGGTTTCGAGAAAATTAGGGCAATGTAGGCTGGTAATCAGGAAATAGATGCTAATCCATTAATGGTAATTAAGTTTTGTTGTATTACGTTTTCCCTCGTGTTTAATGGATTTCTTTACTTCGATTACATATTTATTTTATGTTTACTGTTAACAGTAGTACCAATTGTTTGTCCGTTCATTCAATAGCACTGAAGGGAGGTGGAAAATAATATATAATTTAAAGTCACTATGTAGTTTGTTTGTTCCTCCTAATTCTAGCGTTAAGGGTAGGTTATTCGTTGAAAAAGTTTTTGTCTTTATACAGGGATAGTAATTTATGTGGCTTCTGTATTTCAGGTCAGATCCAATACATTTTCTCTGACAAGACTGGCACCCTCACACAGAACATAATGACGTTCAACAAGTGCTCGATAGCCGGCGTCTGTTACGGCGACATTGTTGACGAGAACACCGGGGAGACCATCGAACTCACAGACGTATGTAGCTTTACGTGATAACTTAATTATCTTATTCACGTAGATAGGTCCGAGCACACTGCAAACACGATACTTATGGATCTAAGTTGTATTATAGACTGTTTATGTAAAAAAATTGTATCGTATTTGCGGGAACCACAGGATTTTTTCCATACGAGTCCACTGCATTTAAGCATGTAGACAATTTGACAGATAAGCACTTTAGTTTGTTTACGAGCAAAACAATATTATGATGGCACGATTTAGATATTATTATACTTTATTTGCATGTCTCGAGAATCCACTAGAGATGTTTGAAAATTGCCGAGTGATTTTGAAATTGTTTGTGTTTGTCATGCTAAGGGATGTGTTTTAGTGTGTTTTTAATATCAATTATTGTCGATTCGTCCTAGCATTTGTTTATAGATTATGAACATTCATATTCTGAACATTGTCTTTGCGTTTGACGTAAATATTATATTTGTTGACTTTAAATCAGCATGGTTTTAAGAACATTTACAAAACTACCACTTGATACAATAGCTCATTTTCTATTACACACACAATGTCCACACGACTAAGTCGAAAATCGTAATTCAGTTTTACTCACTTAGCATCATCACATTTTTTGTCTTCACTCAAATGATGGCATATTTTTTTATTATTCTACTAGTGAGCAAAAAATAAAAGAGAATCCAATGTCTAATTTGGGTTAATCATCTCTCGAGTTATCTATTTTTTATACACAGATAACTCAACCAATAAAAAGTCGTCAACAATTCGACTTGCGGATCGTTCGACTTGCGACGACTCGCTATTATGCGTATATTTGTTCCTTTTGTCTAGAAGGTTCTTCATAGGTATTACATAGAGATAGAAACGTGAGTGAGAGTGGTGTGTAATGTTGGCATGGTTTAGCGTCGCAGCGGGGCGGCTGGCGCCAGCGCTGGGACAGTACGCGCGCGCCTATTGGACCTCGAGCACGAGCAGGGCCGCAGCACGCCCGCGCACCGCAACGCGCACGTACGCACGCCCTTCATTCCGCACTATTGCCCTTCCCTTAGGCTTTGTTGCTCTCGACTTACACCTCGTACGACCTGATTGACGATTCATTGCTACCGAAAGCTCTTATTACCGTAGGACCCACGTGTAAACCGAGAGTACATTATGTGTAAACTTTCCTTCGGCAAAAGAAGGGGCTATTTTATTTACTAATAATGAAAACGTAAAAATCTATATTTCTATTTACTTTTATAATGATTTCAATGAATAATTTACTACACAATAACATTCGTTTTTATACAATACGCAATTTACACTTATATTTCAATTATTATACGTATACACAATTGACTAATATACCTATCCTATGTGTACCGCTTTGTATATTGTTTTGTTTGGTGTGCGCATGCTTTGCTTTTCATTATAAATCTTCCGGCTAACCGTAGATGTGTTGCCTCCTTTTTAGATTGTTTATAACCAATACTTAACGATATATAATAACGTTTCTTTTTCATAAGCAAAACGTGTAAAATATTAATATTTTTTTGTGATTTCCAATTTTTTTTTCAAGTTTTGCCTGCGAGATTTAGATAACACGATCATATAGTTTTAGTTTCCAAAAATTGCAAACTCACAAACCATAGGAGCATGTGACTTATTTAGTTCAATAGAAACGATTATTTACCCGAAGAGTTTTCCGCAGAACACAGAGCCCCTCGATTTTTCGGACAATCCTGAATATGAGCCCGAGTTCAAGTTCTTCGATTCCAAGCTTTTGAAAGCTGTGAAACAAGGGGATTCTAATGTTTACGACTTCTTTCGTCTGCTTGCCTTATGTCACACTGTAATGCCAGAACAGAAGAATGGACGTCTGGAATATCAAGTAAGTAATATTTATAGGATATATATACACGCAGATATCACCACTTTTTGAGTGTAGTCGTCCACCCGTGGGACAATAATAGTTAAAATTTGTAGATGTCATTGTGCGGCTTATTCTTGCAATTTTTACTTTTTCATTTTCATATCCATCTAATATTTACCCATCTTATTAATATTTTAGGCGCAGTCACCCGACGAAGCTGCTCTCGTTTCAGCCGCGAGAAATTTCGGCTTTGTGTTCAGAGAGCGATCGCCTAATACAATTACAATAGAAGTTATGGGTAAAACTGAGGTAAGAAATTTGTTTTTTATCATGTATATCCAAAACAGATTAATTTATATGCATTTCTTTTGACAAAAGTCGTATTTAATGTATATACTGATGTTTTATTTCAGGTGTACGAGTTATTGTGTATATTAGATTTTAATAATGTAAGAAAGAGAATGTCAGTGATATTGAAGAAGGATGGTGAAATTAGATTATATACTAAAGGTGCTGATAATGTTATCTACGAGAGGTTAAAGAATAACTGCCAAGAAGATGTCAAATCGAAAACCCAGGAGCATTTAAACGTGAGTGTTATTTTTGCTAACCAGTTAAAATATACTTCTTGTTCACTGTGCCCAAGACCAAGTGTGCCCCTTGTGGGTGTCATCGGCCCCGGCTTGGACCACTGAAATGTGGGTGGGAGCTTGAAGAGCTGGACAGAAGCTCACCCGAATGAGCGGAAAAATATGCTGTTATAGTAATTATAAGATATATTTAAGTCTCAATTTGTTTGTTATTATAGAAATTTGCGGGCGAAGGCCTTCGCACGTTGGCGTTAGCTTGGCGGCCGTTGGAGGAGCGAGGGTTTGCCGAGTGGAAGCGACGACATCAAGCCGCTGCGCTCGCTCTAAGGGACAGGGACGAGCGGCTGGACGCCATCTACGAGGAGATAGAAACCGACCTAATGCTATTGGGTGGGTTAAAAGACTAATTGTGTGCTGAGAACTTATCTTTATAAAAGACCTTAATACCCACTATAGCCCTAATATTTTTTATTACAACGATTTTCCTTTGCGATGGACAGGTGTCACCGCCATAGAAGACAAATTACAGGATGGCGTGCCTGAGACAATCGCAAATTTGAGCATGGCCGGAATGAAGATTTGGGTTTTAACAGGGGATAAACAAGGTCAGTTCAGTAACCGGAATTGCTTGCTTAGGGTTGTTTTAGCTTATATACTTACATTGACATCTTGGTAAAACACTTATAACGTTAGCGCCACCTGTTTAGATTCGTGCCGGGCCGAAGCTAAAAATCATTTTCAAATAAGTTTAACTAATATATCGCGTTTTAACCGTTAAAGTGTTTTATTTTAATTATAAAAAGTTACTATATTCGCGTTTTTTGTGTTTTATTTAAATGTGTACAATCCCCATAAACTATAGATGAATTTAATTTTGATTGATTGTATTATTGTCTAACAGAAACAGCAATAAACATCGGGTATTCGTGTCAGCTGCTGACGGATGACATGGCCGAGGTGTTCGTGATAGATGGCGCCTCGCACGACGACGTCGATCGCCAGCTTGCCAAGTGCAGGGACTCGATACGCGTCGTCAACACATTCCTACCACACGGTACGTCATAAGGGGACCTTCCTGTACTAATGAGGGGAATATTCCTGTACTACACAAGAACATAAATAAAGATGTTTATAAAACTTGAATAAACCAGAGAATTTAGTACATTTATTATGAATTTTCCTCTATACATGTTTTGTTTATTTCTATCTTATATAGCATTGAATCGAGTAGTATTTAGCTGATGTTAGCCTCTCTGAATTACAGGTAGCACGGATCCAAAGGCCAACGACACAGCGAACGGCGGCGGCAGCGTGTCGCGCCCGTCTCCCGGCCGCGCTGCGAACGTGAAGCTGAACGCGCCAGCCGTCTCCGTCGTCACATTTAGGTGGGAACATAACTCTTTAGCACACAGGTAGACACCAAACACTTGTATCAAGCGCCACGCTCACACAAGCCGTAATCAGCTAAATCTCTTTATGTCGCACGTCCAAACGATACAAATAAGACATTACTGTACATATTCAACGTTAAGTCTTTGTGCCTAATCAACATTTGTCACAGTAACAATTAGAAACCAAGCATTGTATTTGTTATTATGTTCTCATTCATTGCTATCTCCAAAACGATGTCCAGACATGATTCACCCAACCACTGAAAACGACAGAACAATTTTATGCACATGGTTACGGGGGGATGCTGCCAGGCATTCGAAAAGTAGGGCCGTAGTTAAATTAAAGACAACGAAATATTCTAAAAATTCGCGTTTGAAACCGTAGGAGGTGTTTTATTTCAATGTGTACTACACGCGTTAACTAATAAAATGTGGTAACTTTTTATGGGAGGGTAGAATGTAGGCTTAACGTTATACCAGTCTCTTAAGCTCCCTTTCCATGTCAAATGATTCTAGAAACCTAGTTATAAATGATAATATCTATCGCACCTACTGTTGTATATCGTTCGCATCATACATCTTAAAACTTAACATTTTCTTCTATCGCGGCGTCTCTTTATTATTTAATACACACGTTCTTGATTAGGAATAACTAAACTAGATTTAAACAAAACAATCGAAAAATTGTTTAAGGGATAGCAGAAGTAAATACCCTACAATAATTACTTTTTCCTATCAATATAGAGTTTTCAAATAATAATTTAATAGGTATCAAATCATTACGTATCCATTATTTGCATATCTTATAAAAATACACAATATTCTTAAAGCTTGTGTTTGTACTCCGCTTGGCCTCGCCGTGTTCATGTTTAATGTGTTAGCTGATATTATTTATTATCTGCGTCAAAAGTATCGAAAGCTGAAAGCTAAAGTCAAACCTTGATTGTATATTAATTTTACTACAACAAACTAATAATTTATCTTTATCCATTGATTTACTTATAAATATCAGTCGGAGAAACTGACATATTAAGTACAAAAAATGATGCCTCCTAAACAATTTACAACAGCATCGGGTTTATACCTATTATACCCTAGAATGTAATTTCAGCAATGAGTACGTGTCCGGAGGGGGACCTTACAGTACGGACACACACGAACACAATAATGACGACTCAAATGGTTTCGCGATAGTCGTCAATGGACACTCACTCGTGCACTGTCTGCATCCCAAGTTGGAAGAAAAGTAAGTCTATAGTGTGTTTCAAACCATAGAGCACTAGTGATGCCCTTTCATAGATTGAAGTTGTTAGCGACAAAACGACCAAAATTTTTTGACGCCCTTTTTTATAATATGGGTATTTTGAAGACTATTTAATGTCTTTTTAACAACATTTTTCACAGGCCAGATTAATTATGGCATATTTTCTTAACAGACCCTTTTGTATTCAGGTTTTTGGATGTCGTGTTACAATGTCGGTCAGTGATATGTTGCCGCGTGACGCCCCTGCAGAAGGCGATGGTGGTGGAACTTATTAAGAAAAGCCGGAGAGCTGTCACTCTTGCCATCGGAGACGGTGCGAATGACGTCTCTATGATCAAAGGTACATATATAGTGTGACATCTGAAATATAATTTTATTTCAGTTTTCAAAGCTGAATTTTTGTCTAAGGGCATCTAACTGACTCGTCGGCGTAATTGTAGCAATGTTTAGCTAATAATCAACGGGTCGTGGATTCGATCCCTATCGGATTATAATTTTTCTGAAACACGTTGGAAAAGCTGTCAAGTTTCGGTTTTAATCTGTGGGTTTCCGAATATCCAAATCGATCGAAAGCGCATCTTGTTTAAATGTTATATAGATGGGATATTTCACATTCAAATTAATTTCATCAACAATACCCATGCTCGTGTGTACCTAAAAAAACATAACAACTCAATTTTGGCTGACCAAAACTCCAGTACTAAAAGTCTTAATAATTATAACTTTATGCCCTTATTAAACATATGATACGAACCGTAGGGAGTAATTACTTTTATTGAATTCGCAGCCGCCCACATCGGCGTCGGCATATCTGGCCAAGAGGGCATGCAGGCCGTCCTAGCGTCCGACTACTCGATAGCGCAGTTCCGCTTCCTGCAGCGGCTGTTGCTGGTGCACGGCCGTTGGTCCTATTACAGGATGTGCAAGTTCCTCAGATATTTCTTTTACAAAAACTTCGCATTTACCGTCTGCCACTTCTGGTTCGCGTTCTTTTGTGGCTTCAGCGCTCAGGTGAGATATTGAATTGTGGTTTTAATTTGAGGGCGGTGTTCATTAGGACTTTATTTTATTACACCCCTAGTTGTTATTGGGAATAAAAAAGAATCAAGTAAATTTAAAACCATAGGATGGCTTTTTTACTATAGCATGATTACTGTTTTTTTTTTTTGAGAGAATTTAGGTCTTGCAATGTTATACTAGCTTAGCTTAGTGGTATCATCAGTAAGTGATAGTTAAAATTATATATACTTATATTCCCAAATAGACCGTCTTCGACGAGATGTTCATATCAGTATACAACCTTTTCTACACGTCGTTGCCGGTGCTGGCGCTCGGAGTATTCGAGCAGGACGTCTCTGACGCAACCTCGCTTCAGTTCCCCAAATTGTACGCGCCCGGACACACCAGTCAACTCTTCAACAAAACTGAGTTCATCAAATCCACATTGCACGGGTGTTTCACATCACTCGTACTCTTTCTTATACCATATGGTAAGCATAAGGTTAATGCTTTAACAGAAATGGGATTATTCTATCCGATCCGGCATACTTACTATCTCGTAAACAAATCTAACGTTAAAATGGTTAACCATTTTGATTACATATTTTTTTTTAAATCGTTTAATAACAATTATAACAGTATACTTTATGTTATAGGTACTTATAAAGACGGATTGGCTCCGGATGGCAAAATATTATCAGATCATATGCTACTCGGGAGCGTTGTTGCTACCATATTAATTATCGACAATACAACTCAAGTAAGTATCGTGGCTACAAAAAGGTCTCTTTATAAATAATATACTCTCTCATGAAATAAAACGGTTGAATTGTGACAAATATATATTAAAGTTTTCCTTAGCACAAATAAGATTAATTCTGAACCGTACTTGGCCCCTTTTTTCCATATATTTCTGATTTAAGTTTCAAGATTAATGTAATGTATCCATTTTGTGTATTCAGATAGCTTTAGACACGACATACTGGACGGTATTCAATCATGTGACCATATGGGGTTCGCTAGTGTCGTACTTCGTGCTGGACTACTTCTACAACTACGTGATTAGGGGGCCCTACGTGGGGTCACTCACCGTAGCCCTCACCCAAGCGACGTTCTGGTTCACTGCTGTGCTCACTGTGAGTTAAAATAAGAAGTTTGCATTACTACAATTGCTACTTTACGCTATTATTTTTTTATTTACTTCTGCAATCCCATTATCACAGATGATGATACTGATGGTTCCGGTGGTATCTTGGCGATTAGCCTGGTCGTGGCGTCGGCCAACACTGGCGGAGCGTCTACGCGCCCGCACCCGGTGGCGCCGCGCTGCTGCCGCGCCCGCGCCCCGCACTCCGTCCGCGCGACGCGCTCGCCGCTCTGTACGCTCCGGGTACGCTTTTGCGCATCAAGAGGGCTTCGGTCGCCTCATCACTTCCGGCAAGGTACGTGCTTCTATTCCGCTACTAGTAAATACTACTAATGCTAGTAAATGTCATTAAACCTCTGTTGGCTATAATATTGTCTTGTTTCGCAGATCATGCGGCGCATACCGCACGCGGACGCCGCGCTTTCGGCGCTGGCCTCTCTGCCGGGCAAGTTCCACCCGCGGCCTTCGACGCCGCCTCCGCCTTCGCCCCCCTCGCCGACGACGCCGCCCTCGCCGCGCGCGCCCAAGCAGGACCTCGACTCGGTCGACTTATGAGTGCCTCAGTATTAACTCGTGTGAAGCGACTAGACAATAGTGCGAGTGTATTCAGTGTCAGTATTGGATGCGATCTCTCGGCGGCCCGCGCCTCCTCCGTAAGTGCGTGTTCTTAAAGAGACGAAGCGACGTTTGTAAATAAACCGCGTTACAAACCGTATTTTTTTTAAATAGACGGCATAATGTCGTCGAAACTCATATTGTGATAATGTTAATAGTTAAAGGATGCGTATTATATTATTGCCTATATTAAATTATATTTGTTGATCGAGAGTATATATTGATAGATATTTATTATGGTACATACTAAGATTACTCTTTTATATCGGAAAGTCGTAGTTATTTCCTATTGTTCCTTTCTATGTGTAGACGATGTAGTTTCGTTGAAGCACTACCCATCGATTAGACTCGGTTAGGTCGTCGAAATAAAATGAAACAACGTTTTAAACTATAGTGATTCTAAATTTGTTACCAAATTCGAGATACTAAATTGTTTCCTATTGTTAATTAGGCCCAGCCTTTTAGTTAAAAGTTAGCCTCGATTGGTTTTTCCACTTTGAGCTTTATGTTATGTATGCTTTCTTAATTTTTTATGTTGTTTGTGTCTGGATCTTAGTAAAATGTGCATTTAAAATATCGTCAATGTAAGTGTGTAGTTAAGGAACACATGAAGGGTGGACTATGTATGTAAAAAATCTTTCTGTTAAACATAAATACTATTCTCGCAATAACGGTTTTGTACTTTCTGTTCATTATTAAAGATTTTCCATAAGTGTGTACGAGTGTAATTCATGTGTAATTTTAACTACACTCTAGTATGATTTGATATTTGCTTTGGTATCAACCTTTTTTTAATAAAGCTACTCTCCTATAAACATTTTTATTTTGTAGAATTTTTATTCCAACTAAAATCTTAGCAACATCGAAAATAACGCGACTATCAGTCACGGAGCAAATAAAAATTAATATCAGACCTAATCCCTTTCCATAATACAATGTTATTTGAATATTTTTAACCGAAACCAAACCAAATATATCTAAATTTTATATCGCAGCAGCCATTCTCTATTACGAAGAAGTGTAATACGTCACGATCGTAAATGCAATTTTCGATGTTATTGTTTGATCATTTTAAAATACTGAATGAGGGTAGATCTCAGCATTTACTAATAACACCGACCGGCGTTCGTGACAGCTACCCGAGGCGAGGTGCGCTGAAGCAGTAGCTGACGCGTGCCCTCGAAACATTTTATTTTACCACCACCAACATACGGTAAGTTTATTGATTACTTTATTTTATTTTCTTAAAGCAATTTAAGAAGAGTCATTCTTTTCATAGCGCAGGCCCACATAGTTGAATAATTTTCCACATTTCCCTCTGTTCCTTAGCTCTCATTGGCCACAGCCTGATGTTTTATCCAAATGGGCCAGCCAGCACATTTTTTTTTCGAAACTTCGATTTTATAAGATAATTTATAAAGTAAGAAAGTTTATAACGATAATTCTTGAAAAAGCTGCTTCTGGCAATACATTCACCTAACTTGACCGATTTGAACTATATGAAGATAAATAAACCGGTTTTATTTCATATATTATTAGCTGTGACTCGAACATCTAATTGCCTCCTTTATCTGTATTCATATTTAAGTGATCCATGCTTTGAGGTTATGTTGTGGTTATGTTATGATAAAATATATTATGTTATTGAACTTTTCTTCAGTGATATTTGCAAGTTTTAGAGTAATATAACACTTGACAATATCGTTGCTATCTGCTATTGCTACTTGCTTCATAAAATTATTTTTAGGAAAAGTTGAATATGTCGAAAATTGTACCGTGGCTTAATACCGCGGAGTGGATAAGTGTATATGAAAATCTTTACTCTAAATCAAATCAAAAGGATGCTTTAAACAGTCTATTAATTTGGAAAGCAAGATGTCCGTCCTTGCCGTCTGGTATAGAATCTACTCTTACATTACTTGAAGTTTATATTCAGGATGGTTTATATAATATCAATGAGGATGACCAGCTTTTACGTTTGGCATATTCTTCTGCTATTATGAGATTTGTCAATCACATGTTGGATGCGGATACAGCTAAAGGTCATAGCTTGTATCAAGCGGCTCAAAACCGGGGGGTGCCTGATTGGATTATAGATTTAAGACATGACACAGCACACAGCAATAATTTGCCATCTCTTGAATTACTAAGAGAAGCAACGACAATCTGTCTACAATGGCTGCATGATAATTATTGGGTATTACACAAGGATGTATTGAAGGCTTGTATCATTGACAAAACTGCATCTGTACCTACCGGTCAGAATGAGAATATAGCAGGATTAATAAATTTTTGTACTACATTGAGTTTCTGTTGTCATTCCTTTACTAAACTTTCTGAAGTGCCTCAACAAATGCAACAGTCGCTACTGAATGATGCTCGAGATATGTTTGGTGATAAATTAAAGTTAATAAAACCTAGTAAAATCAACTTTATAATACTCAAGCAATTATTTAATTCTTATTCCAAAAAAATCTTAAAAAATGTTGATAAGAAACAAATAATCAACCTGATCTTCGGCAAGGAGTCCTTATTTTTGTCCACTAAGGTATATACTGCCATGAGCCAAAAAAGGATAACAAAACACCTTAATAAAGAATATGTTAAAAGTTTTGAAGTCTTCTTGGATTTTTTGATCTTACATGATATACTTGAAGATTTTATATTAGAGTTAATAAAAATCACAGAAGGTCAAGGTGATAGAGAAACATTGAAGCTTACTGCACAATGGGTATCAGAAATTTTGTGTGCTTTATGTAAAACACAAACGTTCTTAGAGAAGTCCGCAGAGTAAGTATAAAATAAAAGTAAGGGTTGCATTCTGGTAGTGCTGGCAGAATAGAAAACTTCAATATTAATGTTGTACATAGTTATCAAATAATTTTGCTTGAATTATCAGTATGAAAGTACTATCAGAAATATGTAAAACAATATACCTAAACATGGACAAGATTCAACTTTTTTTATTTAAATATTCTCTCTCTCTAACAAGTTCAGAGCTCTGATGTGAGTTCAACAATTTTCTTTTTTTTAGTTTATCAAAATGACTTCACTTCATGTTTCGTTTTCTTTCAGGAAAAAAATCAATATAAAGGACAGGAAAAATAAGGAATTAAGATCTCTATTTTGTCATTGGTTTCCTAATGAGAAATCTAATAATTTGTTACTCAACTTAAGTTCACCAGTGCCATCAGGATTACAAGACATAAATTTGCTTCGCCCCATAATTTCTACTTACAATCCTTATTTAAGTTACTTTATAAATCCTATTCTCAGTTTAGTGAAGCCAAAATTACCAAAACAAATTGTGGATAATATATGTCAATTGGTTGAGCTGATATCTGCACCAGAAAAATTTACAGCACATTCTAATAAAATATACACCATGGAGGATGTTATACAAAATAATACAATGGACAGTGACAAGGGCTTTGAGGCTGAAAGCAGTGATCAAGAAATTGGAGAGGAATGTGAACAATTTGGTATTTGGAAAAGGACTACTTTCGATCCTTTGTGGTCGTCATGCCCCATTGGCATGCTACCGTGGCAGAAACATCAATCAGACTCCATGGAATTGGACTGAATAATAAAACAGTATGTTTTCACAGCAATTTTTTATTTTCCAATTTTTTGTTGTTTGTATATAGTAGGGTTTTGGTTACATTAATTAATAATTATAACATTATTGACACATAATAAGAGACCTAAAAATAATTGGGTATTATAAGTATAAAATATCACTATAATACAAGTGCTTACTTAAATATTGATTTTATAAAAGGCTAAAGCCATCTTTTTTTGGAAAAAATCAATAAAAATGGGTGTTATCCATAACTTGGTCCAAATAGAGTAAATTCAAATCACATTTTTATAATAAACACAATTAAAAATGGCAGGAATATCAAATTAATATCAGTTTCAAATGCAGTTTAAAATTTCAAGCTACAAGACAGTAAATACAATTTGTAAATAAATCCTATGCAAACAGTTTCATTTGTTAGGCACCAAATAACAATATCTGAAACATATATATGTTGTATTGAAAATAGTCCGCTACGTCGAAGCTACTAGCAATTACACCTAGAACTGGCTAAGGTATTCTTAACTACATATTTACAGGTTTATCTACACACACTTCTAAAGTGTGAATTAGGACTACACAAAGCCACACTACACTAACATCAACATGAGTATGAGTTGAAACTTCTAAGAGATAGCGTTATTTATTTATTTAAAGCATTTTTGGATATACATACGTGGCTTAGAACATGAGATTTATATACTAGAAGCACATCATAGACAGAGAGATGAATGTGGAACAATAATATTTAAATCAAAAGTATAAGGCCCAAAGTAATGGTGTTTACTCACAACCTTGAAGCGAATTCAATGCAGTACATATTTTAAATAAATCAACAAGCTTAAAGGCCAATTTTAAACTAATTGTATACAGTTTAAACAAAAAATGCGCACATTAACTAAATAGTTATATATTTAGTCTCTTAAATAAGAGATTATACCTTATGTTTAATAAATAAAACTTGTGAGATTCCTGTTTTTAAATAATAATTACAATATAGCTTTAAATCAATAAAAACATTGAGCTGTAACTTAACGCTACAGGTACACAATGTAAGATTTCACAGAGATATTCGTTGTAAGTAAATACAGTACTAGAAACTAATTTAAAATGGAAATTCTATTTGTGACTTAACAATATAAATTCAATAGCTTATCAATAGACAGTCTTTTAGATTATGAAAGTTCAACATACAACAAACTAAGTGACGCTCTTAGAAGCAAGAATATCCAATATAACGAAGAGAAAATACGAAACACTAATTTAGTCATATGTCCAAAGTCAAAGTGTTGGTATTAAAGTCGGCGCTACAACTAATGCAATAAAAATATGAATTAGGATGTTTATCATATGTAACATACATGAATGATAACAATTTAAAGACAAACACGAAACTTGAACAATTTAATAAGAGCACAAACATTTAAAATCACATTTAGACCAGATTTACATATTATTTACAGAAAGTGTATAATAAAATATGTATAAACATATAACTACAGGAAAACCTTGCATTTCCTACACTACTTTTAGTGGATACCTTTTATATCGAGAAATGAAAAATTAACAGTTAGTAAGAGATGTAAGCTCGTTTCTATTCTATGTAATGAAATATTAGATCCACGTTGGTCCTAGTTTTAGGGTTATTTTCTCTTATATAGGTTCGATGATGTTGATGTCGGCACCAAATTAAAAATAGACAAAATGATATGTTGATAAGTAAAAAATCGTTAGAATTCGTTAAAGCGTAATATTTAAACTTAAACGTAAAATGTGATACTTGCATTGTAAAAAACAATTTAAATTCTTGGTTACATTGCTATTATTAAATAATTAAGGAACGTCGCAATATACCTTGTCGAAAATAGGGTGACATGACTGACCAATGACACTATTTGCTATTTTAATTATCATTGAAAACTAGAATTAATTGTTTATTATAAAAGGGCATATTTGATTCGCAAACGATTTTCTAGCAGATTCATTGGAAAGAAATTAGACTAACTCGACGGTAGCCGACAGACCGACCCAACAGACATCGCAATACACATTTACCATAAAAATGTTCACCCTATGTTTGGCAAAGTATATAAATTTTGATCAACTTGAAATTTTAGGCACGAACTAAACTAGGCTTTAAGTTACGTCCTATGGTTATCTACTTTTATACCATAATGGGGTCATCAGAGGAGAGCTGTCTGTGAAGAAGCCGCTGCGACCGGAGCGAAGACGCTCCAGTGCTGATGTCATCTGTGCTTCCAAATTCGCCGTCGTGGTCCGTCGTAGACAGCATGTCATCGTCGGAGGTCGTCCTGGCAAAATCCACAGTATATTTAACGTGAACGTGGCAACAAATCAAGATATTCTTATCTATATATTGTATAGATCCTCAAATTAGGTCCTCTAGTCTTTTGAATAGGGCTCCAAACCTGTGACAATCTTACAAGCATTGATTGTAGTATAAACACTTTTGACAGTATAAAACGCGCAATACATTAGCTTATTTTAAATTTAACTACGGCCCGACGAGTTCGATGCTTTGCAGCAGTCGTGGTCCCGTTAAACCGTTAAAACTGTTTTATTCAGACCCATAGACTGAACTTTTTTAAAAGTGTAATCCGTTATCTATTGCATGAGATTGATATTCCATGAACAAAAAATGAGGTGTTTCACAATAAATGAGAATTAGACTTTTTTATATTTCTGTATATTAGTAGTGGTACCTGTATATGAGAGCGGGCAAGTTCGTGGTGAGTGTAGCTTTCTCTTTCTCCATCTCATGTATGTGTCCTTCGAGTATTTGTTCCTCGGGGCGTGGGGCTTGGCTGCGCGCCCGAATGTGGGTCAGCCGGTCAGATGCCGTCGCGCAAGCCTTGTCCAAAGTCGCGATATCAGCGAGCGTGCCCCGTGTCTGTGGATGAAATATTTATTTATTACAGTATTTGTGTATTCAACTAACTACTACTTAACTTCTATGTACCGCATTCTTTATTAGAAATATATAGAACGAAGAATAGATTCTTTGTCTTGTTTATCTCCGTACCAGTTATTATAACTGTGTGACGGTAGATCAAGAATATACTGTCAACAGAAACACCATAATAATGAAACACAGAATTAAGTTAATAAATATAATAAGCATTTTTTAATATAAGTAACTTATAATACAATGCGTTAGTAAGTAAACCTTACATTACATGCGATAGAATTACTCACATTGCTCATCTTATCCACGAGGATGGCCTCAAGACAAGCAGTTTGTCGTGCAATGTCGTGCAGCGAATCTTGCGCCGGCTGAATTTTGTGTGTGCGCAGTATACACGGCGCGAATACTATCGCCAGTGCGTTTGCGCCCATTCTGTAAAAGGTAAAATCATTCGTCAAATATTTGACTTGACTTTACTTATTTATAACTGACTAAATGACCTAGCAAACGTTCTTCATATGAAGTATTCCGATTTAATTTGATTAACATAAAAACGGTCGGACATTGTTTTAAGAATATTTTTTTCGTACATAGTTTTTGGGTATCTTGAACCGTTTTTGCAGCACACGCAAACCCTAAAAGATGAATAAATTTTCCCCTGTTTTCCACATTTCTCACTGTTTTTTCACTTCTATTATAAGCAACCCGATATTTCATAGCGTTCCGCGATAAATGGTACAAAAAGATTTTTATAAATTTGAACCTGAGTGTAGCGCGTTCAAACAGACTAAGATTTTTAATATTAGTACAGAGTAGAACTTTAGAATAAATCTAAATTGATTCTTTATGTCACCTGTTATGTTCCTCTCTGAGAGCCACCCGTGCTAAATGAAATATTAGTCTTTCTACCACATCGTAGTTGATCTTCGGAAGTTTCTTAAGTATTGTGAATATGCTGGACACTCGCTCCTGAAAACATAAAATGTCTTTTCAATGAAGAAACTAACAGTAGAAATAATGAGATTGATAGCGAATAGTGAAGTCTAAATAAAACTTTTTTTTTCACAAAGAATTTTTGGTATAATTTAGAAAAAAATACATATATGAATATATTAATTTAAACAGACACATAAACATCCATATTTAAAATAAGTTTAATTTAAGGATATGGAAGAGCTAGAAACCCTGGGACAAGTATTGTTTACTTGAAACTGTTTTCAGGTCAAAACTAGATTGATTAAAAATATGTTATGAATAAATACTTTTATATATTTTCATTTATCATATGTTTTATTGTTTTTTTTTACCTGTTCAAATCATAATAATATCAATAGAATGAAATAATATAACGGAGACAAAAATATGTCTCGATGCCCAAACGGTACTTGGGATTTTACTATAGTTACCTGAGGATCGGACATCTGCGCAGCTAGTATAAGGTCATCATATAGATCAAAAGTGAGCAGCGGTTCAGGCAACTCCCGGAAGAAGCTCTTTAGAACAGAAGCACGCACGTGCACTGCATATGCATCCAAACGGTCGCAACCCTCTTCTGGCTGCTCATCCAACAGACGACGTAGCTCACGGACCTGAATCCAATAATGGGAGATTAACAATAATACAAGTTTTGAAAATATTTATAAATAATATGGTAAGTTGCAACACATAGGATATTGTAACTTAGTACGTGTGAATTAAGGTTATAATTACAACGCCAGCGTTAAGAAGATTAAGAATTTCAAATGAGTTTCGAAAGAGCACATTTGACTTCAAAATGCCCACCTATAATTTGAAACTCACTACCTAATAACTAAAGTATTTACCTTGGAACTAAGGCCACTTTTCCTGTACAGCCCTTCCGTGTACAAGCCAATCATTTCTATGGATGTGATGAGTCTATCTACTACAATTGGAATGTTACCGTCACCCGTCGGTAATTCTGATAATGGCACACCAAACACCTGAAATGAAAAAACCCTAAGATTTAGAAAAAAAACTCAGTACATTAAACCGATTGGCTGATTTTTTGGACTATTATTTTCAAACATTTAAATTAAATATTGCTTTGTAATAATTATATGATTTCCGATTTCAATATATGCATACGAACCTTCCCCCTCTTTAGTCCCAGTTGTTCCCTTCCACCAGCATCAACTGCGCCCACTATAGCTGCAGATGGGGTAACTGTGTCAGCTCGGCATCGCGTTGATACCTGAAATATAATTCAATATTAGACCGATAATTTTATGATAAGTAAATGTTATTTGCAGACAAACTAATTTATTCAAAATCTATTCATATTCTATGTGCACTTGGTAAATATAGAAACATTTTGAGAACGGATATAACTAACTGGAAAAATTAAAAATATTTATAGTCTTGGTTCTATCCTCATTTAAAACAGCTTCTTCTCTCTTTCCATTTTAGCACATCTTCTCCCATTTAAATATTACCTTCATGAAGCACTTCTTGTGGGAGGCGAGCTTGCAAGTCTGGCAGATGAGTGACCGTTCTATCGGCCACATGAAGAACGTCTTGCAGATCTCGCATTCCGTGGGGATATTTATCATGGACAGGATAAACGTGTGTCCCATGTACTGGATCGGATCGTCGACCTGGAAACACAAGTATTAGTTTTAGTAATTCATTAGGGGAAGTACGAAAAAAACTGAAAACCCGTTAGCCCTCCTAGGGCATGGTGCGAACACATGTTCGTTTCACTGAAACATGTTGGTTTTACAGGCATGTCGTTGATCAAATTTCTGTGCCCTGTCTGACCGCAAAAATCTAGGATTCTCGCGTTAAAGCAATGTTGAGCATTTAACCATTTCGTTCCAGAGGCAGTAGGAAGAAATAAGTAGTGCATGCAAATTTACTAAAGAAACACAATGTAACTAAAAGTGGTACGGCAAAAATATTATAAGTTAATGTATAATAATAAGATACATCACGTACTCCGTAATAACAACTTAAAAATTGAAAATGTATACGATTACAACAGTACCTTTCGCTTTTTATCTTTTTTCCGTTTAGTTCTTGCTTTGTCCGTCTCGTGTTGGCTCATGAACTCGTCCATGAACCCCCTAAAGGCGTTGACTCCCATCGTGATAGACAGAGTGGAACCTTCCCTGGCGCAGACCGTCTCCATGACGTGCAAGAAGTTTCCGATCAGGTCTTTGTACTTGAGCGCAGAGCCCCGCGTTTCCACCACGCTGTAGGTTGCGACTAGGTTGTCTTTGAACTCTCTCAGTGCGTGCTTGAAGACCCTGTCAACCTGGAATTGAGGAATTATTTATGTGACCACTTTAAACGAAGCGCCAACAAAATAGCATACTTTTACAATTTAAATAAAACTTTTACGGTTTAAAACGCGATGTATATATTAGTTAAACTTATTTTTGACTTCCCTTGACCACGTCTGGCCGTACTTAAAATAATTTCCAAATAAGGTTAACTAACAGAAATCGCGTTTTAAACTGTTAAAGCGTTTTTTTTTAATGTAACTACAGACTATATTTAGTATTACAATATTATTTATCTCCTAATAAAAATAATTACCTCCGATTGTTTTGCGTTAGCATTTTCCGAGGATTCCATTTGGTAGATCTTCTTGGTGATAAAATTCTGCATCGCCTGTAACTCGGTTGCGTCGGATATTATCTTGTCCGTCCGGTCCATGAACTCCGAGGTACCCGTCAAACTGAAGTTGGAACTGCCCTTGGACTGTTCCATAAGTAGATTGTACGGCGACTCCTTGAGCATAATTCGTTTTCTATTCTTATGCCTTCCCCGGGTCGCGACCGTCACGGGACTGGGGCACGGCATGGTGATGACGCCTTTGTTCTGAATGCACTTGGTGTGGTACAGCTGTTTGCAGTCGATGCACCTCTGGCCTTGCGTTACAAAAGCGTCGATAGCTTGATGGCAATATACACATTTGTCGCCTTTCGCGAATCTCGTTCCTTTTCGAAAGCTGTAAAAGTCATTTAAACGTAAATAATTAGGTAGCTAGGTATTATTTTTGTATTATTATAGTATGCCTACAAATTCAAATATCAATTTGTTGCTATGGTTGAAAAATAAAGTGTATAAACTGATTTCAAAAAACTTACCGATGCCCTGCGATTCCGAAAAGTCCATTCGCCGTGTGGCCAATGTAATCTGCGACACGAGGTTCCGGCGCGGGGTCCGAATTTCGCCTTCGCAGAGGGTCACCCGCGCTAACTGGAACTTCCGACGCCGCTCTGTTAAAAACGATTAAAAATATATAAATACAATCCTAACAAATCTCGGGGAAATTAACCTATAAATGTAGCCAAAATGTCAATCGAGGGAAAATATCACAAACAGACAAAAATAATAGACAGCTTTATAAATTTTACGCATAAATCAACTTCATTATTTCTAGTAGTAGTCCTCATATTAATAATCAATGTGTTATATATTCCTAATTACGGAGAAAACCTTACCTTTTGTCGGGACAGGGCAAGGGGAGGGGGAGTGCGGCGTCTGCTCTCGAGAGCCGGTCCGAAGGTTCCACGCGATCGAGCTTATCCACGGCGCGTCGCGTATCACGGCGTGCGGTGCGCGCGGGCGGCGCCGGGGCTTCCACTGCGCGCACGAGTGATGCACATGCTAAAGCCACCAAATTTATTTATAAAAATTATAGTCAATTACTCCAATGCCATTGTTATAAAGCGTTAATAATTTTAAAAAGTACGTTAACCATGAGATATCTTTAGAACAATACTACGCTTTCATGGAAATACAAAATCTATACATTGATGCCACTTTAGAGAATTTTAAAGTAAATATTTCTGATGTCACAGTTTTTATCAAACAACAATACATAATAGTTATATATACAGCTCACCGTAGTAGTAAAAAGCTAATTTAACAAACACAACTTGATAGCCCATTGATAGCACGCACAATATAATCCACAAAACATGTATCAAACACTTTTCTTTCACATCGGACGTGGTGGTTTTCTCCAGGAACACGGGAGAAAAGCACATAATGCCAACGACACTACTTGTGAGATCACTTTGGAGGGTGGTATGGCGCAAAGGTGATTAGCGAATGATTATCGCATTCGAAGTAAACAAAATAAAACAACAAACACATTAGGGATGCAGTAACGGGGGCTTTATCATTAGAGATAACACGAATTTAACAAAATATTTTGTTCTTCAAGTTCTTTACTTAAATATTTTAAATAGGTGAATGTCTATTATATTTATTCATTACCAAGAATATGTTCAGTACACTGTTGCAGCATAGGGTAGTGAGTTGTATATAAGATTCGTGATTTGTAATTTGGATATTAATACCACCCTTATAATATCCAGATTTTTAAGAACTCTAATATGTAAATAAAACACTTTAACGGTTTAAAACGCGATATTAGTTAAACTTATTTGAAAATGATTTTTAATTTCGGCCCGACGCTTCATTCAAATCATTTTTAAATAAGTTTAACTAATATGTCGCGTTTTAAAACGTTAAAGTGCTTTATTTAAATGTGTACTACTCGCGTAAACTATAGACAGTATTTAAGTCTAATATGTTTCAGAAAAGTTATAAATTTATTAGAAATATTTTGGACACGACCCGTTAAAACGTATATAAAAATCATTTTAAACGCAGAGAATTAAAATATAAAATGAGAAACCGGACCGAACCCAAATGTCTTGTTGAAGATTTGGTCGATTTGACTCTAGATGTTATTTGAGGTAAAGAAATAATGCGTTCCTGATACCTGGGACATTACGTCGATACGACTTTGCCATTATTCTTAAGTCACAACAAAACATGAAACAAACTTTTAAAATGAATAAAATACTCACAGGAATCAAGTGGCGCTTCGGTGACCCTCGAATCTTTGGAGTCACGCATATCTCGCGAGTCGCGAGGGTCCCTTCGCACGGGTGGTAGGCTGTGGAGGGCCCGCGTCGGTTCTAGCGTCGTGCTTGATAGACTTCGTTGGTACACTTGTGGCGATGTCCTTCTGACGAAATTTTCAAGTGTCATAAATTGTATAAGGCTTTCGTGGCCATTTTGCAGTTGTGCGTCGTAATTGAGAAATAATTCATGACTTTCGCCTTAACAACATGAACGGCATTATCACATTGACATTATCTTATTTTACGCTTATATTACTCGTTTATATAAAATACTTTTAACGATTTAAACAATAATCGAATAAAATTATTTACAATTTATTTTAACTACGTCCCGACGTTTCCGATGCTCTGCAGCAGCTGTGTTCACAATCCCTCTATGACCTCGTCTATAAGTTAACTTATATATTTCGCGTTTTAAACAATTAAAAGTCTTTTTTTAATCACCAGGAATTATTGAGCATTGTTTTGCTTGACAGTATAACAAATACTAGTTATATTAATGAAATATTATTACTATTATTTCTGGAGAAAAACTTCGAGGGAATAGTATTTTGTTAATTTTTATTTCTCAATGTATTATTAAAAAGGCTTTACCGAGTGGCGGTGTTATTTTCCGTAGTATCAGCAGGACTCCAGTCACCCACTTGTCTTAAGTACTCTTCACTGCTGCTCGCTATCGTTTCCGCCAATTCTCTTTCTCGCATCTGGATATAAAAAAGTATAATACAATAAAAGCACCCATTGTAACAATTCTAATGAATACCAGTAGAAGATAATCCCTAATAATTAAGTAATAATTAAAACTAGACATTTTAATTCGTCTAAATCGATTTTTTTCTAGTTTGTCCCCCACTACATACCTTATTTTTCTCCGCCATGAGATAATTCTGGTCTATTCGTAGCCAGAGCAACTCGTTAGCGAGATCTTCGGCCGTGATTTTGTTGGGCCACGCCACGATGCCTTGAGGGTATTTGCTTTTATTCGCGTTCCAACTCTCCTCGGGCGACGACTCATTCGTTTCTTTGTTGATTAAGCTGAAAATATTGTAACTGTTGATCTGTGCTTGCGAAAGGATGTAAAAATGAATTATCAACGTCTACATACTTCTGACTAGCCTGTTTCGATGTTTGTTCGGTGATGTTTTGTGTTTTCGATATTTTTCGTTTGTGATATGTCTTCTGCGCCGACGTCTCCAACGTCATGTTATCTCGTTTTTTCTCCAAACTGAAACACAGCAACATATGTGAGTGAGTTCTAAGAGACTACTTTCAAATATATTTGTATACGCGAGTTTGTTGCAAGTTATACCTGACAAGCGGGAGGGATTGAGTAGCGCGCAACTGTCTTGTTTTTTCTGCTTCCTCCTGTATCAGCATGTTCCTGAAGAGCGAGATAGTTAATATCATAAAAATATTGTGCCAATATTTTACTCCAATAAAAATGGAATAGAAAAACTGTCGACTACTACTACTGTGCTGTGTAGTTGTAAAATCCCATTTGATCTATTTGGGGCTTGGGACATAAATAATTATTTCTTTGTCTACTTATTATAAGCTAGTTGATTAAACGTCAACCTGTTAGACCGAAACGATTTTTTTGTTTCCCCAAAACATTTTACGTTTAAGTTCAGTTTAGTTAGATAGTACTTACAATTGTATATCAATGATATTCTTAAGTTGCTCGATGCTCGGCTGTTTCGACTTGTAGACCTCAGATTCCGTCGCGATCGCGCCCCTCGCATGCTGTACATAGCAACAATGTAACCGACTGTGTGCTTTACGACACTTTGTTACGGTCCAAAACGAATAACACCATGTTAGTTACTTAAATCAAAAAAACACTGACTGGGATGTTTAGGACTAATTATGTACTATGGTTATGCAGTCAAAACGAATTATATTTTAGTTTATACTATATATGCAGGAACAAAACAACATAAGGTTGTAAACACAGTTTAACTAAATTGGGGTAAAGCATATATAAAGGGCCATAAGAAATATGTAAACAGCAAGACAATAGCAAAGTGTTTTATATACCTCTGGTCTATGTTTGGGGGGTGGTATTCTCCTTCTTAGCTCCGGTAACGTTTTCCTCAGCATGAAACCTCTTGCAGCCGCTTGGAAGACGATAACAGAATCTCGGAACTTCGTGTACCATCTGCGCACGCGACTGCCCCGAAACCACGCCTGCAATCTTGTTGCTGCATCGTGACGGTTCGCAAGCCATTGCCTGTGTACGTGTTATTTGATATCATGTTAAAATGGTCATTTAAAATGTTTAATCATCTTTGCGAAATGTTTACTGTTGGATAAAACATATTTCATAGACGAATAGGAGGAAACTATGGAACATAATGCAAGAACTGAAGATATGTTTCTTTTAAAGTGTCCATCGCGTATTTTGTGTAAAAGTTAAGACTAAAATAAAAAAGTGTAATGTATGTGTGCGTACAATTTACAGCTTTCTCTATGATACAGCTGTAACACCTTAACCGATTCTGATAGGACTCTCACATGTTAGTTTACTTGTGTTACAATTGCTATGAGTATCTTAGCGACAAACTGTAGGGTACTTATATTATACAGACCTGCAATACGTCTGTATGGTAAAAGATGCACGACGCAAGGCAAGAAATCTCCTCCTTTCCAGTAACGCTCTAAACCATCGTTGGATCGTGATTATCGACGCCATTATCTGCTGGTGCAGTCTGTATTCGAGTTTCGTCTGTTCGCTCTCCCGCATGAATATTTTCGTAGCACCTTAAAACACACAAGTACAATTAGTAACCAGAATCCTGGGTATTCTATATAAAAAACAATAAATATGGATACATTACCAAGTTGATAATTGTCTCTATCTAAGTTGAGTGTAGCGAGGAAATGCCGAACATCGGATTGCGAGCTGAGCAAGCCCTTCGGTAGTAATATCCGGTACAGTTGTATGAATTCCTCGTACGTGAGCCGCACGTTGTATCCCGCTTGCCGAATGCGTACAGTTTCAAGCATTCCCGTATACCTCAGTTGGCGTTGAACTGTCTCTTCATCAAACACATTTGGGATTTTGTCGCTGTTTGACTTAATGCATCTGAAGTGTACGAAATTAAAATGTAAGAGGTTCTTACTAAATTTGTAGTTCTACAGGCAAATTCATATTGAGTAATGTTTTATTTTACCTGATGAAGAAGGGGTTTGCTTGATTCAGGGTCTCCATAAGCGCAGCTAGAGAATGCTGGAACTGCGCTGCGACAGTAAGAGGCTGCTTTCTCTTACCAGCTGCCGCTGTTCTTCCGGCCAACGTTTTTACACTCTGTAAATTCTTGAGCCCCTTTTTAGCACGTTCCCGTGGCCTGAACGACTTATTTTTCCTGTGAAACCGGATAGAAAACTTTAAACTGGCTTTAAATTTAATGTTTTATACCACTCCTGTTAGGATATCCTGTCATGCGCCATTAAATTAAATACCCACACAATTGAAGCTAACATAAATAATTAAAGTTTACACTTTTCACCACTATCGACCGTAATTTATTAGACCCAGAGAAACCGCACCACCTTTAGACACCCAAGAAAACCGAGAAGAACAAGTGTCATCAAACAAATCATTAAAAACTAGCGAATTTTATGTGTCTGCATGCATAATCAATTCTAATTAAAATTAAACATAAAATTCACCAAACTGTAACCTCGTAAAGAACGACTGTACGCAAACTTCTATGTACTAGTTACGATTAGGCTGTACAATTCAAGCGACTAAAGATACAAGCGCGGGCTTTGTTTGATGAACGAGCGAGAAATGAAGAGCGAGATAGCGTGAAAGACAGCTTGTGTTGTATCCGTTGAGCGGACGTACATCACGATTTGACTGGCGCGCTGCAGCACGTCCGCATCGTCCATGTCGCGGTCCGATCGGCGAGTTCTAGTCTCGGCTGTCCTATAATTTTTAGCCGGTTTCCCGGTCGTTCGAGACCCCCCCGTAGTAACCTCGCCTCTCGTTCGGTCTGCCGTCCTTCCGGTTTCTCGAACCTTCGTCGCCGCCCTCTGTGGCGTTCTGCTATTCACGCCGTCAATAATAAATTAATTTAGCGAAAAACAAAAATAAATGGGTGCCGATCGTGACTCGTGCATCGTGGACATTGAAATACGTGACACATTGAGATGGAAGTGTACAAGTGATAACGAGTGGCTGTGCTTAGGTCCTACGAGTTAGAATTAACACACACTTGGTTACTGTGCTATTAAGATCTACATTCTACACATATGACAAACTATAAAATTCTACTGTGTCTACTAAACTAAATGTAGTGCTTAAAATAAACAGTAAAAACCCTTTTAACGGTTTAAATTAAGAGATAACTAGGATATTATTACGAGATGAGATTTAGGTATTTTGAAGAAATGCTTTAAACCGTTAAGTGTTTTATATGATGTGTGCTACTCGCGTAAACTACAGACTCAAAGTGTATGTGTACAAGAGAACTATGTACACATCGTTCAAGGCGTCTAACCACAGCCGCCGTGCTTCGTCCATGCTATAAGTGCACACAGAATAGAAAGCATGCCATAAATGGTGACTTACGCAATTCTGTTGATTGCGAGATTGATAGCCGATACTGTCACCAGTTGGCTGAGCAACAAGACATTTCATTACGTCACATAACTTCGTATTAGCGTAAGCTTACAGATATAACTTAACATACAATTTTAACGGTTCAACTATTCAAGAAACTGAACAACCCTTTTGTATTAGCATTTTTACTCGAAATAGTAATAGCAAATTAATTGTATATTTTTTGGTAAATATAAAACTATCGAAAACTTTAATATTTTTCACATGTTATTGCATATGATGATGACACTATAAAAATTAAAATGTATTATAAATTAAAAGATAAGAACGACACGGGCAGTACTCGGCTCAATTAATTAGAGCAACAGCACCGCGTAGATGCCGATTCAGGTCCTGCTCGTGTCATAATTGTATTCAACTCATAATCAATTTTTAATTAATATACAACTAATTCTTAAAGGATGTTCTGCTTCTGTACAGATATGTCATGCCTGGCGATTAATGTCTTATCTGAAATTTATTAGTTAACATTATTATTAAAGCAATTTGGACACAATGACGTTGGAGTTAAGAGTGAGAATTGGTGCTCACCTGACAATGCTTTCGTTGGCTGCATGTATCGATGGACGTGGAACTCTCGAGGCGCCATCTACTCTGTTGACTCGATGTCGTGACCCCGCCTCCATGAAAGCGAAGTAACCTCTGTAAAGGGGCGTGAATTTAATTATTAATGGAAGTTGTCAACGTTATACAATTAAGTAAAACACTTTAACCGTTTGTTTCATTTAAATGTGCAACGTGCTCACGTAAACTACAGACAGTATTTAACTTTAAAAAAAAACTAAGAATTTAACAATTCTTAGTTTGCTTAGTACGCACACATTTGGAAAGCGATTCTTATAGATAAACCTCCTTAATAACGCTTATTTTTGTAGTAATAAGACTACAAGTGTGTTGTAAAAGATTATATTATATTATACTCTGTTTACTCAAGACTTTAAACCTTAGATAAGAAACAAACTATGCAATATGTTTATACAATTGTATCAACTGTTTTATTGATGAATAAAATATATTTCTAGACTCACAAAACATCACATGTGCAAATACATGATGATTAGTTTAAATGACTTTACTTAATGACATTTCTAGATAAGACATACCTAAAGAAAGCTCTGACGATAGCCCATCGGAAGACGGCAACTGGATCTACACCCACCAGTTCCCGCACAAATGCCAGGGACGAGTTCTTCAGTACGCTCACTATGTCTTGCCTCATTAGATCTAGGTTTTTCTCTCTCATCGCTGTAGCCTAGAAATCAATATTACATATGAAAACAATGTTGAAGCAATACTTTCGATTCAGTTAATTACTACTATTGTTATTTATAACTCAAAACTGGCTATGTAATTCTAGAAAGGTCTTCTTCTAACCTGATATTTTACTCTCCCAGCGTAATGCTTAACAACGAACGCAGGTTCTCGCCGCGTCGGCTTCTCGTAGAACGAGTTCTCTTCGTGTACAGAATTAAACTTCTGCAGTAATGTCTCATTAGTTGCCCATGGAAAACTAGAATTTTATACAAAATATGTATTTAATACTAATGTAGCGGTACAAAAGAAGGATATTTGATTGTTCTTTTGTTTTATTTAAAGTATCGCAAATATTATCAGTACATGTAATTTGTAGTGCCTGTTGGTTGGTTGTGAATAATACACAATAACAACAAGAGAATAATGCAGCAGCTGTGGTCCGGAAAGAAAACATCCCAAACTGATATATTTCGTGGTTTAAACCGTTGACTGTTTTATTAAATTGTGTACTACTCGCGTAATCTACAAATTGGCAGATAAATATTTCTTTCTTTCTTTTAGTTTTTAACGGATCTCGGAAGCTTTTTCAATACTTACTTGCATTGATCGTCCAATAGGCAGAGCAAACCGCCCGGCTTCCCTTCAATTAATTGCAAGCACCCTGTATTATCAGAAAAGCCAATGTCCGTCCACCGAATGCCTTCTCGTCTGTACTCTTCTTGCTCATATTTGAATACGTGCTGGTTGAAATAGTACTGCAGGTGTTCGTTTGCATAGTTGATGCAGAGCTGCTCGAAGCTGTTATTCGGACCAAAGTCCTCGAAGCCGAATATATCGAGGACGCCTGGAAATGTCCAACAGTTATATTTATGAAAAACGCATTAAATCGTATTGTGGAGGGTGGGTTGTGACTTGGACGGAATTTGGATATTCCTACCGCCTCATTAATATGAAGAGTTACAGATGAAGGCCAACAGGTTTCAGGCATATTAAAAATGTATTAGAAACTTGTTAAACCGGGTAAGGATCGAATCTTACGTAATTAGGCAAACAGTGCTACCATTCACCAACAAGTCCGTGAAAAATTATACATTTTTTTTTGTATATATTTAAGTAATTCAAAATATTATATTGCTTATCATATATAGTTGGTTTAGTAAGTCTTAGTTGCGATAAATTAATAATAAGAATTGATACAGACCTATACTATGTCCTTGATGCTCCCGAAGTGTGTCCTTTTTTGGAGAGCAGCGCGTGATTCACCTGCATCACAATCCAGTCGAACAGAGCACCATAAAGGCATTTCGCCATAGCGTCGCGTGTCGCTATCGCTTCTGGAAGCCTGAAATTACATACGTTATAAAAAAAAGAAATTATTTGCATTGTCAACATTTTTTAACATACAATAAAAAGAAAATAAGATAAAAATAAACAAAAAAAAAAATAGAGACAGGAGAACTACAATATATTTTTTTAATTTTTTCTGTAAAATTTTATAATAGTAATTATTAAGACAAATTGCAATTATTAACAATTAAAATACACCATGTTCTTAGACTCTAACTTTATGGGAGACATACATACATACAAGCTTAGATAAGACAATTACTATTCTCTACTTTTACGGCAAATTTTGTTCATTTGTCCTATCACATAATTAAAAAAAAAACAAATAAAACTTTAGACTGATGCAAACCTAACTTGGTAAGTAAATGATTTAATGAATGTTATGAAAACCTCTGAACAAATAAATCCTATATTAGGACACGTTTTGGCCCATTACACGTTCCACCAGTTAACACCGGGTTAGGGACTATTTTTTTGGGCATGTGTAAAATTGATGAAAATCATGTTATTAGTACTGTCGGCTTTCTACCCTAAGACGTTTTAATAGATTTTAACAATATACCTGTAGTTAATGACAAGAGTTTCACCGGACGCTCGAGCCCTCTTCGAAGTAAGTGCAGCGAGTAATGTCTCCTGTTTCACTCGTAATAAGGACGAAATTAGCGAAACTACTTCAGGATTGCGGACTCCAACCGCTTCGTCGTGGTGATATGATTTGCGTTGAGGCTGGAACTCTACATTACCTGAAAACAATAAAAGCTCATGGTTACTCAAACTTGACTTGACATTTTTAGCGAAAATAAATGTATTTTTATCATTGTATATTTTACAAGATATTTCTCCTATATTCCATTTATCATTTAATTCCTATTTTTTTGGCTTTGTTACCCGCGCCATTATTAACATAATTTGATACCACGTTATGTTTTTAAAGTTGATATTTTATGCGCTAGAGTGAAAAATAAATGTCTGACAAAGTAGAGTCTATAATGTACGAATTAGTGTCCACTTATAATTAAGATCGACAAAGCGTAATACAGAAACCTTACACATTTAAGACGCACTACACGCAACATGTTTGAATATCCTAAAAGGATTACTATACTCAATGTCTGTATGAGACTGTTAAAATAATATTGGAGGAGCCAAAGAGATTTGTTCAATTTTGTTGTTCATATAACATTTTATATAATGCAAAAAAACCGCCTCTGTAGCTAAATGGTTACACATGTTGCATAGCATTGCGTTAAGCGCGAGAGGTATTGGTTTAGAATTCCAGGGAAATAATAGATTGTTTCGTTCGGGCAGTGCACATAAGTCTATAATAAAAACCGATCTGCGAAGCGAGCAAATAAATGTGTTCGCACTATGAAACAACGGGATTTTACTTTTAGATAAACTAAAGTTTTTATGGAAGTTTAATTTTTAGATTGCGTGTCAATTGGTTTAAATTTAATTTGACTTATTAATATTTATTCACCAGCCTGTATTTAGTATATTGAATTTTCCCTGATGTGTTGAATCATTTGAATATCCAAAGTACGCAACATGTAAATGCAATTATAATACAATAAGTAAAAAGTCAGCTGCTTCTCAACTCGCAACTTGCCACTGCCAATTACGTCAAAAGCGACGGACGTTTCGCGCGGAAATCAAAACATTTCACTTCCAGTCTCGATCTGTTTATGAAACGGGAAAAACCGGATATGTTTCCATACTTATTAGATGGAAATGGCTTGATTTAGCTAGAAATGCTTACCGAGCAGCAGTACAGCTGATAAAACCGCAAACAGTCTCCTCTGCTTGTCCATAGTGAAGCCTACCATGTCCATGGACTGTTTTAACCTCGAGAACTCGTATTGTTCATCCACACCGGGCACTACACTACAACCGGTCCGCGACAGATAATTGTATTTGTCAACACTCAACAGATGCAACTGTTCCTTCTCCTGCTCCGAAGCACCGGCCAATAGATAATAGAACACGTGGTAGTTCCTCTCGTTCCTACCCTGGCTGCATATTCTAGACTTCTCCAAGAGATACTTCTGCACCACAGCGCCGTGCACCATTCCGTTTTCCTTGTAGTTGACTTGTATAAATTTCCCAAATCTACTCGAGTTGTTGTTGTGCGCGGTTTTCGCATTTCCAAATGCTTCTAGTACGGGTCCAGCGCTAAGTATCGTCTGCTCCACCCCGCTGCCGTGGGATCCTTTTTGACTTAGTGCTGTTAAATGATGAAGGAGAAAATTTGTACTCTCTGTCTTCCCGGATCCGCTCTCCCCGCTTATCACTATGCATTGGTTCGTTTTTTCGCGTAGCATGCAATGGTATGCTGCATCTGCTACCGCAAAAATGTGTGGTGGCAGACTGGATCCTATCCTTTTGTTTTGATAGAGCTTCACATACTTGGGGTTGTATATAGGATAGAATTTGAACGGATTGAGAGCTATTAATATGGAGCCCACATAGGTGTAAATATATCCCGTGCCAAACCGAGCTCTCAAATTATCTAGGAGCGTTTGTTCATTGAGTTCTGGCAATTGGCAAAGGTCTGGATACTCGCGGTCCTTCGGTTGATACAGGAACCTTTGGAAGTAATCCTTTATAAGTTGAGGGTCCACGGAAAAATTCTCCATCCATGGTTCGTCCGGAATCTTCTCTCGAAGGTAAAACCTGCCGAAAAATAACTTAATTAATATATAACTAGTAGTAATTAGAAACAAATAAGTAATAAAATGTGAAATTATGTTTACTTCTGTGTCATAATTGTTGGTTAATTAAGAAATAATATGAAGCTCATGTTTACTGTGAGCGGCAAAATTTAGTTTATGTTTGATTGGCAGGATGGTTGTTATCAGAGCGCCGCGCGGGCGGCAGGAAGGGTGACTCACGCGCACCAACAATATCCCAGCCACTGTCGTAAGCCCTACGCTCGAATCAAATTTGTTCCGAATATGACATTAACGAGTTACGCATGAACCTCGAGTCATTAGCGTTGAGCATCTCTGCGCCGTCTCATTGTATTGTTTGTACATTTAAGGACATAATACGTTTACATGATTCATAGTAAGACATCGAGACCTCCGTCTAGAAATAGTTATCCAATGACAGGACAATTTAATGAACCGGTAGATATCAAGAGCAATGCCACAACTTGCATAAATTGTGTTAGAATATTTTATAGTTATTGTGTTACAACTACTATTTCCACTTATGAAAACTTTATGTAACTTATTCTAAGAAATACTGTCTATAGTTTACGCGAGTAGTACACATTTAAATAAAACACTTTAACGGTTTAAAACGCGAAAGCATCCGAAACGTCGGGCTGAAGTTAAAAATCATTTTCAAATAAGTTTAACTAATATATCGCGTTTTAAACGAAAGTTTTTATTCTAAGAATGTATCACGGTGGCTCAGTTGGTGAGAGCACCATTCGAGTCCCGTTTGTTTTATTCTAAATAGATAATATATTTTAACTGTATGTCTGTTTTAAAATATAGAAGGAAATATGACAGCATAATTTTATTAATTATTTGATCGAATTTATCAGAGATTAAGAAGCGTGACCGATTACTACGGCAACACCTAATAATAGCCGATTTTCGTATTCAGAACTGCTTACATGAATGTAAATAAATATGCTCGCAAGGTTAAACCTACGTTGTAAATACCAGGGTAATTATGTTGAAGACTCGTTACACTAATTAAATTGTAGAGGAAAAATATACATGATACAGTAAGCGTATTAAATACCAACTGCAGACTTCAAGTACGCCGACCTGAAATTGAGGCAAGCCATTTCTTTCCGTTCGCAATGACTAATCGCACAATTCGTTTTTTGGGAGGAAGTGGTAATCAAAGGCTGTTCGATAATGAAAATGTCGACTAGCCGTCTAGTACTTACGACGGCTAAGCTCATATCGTAATAAACCTATCCACAAACATATGAGCTTCTACAATAACGACTTCTGCACTTTTTTATCTTATTTATCTTACCGCTTATGAAGCTAAATCTATCCTAATATTATAAAATTGAAGAGTTTGTTTGTTTGAACGCGCAAATCGGAGGAAGAATAAAGTTTGAATTGAAAAACTGCGGCCAATAAACTAGGAGGTAACAGAAAACATATCGAAAAAAAAAGGGGAAAATTATTTATAATTGAGGGATTCCGTTACGTTCGCTTCGAAAACGTTTTAAGATACAAACCGCGATAGTATATATATATATACTTATGAATACGCAGATTACATACATAATACGACACACATAGGTGGCGTTCTAAAATTACCATTTTACCCAGCAGATTTGTGATCGAGGCTATAAGTCCTGTAGTTCCCATTTAGTCTTCCTACTAATTAATTTAACGGTCGATTAGTTTATTATTTGTTAATTATTTACGAATGTGAAGTTCTAGCTTAACTAGTAGAATAAATTTTTCATTGGGAAATCTAGGTTGATACATAGTTTCATATCGATGCCGTTTTCTTCAAAATTCGTAAACAATAATTGTTTACTTTAGGTATTTCAGGCGCCGGATGAAGAGTTTCAATCTGGATGTTTGTATAGGAAAATCTATCGCATTTAAAGATTCGTTTTAAATATTATCAAAGACCAATTTAAGTTGATTTAGTTTTTAATAGTTCAATTGCGTATTAAAATACATTTAAATATATTTTTTGGAAAATATCAGCTCTTTGTAAAGTTGTAAAATATTTTTATTACTAGTATGTACATATGAAAGGTATGTCCGCGATCCCATTGCATAAATTGTATAATGTTATTGCTTTAATATATACTTGTCTATGATAATAATTATGAACAGGAAGTTATCTAATATTATGCACTTATTTATTACTGTGCACAGTATTGAAATAAAACTTAATAGTTTAATCGAGTCTTTAGAAACAATATAGTTTTGACCAATTCGACCGTCGTTCAGAAATGATAAGCTCAATATCTGAAGATGCCAACCACTTTTGATGACAAATTAGAACGGTTCGGACAGACGATGGGATCAGCCTGCCTGTGTCGTAATTTATTTTAAATCTAGAATCTTGACAAATGAAAAGAGAATATTGATCGAACTTTTCATTTGTAAGTGTATATACGACGACATAAGATAAAGGTATTTCATGTTCCTAAAAAACAAATTATAACCAGTCACTACATTATTCTTTACACAATTAATGTAAAAGAGACAATGAAGTAAAAAAACTACAAAAAACACATTATCTTACCTGTAGTATTGGCCAGAATTGCTATTAGGCCACAGCATCATGACCGCCACAGGTGATTCGTTTGGCCCCAGCCGCCTCTCCTTGCATTCACCACTGACCACGTCACCCACCACCTAAACAGTATTTTACTGTCAGAAAAATAGGTTCTCTTCACATTTAAAACACCTAACTACATATTTTTAACACCAACTTTTATGCAAGTAACTAATATTTGGTCACCTCTCTAACAATGCAATGAGTGACTTTGCAAGGTAAACACGGTTTTTTGTTCGCTACTAAAACAATGGATTTAAGAACTTTGTCTAACAAATGGTAAATATTTAATGGTTAGGAAGTTACTGCAATCTCTGAGCGGGCAAGTGACGCAAAAAGTTACGATAAATATCAGCTGTGACTAATCTAATGTCTCGTTAGTAGTCTTGGTCATATCAGGCTTGGATTCATTTAAAATTACCAAAAAAGATAGAAAAAAAAATTATAAAAAAGAGACTTTCACTCATAATATGAACCAATGCTCAATCCTCGCTTAAGCCATTCCCGTGTCGTTTCTTCGTCTAGGTGTATAATACGATCTTAAAAATAGTTCTGTATATCTCAGACATATAAATATTAAAATGCAACATATAAATATTGCTGTTTTATTCTTATCATAATATCCTATTGATATGAATTAGATTGTTAAATGATGACATCTAATACAATAAAAGATAGCATTATCAATGAAGTACGCTACAAGTAAGCTTAATAAATATAGTTATTGTATTAAAACCATACCTCAGCAAGCTCATAGGGACCGCCGGATCCATCATTTAAATTGAGTTTATCAGCTATACAGCAAACAATTTCTTCAGAGCTTGTTTGCTTTGAGGCCTCCACTGAGAGAGCCTCATATTGGGCAGATAACGCTCCGACGAACACCTGAGAACAAACTCATAAAATATATTATCTTGACTTGAAACAATATAACAATTTGTTGGCAAAGAGTACATTAATGGTTAAAATAAGAAAGAAACAAAGCCATTTTTATTTGCTATCAAACAACACTTTACTAGAAAATTATTTTACTCAAATTCATTTGACTGAATCAGGGTGTTAAAAATAACACAAAACAAGATTATTATAAGATATACAATCATGTTGTGAAGTAACTTATTTAGTCAATAATTAATGATATGCCTAAAAAACACGCTCCTCTAAAAGCACATCATTGCATTGAGCACAGGAGTCCAGGTAGACATAAATTTCCAAAGGGCAACTAGGTCCACTTAAATATATATAAAGCCCCTCAATAAAACAGACAGATATATCATTCTGCCCCATGCATGCATGTATTTTTTTTAAGAGGACAGACAATCATAGGTCAATTATTGCACCAAGAACAAGATGTAATTAACATGTACTGCCTTAGAATATTTGAATTTTGCTGCATAAGATTCAAAATAATTTATGACAACACATTTATTATTACATAGTTTTAAATAGAATGATGATAAATATTATAAAATTATACACATATTTCTTACAGTTTAAGCCATGATGATAATATGTTCAAAGGTTGATTAAAGTTGTACTATCACTAAAAGTTCATTGACATAAACAACACAATGAATGAGATATATATGTAAATAGCACTAGTGCATAAGAAAAAAATTTGAAAACCATTTTTTAATTAAAATATTGTGTTTAGAGAAAAATGCTATTTTTTAAATTATCTATTTTTAATTAATAAACCCGGTACAAGTATATAATGTCTGGCTCATTCCCATGAAATTAAGTAAAAAAAAATATCAACATAGCAGAAACCTACACCACTTTGTGCAATTAACTTATGAACGAAGAATTTAATCCTACTTAATACTTGTATCAACAGTAACTTGTAAGTTCATCTTGAAACATTCAATGACACTGCTGTGCAAACCAACTTAAATCAGTTTTTTAAATCATGTGTATTGATCTAGTTGTAGTATTTTCTTTTCTAGATTAATATTTAGATAGACTTCATCTTATTCTAGTGAAATGTTATGTTTCCACTTCTTAAATGAAGGATTTAAGGAATAGATTGCTAGTTAGAATTCAAAACTTAGATGTAACTAGTATAAATTAATTTCAAATATAGGTACCATGCATGTAACTGACCTGCACAATATATCTATGATTCTCTGCAAGTGCCATCCTTCTTCATGGTTTTTATTGCATGTGGTAAAAATTGTATGTCAATGTTTCCACTTCATGTTTCATTTCATGAATTGTGTTCACTTTCCACATCCAGATGTTGTGGTGAACATGTATTTCTCATATATGGCAATTAAATGCGTATGTTTCGGTCCATATTCAACAATATGTATAAAATAAATGCGATAAAGTTTCTCTCTCTAGATTCAATTAAACAATAAATGGATCCCTCAGTGCGTCAAGATATTCACCAAAAAAAGCTGTTAAGGGGTACAAATAACGGAGATTTCCGTTACACACATTCAGTTGCATAAACAATTATTTAAGGTATTAAAGTTTAACATTGTTAATGGGCTGAATAGCTTTGTAATAGAAGGAGAAATCTCAGATGTGGGTCACATGCTGATAGTCTAAAAATCATCCAGGTTGCATCTTCGAATAATAGCTCTATGACGTTATAACCTTATTAAAGCGGTGGTTCCTCCTTATGTGACTTCCTTGAATTTATAAATTTAACGACACCAATAAACAGCACTATTTATACAAAATAGAAAAGCTTTCGGTATCTGCAACAACCTGTTATTTGTCATACACAACACTCGCTTAGGCACCACGTAATCGAACTTACGCTAAAACTTTATTCTTAAAATCATATAAAAGCATTTATAGCACTATTAACACAGAAACTAGCATTGTTTTAATAAAATCCAATAAATAAAACGTCCTTAAGATATCCAACCACCATTTTTATTTGTGTGTAAAATTTAATTGAATCGTGTTCGTGTATCTATGTTTTATACAACATAAAATACTGCCCTTAAATTTACATTGGCGCGGTTACTAACATGTGGTTTCTTCATTTGGAAGTATAATAATAAGCATAGACTAGAAACGTCTAAAATATTTTTTTTTTTAATATTTGACTTAGGCGGAATGCAAGTTTATTGGTCCTTTGTTTTTCTCGTGAATCCACATCAATGTTGCCAGTTGTTATATATATTACAGATCACTACATAATAAGTAACGTCTAAATTTATCTTACGATATTAAATATATTTAGTACTTTTTACTATAGCTATTGACGCTATAACAGAAGTAATTAATATTAACGTAAAAGTCCTGGTGACTTACATAAACCCGCGAAATCTATGGCAGTCCTGGCAATTTTGCTTTGACATATTACTTTACAACCGACTTTAGAAAAAATTTGTTTCTAATTTGATTTTATATACACTTTTTATATTATTATAAAAAAAATATATACATATTAATAGAAAACATAATCATAAACAAAAACATACTTTTCGAGAAAATATATGTAACAAAAATTCGAACATGCTTCAGTTAACATAAACTAGATGGAGCGAAAGTACATTAATTAAGTAGACACAAAATTTAAAATTTTTTAAATTTTAATTTAAATAATACAGAGACGAGTTACTGATACATTTTATGCGCCACTTTTGTACCTAAGGACATTAAATTCGGTGACTGTTGCACTGTGATATTGTTTTAATACTCAAGAGTTAGGCATTTAATTTTAGTAAGATTTTTACGATAAATATAAACGAGAAACTTAAGATTTTAATATTAGTTTAAATACAAAATAACTAGCGCCTTTTAATTGTTGTATAAAATAAAAATTCCACGATCAAATAAAAGTTTTAATCTATATCTAAATAATATAATCAGTACTTTGGTTTGCCGTTATGCTATCTTATGAAAATAAAAATATCTTAAGTAATATTTATTGGAGTTATATCTACATTAACCGCTACGTATATGAAGAAGGTTCATAACAATAACAAAGTAATGCTGAGTACGGGGGCATTAAATGAGATTTGATTTGAGAGGTCACCACGTAAGTGCAATGACTGTCGTGACCGGCTTTAAATAAAAATAGTATCACGCAATAGATACTTCAGATCAATTCCTTATCACGATTATGCATTTGTTAAATTAAATATATTTAAATTATTTTTATCGCAACGTAATTTTAAGTTATATGTTAAAGTACGTCATAGTATTACTCATAGTTTTTACGAATTAAGTTTTATTTATGTAATTATATTCAGAAAAACGTTCAAAATAGGGAAAAAAGTCGCATATCGCGACTGCATCGTGCAACAGCAACATTAGCTGCAATTATCTGTAACATTTTCACTAGCCAGAGCACAATCTGGTTATAGTAAGTAGGTAGAATTGAACATACAGATAGCGGAGTAAAAACTTATTCTAAACATATTATTTTAAATTAAACTAAACTTAAGTATCTTCCTTTGGCACATTGGTCACGACTAACTTGACTTGACTTCACTATTATTATAATTAAAGGTCACTTTCCAAAACATGTCCATAACGTAAATTCAAATTAGCCGTCTTCGCGCCGTATGCGTCGCAGTGCGTTTGGCGGCGACCGCTGCGGCCGCGGCGCGTCTCGCGTGCACGCGCCGATGTTTGGCCAGATGATCGGAGCGTGCAAATCTCTTGCTGCATTCGCTGCACCTGTAGGGCTTGTCGCCCGAATGGCTTCGTCGATGCCGCGCGAGCTCGTCGGACCGCGCAAATCGCCAACTGCACCCTCCCCACGTGCATTTGTACGGCTTCTCACCACTATGTCTTCGCAAATGCGCGCGAACGTGAGACGCTTTCGCATATAGTTTACCGCACTCCGGCACTGGACACCGAAACGCACCTAAATCCGGACAGTACGTAGGCTCCCCCCAAGACTGGACCTTCACTTCCTGGTCAGTCGACTCCGTATTGGCACTAATGTTTTGGTGGTCGTATATACTTTCTAGATCTTGGGGATATGTAGTTTCGAGGTCGATACCTAATACGGAGAGCCTGCCCAGCTCCGAGTCCCCACTAACGGGAGAAACTGGCGCGCAGGGTTGCTCGTCACAGCATTTATCACTATTCAACGCGTCCAAAAGATAAGCATCTAAATTGATATTTTTGTCCAAGTCCGCAAAATCAAATAAAACCGATGAACCTTCTTCGGGGCCATAGTTGCTTCTACTACTGTCGTTGAAAGCGCCTACAAAGGCGTCACAGTGGAAGTCCAGATCGTTGAACTGCCACGCATCGGCTTCGGCGGCGGTCGTCGGGAGCTCAAAATTAATAAGGCTTTCAGCGGGAGAATAATCGAACAGCAGTTGATCGTTCAACATGGGGTCTTCGAAAAGAATCCCACAGTCCTCTCGATACATCTTCATTCTGAAATAATAAAATGTCAATCGATTAGAAACGGTACCGGACTATAAATAGTTGTTTAGATTGATGCTTACAAGTGCTACGTGTACAGAGGCCGTTCCATGTAAATCACGTTATTGTTGTTGTGTCGGAAATGTGACGGGATGAGCTTGACCGGCGCATACGACGCGTGTTGTGGATAGAGTGAGCGTGGTCGTGACTGCGCCGGACACCGCGGCGGACGCAAGATAACAGTGATCGCGATTATCGCCGGCCGCGCCAAACACTCGTTTACGTATGGGGTTTTAGCGAAGTTAACTACGACACGATGACGAAGAACGAAATGTAAAATTTGGGTATTAACAAATATATATTTACCCGAGTTCATTTTATCCCTTTCGCCGAAGCACTTTTAAAAATGAGTGAAAAACAATTAATTACAAACGTTTTGATTAACGACCGCTTAATTGCTTTTACATAGTTGCAAAGTTTTCTTCCATCGCACATTAAATTTTTTGCGCACTGTATGCGATTATAAATCAATTAACGAAGCTGTTTACGATAGTAGGATCATTCACTTTCTCTGTTCTTATCATTTGTTTGCACGACCTACCCGAAAGATCTTTTACCTATAAGCTTTTTCGATAGAATCAATTTTATATTTTTTATTAAAAAGTTGATATAATGCCAATTAACTATACAAATTATTATTTTCATGTACATAAAGGACGTGATTATCTTCATTTACTCGTAATTGGGTGATTATTAGATATCTATAGATAAGAAATAAAGAATGTTGGGAAGAAAATTTTAAGGAATATCTCTGTTTTCTTTCTTTATTTACATATTTATTTATAAAAGTGGCAATCACTAACCCACGCTTCAGGAATAGTGTTCAAACCGGAATCAAAACTATATTTGCAATATTATTTCCCCTGATAAACACGCAAATGTGTGATAACATTCTTCGGAAATGAGAGAATACTAAAGAGGCAAATCTATGTCTGTAATAGCAACAAATGATAAATAGAAAGAAAATTAGACTATTAAAAATATTTCAAGAAATTAATTGTGTATTTAACTTTAAATAAAATATGTTATAGTTTAAGTAGTAAATTTAAATAAAAACTTAACGGTTTAAAACGCGATATATTAGTTAAATTATTTGAAAATAATAAAAATTTAAATAAGTTTAATAATATATCGGTTTTAAACCGTTAAATCGTGTTTTATTTAAACATGTTAAATATTCTTGGCCTAAGTCAATTTAGTCCAAAATAGATTAATACTTACTTTGTGTTTTCGTTTAATACTGACATCGTACTATGTTAGGTCATTTGGTTAATTAAGTTACATCAAATGTGTCAAAAGCTAGTTTTAAATATTTTTTTTCTGAGAAATTGTTTTATATGTTAACCCACATTAGTTTATTTTGATTCACACTGTCCACTTTCGTCAGCCACGTCGAACGTTAGATAGATACATGTTAATAAGTATTGAAAATATAAAATACCTACTCATTTTATCAAATATATCTTTTTCATGATAACAAGATCCCAGATGCTGTCGGCGACGCGGACGGTGGCTGGCACCGCCACCATCTGCTGTTTTACGCGTGCCAGAATCAGATTTCAATACATACTACGTTTAAATTTGTTTCCAATACGTAAATTGTTATATACAGCGTTTTTCTTGTTAGTGAGTACATATTTCAGTTTTCTTAATCTTCAATTTATTAAAATCGCTCGTTTGTCTCTTCATATAGATGTTGGGTAGTGAAATTTACGCAAAAATTACGAATGCAAATCGAGCAGTACCTATAACCATATGTTTTCCTTTATTCCAACTAAAAAGCAATTATCTCAGATAAAAAATATTATCGTACGATAATAGGCACCGGTTTACACACGTGGTCGGTATAAATTCCCTCGCAAATGAATCATGAGTATCAATAAAAATGTTTCATTCCAATGAAGTAATTATGGTGAATACATCGATCCCCGGATCACTTCACGTAACCGCTCGTGTACGTAACGAGCACACAGCCAAACAGTACACAGTTCATAATATAATAGCGATAACATTCGGAGACTGGCACCGCCAGCGTCTGTTGGGACCCGCTCTGTAATCATTCGTTTTTTCCTTCACTGCGTACCTACTCGAGGAAAATAACAAGTGTTTCATATAATACCGTTTTAAACAAACAATATCGAAAATATGATCGCTATTTTGGGGACAATTTCAGGTACTTTATTTACAATAAATTATAGATACATAATATGTAAGCATTATCTAGTTAAAAATTTGGTGGGGGCTTATTTTGTGAAACTTAACAATAATCTAATTGAACATCAATGCTAATATTAAATAGTTTTATATGTTTAAACTTAGTGATTTGTTAATTAAATTAGTTTAGTTTTATATAAATAAATGAAGGCAAAAAAATAATCATTTGTCATTTGTTAATGTATTATAACTGATAGTATTAAATTAGCGCCATAAAAAATAAATACGGTTTAACATGCCCCAGTCACACCAAGTAAAATAAATGTGTTGTCGACCTATTTTTACTTTGGATATTCGAAAATCCACAGACTGACCGAAACGCGATTAAACTTCACGGCTTTTTCATCTGGTTCGTGAGCCGGACGGAACCTGAGATATTCCCACCACCCTTTTAACCTCCAGATTCCAGAAGTTCAACGTGTTTCAGAAATTATTAATTGTGAGGTAGTGGGGATCGAAGTCATGACCCATTGATTATTAGGCATACATTGGTACCATTCCATCCTCCGTCAAGCATATTGTGCTTATAAAATCTCTGCGTACCGTGCAACGTACTTATAACATAACTTCTAATCAAATATTCATAAAAAAAACAACATCAGTTGTGGAAATCCCGAAAACATATCCTGTAGAAATCCCAAGATAAATATTGGTTGAATCTGTGTTTATGGGCATAGATAAGAAACTCATTACCGCGCATATGGTGTTCTGGATAATTTGCGATTGATAGTCAAGTGTGATATCAGTTTCGAATTTCGGTCATTCGCGCATATCTATGGCATTGATTAGGGGTTTCATCACCTAATGGGACTTACTAATAGATATCGCCTCTGTAGTTCAGTGGTGTATGCCTTACTTTTAATGGCGTGAATTAGGAACGAATAGATTATTCGGTTAGCCTCCTCGAATAATCGGCAGAACTATTCGGTCAGATTTTTAATCCATGTTGGACTTCGTCTGGAAATATAGAAATTTCGTCCGGGTCACGAACCACCGTTCACAGCTGTGAAGCTTAATCCGGATCCGAATCCCCTTAGATTTCCGAATCCAAAGCCGAAATTGGTCTACAGTGCATCTTGTTTAGATTCTATAGGCTGGGGTATATCGAAGATAGAAGAAGACGTATTTCGATGATGATGTAAATAATTTAAGAAGTGTTGTTTAGTGTGCTGTTTTAGCGCACCGGGTCGTGAGGTTTTTAAAAAAAAAACGAAAATCCACTACTGGACTTAATTCCGTTTATTTAATAATTGTATGGGTACAATTAATATTGGGGACCTCACTCTACAATGTCCGCACTCCGCGACGATGAAAATGTAACTCAAAGAATATATGAAAGTAATTCCTTATTAGCACTAAAGTGCAACATAGACACTATTATTATGGAAAATTATAATTACTACACGTGTGCAGCGTCATCAAAATGTGGAATTGTGGAATATTTGCATATAACACCTCCCCCTTTTAGATTGAGCTTGTCCCATTAAGGGTGAAGCGAAAAAGAAATAGTAATGTAGATGAGCAAATCTTTAAATTCAAAAATATACGCGATTGTAGAGTAAGGCTTACAAAATGTATTAAAACTAGTACAAACATATTTAAAAATGTAGGATTAGCTTAGATTACTTAAGATTTAGTAAACTTAGAACAAAAGATATAGTATTATAAACTTTCAAATTTATCTTATAGGATATAGTAAAGAAATAGAAAATGGTAATTGTATACAGATCCACTTTAGAATTAGTAACATAACATATTTTATATTAATTACCTAAACGAATTTATTTAGAAATTATCTAAATTTCTGGAATGAGACCTTGACAATTTACTTGGAGATGTATAACTATATTCTACTGCTTCCCTCCCCTCCCCCCCCCCCTTTTTTCCTTTCCCCCCCCCTTTGCCCCTTCCCCCCCCTTTTCTTTTTTTTTTTTTCCCCGGCCCCCCCCCTTTCTGCCCCCCCCCCCCCCCAGGGGTGTTTCCCCCCCCCCCCCCCCCCCCCCCCCCTTTTTTTTTCCCCCCCCCCCCCCCGGGGCCCCCCCCCCCCCCCCCCCCCCGGGGCCCCCCCCCCCCCCCCCCCCCCCCCCCCCCCCCCCCCCCCCCCCCCCCCCCCCCCCCCCCCCCCCCCCCCCCCCCCCCCCCCCCCCCCCCCCCCCCCCCCCCCCCCCCCCCCCCCCCCCCCCCCCCCCCCCCCCCCCCCCCCCCCCCCCCCCCCCCCGGCCCCCCCCCCCCCCCCCCCCCCCCCCCCCCCCCCCCCCCCCCCCCCCCCCCCCCCCCCCCCCCCTTTTTTTTTTTTTTTTTTTTAACTATATTCTACTGCTTCAGTCATCTCAATTGAATTATTAATTCGAGTTTGATTACATCTTTTCTTTTTATTATTACATTGATTATAGATAGTAATACAACATGAACTTTTGGACTTTGAATAGCATTTTATTATTTTGTATATTATAAACAAAAACATCAAAGGTATTAAAATATATGTTATAATTGAGTAATACGATGCATACTTAATAAAATGAGATTGTTCTTCCGCCATGTTAATTTCTTTTTCTAAAAAGTCTAATTTGTGAGATGCATACTGAAGAGAGTCTAAGTTTATATTAGATAGCGATATAGGAGTGAGGAATGGTAAAGTATGATTGAACTTCTCCTTTTTACAGCATTCATCTTCTGAAATATTAAAATTTATATTATTAATTTGACTTCCTTGGACGTAGGATTTATGAGAAATGGAAGGTGACAATTGATAAGTCTTACAATGTCCTTTACAGTCATCCGTTAGTTGTACAATTCCTGTACCGAGAATTGAATGTTCTGAAATATCATTTGCACATTTTACAATAATCAATATGTTAATGCAATTAAAATATTTTAAAAAGTCAGTACCTATAATCCCATCATATTTTAAATTAATTTCATCACTGATTACGTGGAACTTATATTCTATTGTTTCATTACACAATTGAAATTGCAAGGAAAGCGATCCTAACGTTTCGCAGTGTGAGTTTGTATCATTTATTCCTTTTAGTTGAATAGTGTCATTTGATAACTTAGGAATGTTCTCGAGCGACGTATGCTTTATTATACTTACACTTGCGCCTGTGTCAATAAGCGTTTGCAATTTATTTCTAGAATAACACGTTTTTAAATACGTGAAAGGTAATGATACCTTATATTGACAGACAGACATTTCGACAATAGGAACTGAATTAGTATTAATTTTATTACCACACTTAGAATTAGAATTTTCTTTTATAGTTTCTTGAATAAAATTCGGGTCTTGATTAACCTCGAATAAATCATTTTTATGATTTTCTTTCACCATTTTACTACAACATTTAGTACACGATTTAGTAAGACTCAGCGACTGAGACTGAGATGCATTTTTGTTATGAGAAATAGTAAGACTCAGCGGCTTTGACTGAGATGCGATTTTTTTATAAGAGTTAGTATATTTAGTAATATTATTATTAGATATATATTTTGTGCCATTTTGATTTATCGATTTCGAAAGGCACTTTTTCGAAATCACATTAAGTTTAAAGCGCACTCGCATGCAGAGTCATGTGTTTCACACATATGCATGTTTGTATTATTAGTACGCGGTGTAGGATCGGATTGCGATCGGATTGAAATTTTGTTGCGCATTTTATTATTAAATTCTCGTTTTCTGCATTCTTGTATCCTATGCCCTACATTTTTGCAATAGGCACAGATAATATGAACTGATTTTGTGTGCTTAATTTTCCGAAAACATTCTGAGGAATTGTGATTTGAGTTTTTACAAATTGAGCAAAATTTATTTTTAAAAGACATAGTAGAGCACTTATTTAGATTAAAAACTTTTTCCTCTTCGACGGCCAAAGTTATAGCGTTATTTAAATTTGCCGGATTCCTACATCTGACAATATTGCTTATATTAGAGTTTAGACCTAATAAAAATGTATTCAGAGCTAAGTCTTCCATTGCCGCTATCCTTCCCGGCAACTCCTCTTTGTTTTTACAAGTAAACTTGGTCTCTGCTAAGAGACGCGTTAAACATGTCTCTAGTTTAATCGAATATTGCGTAACACTTTCAGAAAAGGTCTGCTTACAATTTTGTAAATCTAATAATAAATGCGTTGAGTGTTTTTTCTCACCAAAAGAATAAATTAAAAAGTCTTTGAGTTCAGACCATTCGTTAAAATTTTTCAAACAACATGTCATTTGAGCTTTTCCTTCTAATTGTGAAATTATAAATTTACACAAGATATTTTGTTGGTCCTTTGATGCTAATGATATTGCATTATCACAGTTGGTAAGGAAAGCTGGCAAGCTCTCCCTATCCCCAGAATAAGGCTTTATGAACTTAACCAACACACCCAAACTAATATTATTATCTGCTTCTACTTTGATTGACATGGTGTTTGAAACAAATACAAATAAAAAATGAGATAGAAAATTACGAAAGAGTCGCTACTTAATTATTAAACACTAAAAGAAAAACTTACAATAGGAAAATAATTTTCTGGAGCATATTTTAATCACTTGCATTCACGAATTGCCTCTTTTTTTGTTTTAAAATTCACTCACTTCACAATTGGACGAGGGGCGCGAAATCTGGACCTCGTGTCTCTCCTAGACCTTCACTTCTCTTCTCTCTCTCCAAATTCACACTTTATGTGTTAGGTTCTGAAAACCTTAGGAACCAAAGTCCCAGTGGAGCTACGATGTCGGTGACGGACGAGGGATGCAGGCTTGTATAGATATATATAGAAGGCTTACTGTCGATCCGTGACCACGATGCTGCTGTTGTTCTTTGGAATACCCTGTCGTTATAACTGTCGGGTATCCCACCGCTGCCACCAAATTTGTTTTAGCGCACCGGGTCGTGAGGTTTTAAAAAAAAAAACGAAAATCCACTACTGGACTTAATTCCGTTTATTTAATAATTGTATGGGTACAATTAATATTGGGGACCTCACTCTACAATGTCCGCACTCCGCGACGATGAAAATGTAACTCAAAGAATATATGAAAGTAATTCCTTATTAGCACTAAAGTGCAACAAAGACACTATTATTATGGAAAATTATAATTACTACACGTGTGCAGCGTCATCAAAAGAACAGTGGAATATTTGCATATAACAGTGCGAATTAATAATTTTTCGTGGTAGCGTCGATCGAATGTTAAGTGTTGTCTAATTTAACAAATCCGTATATAGATTTGTATCTAATTAATCAACATATTTTTTATCTGAAAACCCCTTTCTTATTGAATACCTTAGTTTATATTTTTGCTAAACGTGAGAGAGTTGTGAAACTGGAAATGATTTCTCATAGCTTATCCTTACTAACAATATAAATGCGAAAGTAACTCTGTCTGTCTGTTACTCTTTCACGCCAAAACTACCGAACGGATTTGAATGAAATTTGGTACACAGATGGTTTAGACCCTGAGAAAGAACATAGGCTAATAAAAGGGGGGATGAAAGTTTGTATGGAAATTCGTGGTTTTTGAAGCTAGAACAATGAAATTTTCTAGGAGTGGGGGTGGGAAAGAGAGTGAGAGTGGGAGTTAGAGTAGAGTGATGTGACGTGAGAGTGTTGCGGCAAAGTAGCACTTACAACATAGATTGGCTGCGATAAATGCGCAATTACATAAATTAATAAACAGCCTAAATAATTAAAAACTCGCTCTCACTCACTATTCCACGCCAACGAAGTCGCGGGCACAGCTAGTATTATATAAATGTAAACAATGAAATGATTGCTGGGTGTATAGGAAAAATTTGTGAATCGTTTTCACGAAAATTTTCCTTTTTTACCAAGTTCCTGTAGTTCTATAGACAGATATAATGTGAAGAAAACAAAATATAATTTGCGCATATCTTTTTAATACGAGCATTTTACAACAATATTGAAACGAAATCGTCAGTTTGAGATCTGCTGCCAACATACACTACGGGCGCTCAACAAATAAACATAAACCGCGCACTAAATCTATATAAACAAGTCGCTTAAGTACATACAGGCTCCCGATATCATACATACACTAAAGCTATATCACCACTTTTCACTCGTCGTTCGCGGAACGTTCATTCACTCGTTGATCTTTTTTGTTCGTTTGTTGTATTGTCCGTTCGTCCGTCTGTCCGTCACATTAGTAAATCACTTCGTACACTGTGGCCTTCTTGTCGCCCGAACCCGTCACTATGTACTTGTCGTCCGATGAGATGTCACAGCTGAGCACCGACGATGATTCTTTTGACTGAAACAAGAGTAAAACATGTTTTATTGCTTGAAATTTTATTTACAGTGACGGAAAATAAAACTTTCTTAACGGTTTAAAACGTGAGATACATTAATTAAAGTTGTTTCTTATATATTTTTAGTGCGACTCGACACTTCGTCTAGCTTTGTGCCCTCGTGACCACGGCTGCTGAAAATCATCCGCGCAAATATATTTGCGTTTTAAACTTTTAATATTGTTTTATTCGAATCTGTACTACTAGCGGAAACGACAATATCTCTAGATCTAATCAAAATAATGAAAATATAAATAATAGTGAATTTTACTATAAGTATTTAAAATTTGTGAAATACAAGATAATAATGTCTTTAAATTCGTCCTAGCAATTGAATGTTAAAAGCCTAACAGCAGATTAGGGCAGAGGTAGGTACATATATCTATACAAGAGATCTCTTAAGTTATTTATCTATTCATTATTAACGATTACTTATACGAGATAAAACATAATTACGAAGAAATACTATTTCTATTATCAATATTACATACAGTTCAGTAACCGTTTACAATTGACCTTATTTGTGTCATTATAAACTTCATATCGATAGACCATGTTTTTATTATTTCTTTAGAAATAAAACGTAGACGATATACTTTTATTAAGAGTTCACAAAGTAGGTATTCGTTAATAAATTCTTTATTTCTTGCAAGCGTATACGATTACGTCTACGACTTTAGGGCTGTTTAAATTCTGTGATCTTGATGTTAACGTCTACGTACAAACTTATTCAATATTTCTTTTGATATAATATTTAATATTTAAGTTTATAAAATTGCCGTAAACATTTTTAAACGTGAAATGTATTATTTGTCTATTATGTTTTTATTAGTTTATTTTAACTAGGAGCCGACGTTTCGGATGCTTTATGGGTTACGGGGAGGGACTGAACAACACATCTAATAATATTACTATGCTCACCGGCGCATCGGAGAGGGGGGTGTGGTGATGAAGTCATGACCCCCCCTTAAATCTTCAAGTGTACAATTAAGAATGAATATTTTGAAGTACAGTACGTTTACGTATGTACATTAATAAAATACCCACTTTTACTTGTATCTAATGTTATAAAAATTAAATGCTCTTGACTTGACCATGACTATGTGACTCCTGGCGCCAAAGCTGCATTCACCCATGATTATGGCAGGTATGAACATAAATAATACTAATTGCGTTTCGGATGTTACCTGGAAGATACTGGCACCGTAGGGTGTACGCCACGCGTTGAGCAGGTTGTCCTTCCCGGTGGAGACGAACCACTTGCCGCAGGAGGCGAACCGGAGGGACAGCACGCAGGATTCGTGCAGGTGTAGTTGGTACTTGTCCGGCTTCACGGCGTGCAACACCTCCACATTGCTATTCTCCATGCCAACTGCTAACCATTCGCCTGCAAATTATTTATTATTATTAAAAATGTATATTTATATATATGAATGAAGAGTTTGTTTGTTTGAACGCGCTCGAATTGAAAAATTATTTTTGTGTTAGAGCATTTATCGAGGAAGGCGGGAAATGTGGAAAACGGGGGAAGTTATTAATCATTGTGGGTTTCCGTAATATGTAGGCATTGTTTTGATGAAGTGTAATTATTTTTTACTGAGATTTTCACAATAATTTTACTTGCAGAAATGGCGCCACTGTTTTTGATTTTCTAATAATTTTAACATTCTTACCCGTTGGACAATATCCTAACGAAAATATTTGTGAACTGAAGTCGTGCTGCTGTAACTGCCGCCCTTCTCGTAGGTCCCATGATCTGTAAGTAATTAAATATAAAAATAAATAAATATAGTAATTGATAGATAACCAGAAGGTACAAAGGATTTTCTTACAAAAAAAAAAAATAATTAGTAGTAGTTTCAAACGGCTTTGACATATCACTGCTAGATAATTAAAAAAAAAACACTTTTACTGTGCTATTCTTACAAATTACAATACTTAATGTTAAATACTGTCTATAGTTTACGCGAGTAGTACACATTTAAATAAAACACTTTAACGGTTTAAAACGCGATATATTAGTTAAACTAATTTAAAAATTATTTTTAAGTTCGGCCCCCTCTCAAGTCTCCCCGTGACCACGGCTGCTGCAAAGCATCCGAAACGTCAGGCCGAAGTTAAAATCATTTTTAAATAAGTTTAACTAATACATCGCGTTTTAAACCGTTAAAGTGTTTTATTTAAATATTTAATGTTAGATAAGTTTGTAGTCATTTATGTATTTGAAGGTTGGCGGTTGTAAAATACCTGACAGTGTTGTCAAGACCCCCGGTCCAGAGCTTGGTCCCGTCCGCGGATATGTCTATACACGACGCTCCGTCCGTATGTCCTTGGAACTGCCGCACTAATGTCTGATTGTGAAGGTCCCAAACAGCTATGTTTCCGTCTGAACAACAGCTGAAGCACACCTAGAAGTGCAGAAATAAACAATATTAAAAAAATACTGTCATGTTTATGCGAGTAGTAAATATAGAAAACACTAGCGGTTTATAGCTAATAAGGTTCGCGTTTTAAACCGTTCTATTTTTAATTGTTTTTTTAATAATATGGTAATAACACTTTCTTGTGGTTGCATACGAATCGTTACGGAACGCGTTATGGTGCCTGATGTCTGGCTACCCCTTATTCTCTTTAAAAATGTAATACTTCAATTAAGATTAGAATTCTATTTCGTAATACTATTATAAAGTAGTACAAATAGTGTTAATAATAAGAGAGTTTTTTTTTTTAATGAGATGTGTACTCTAACAGTCTTTTAAAATTGGATGTAAAAAGACAGTTATTTCTGAAACTGTTTTATCCAAAAAATAAATAGAGAAAACATGAGCAATGAGGCATTTAAATGTTTTGAATTGCGCTCTGGTCTAAAAGCGCATAACATTTTATATATAAAAGCGATTCTATGCATTTAATTCTATGTATGTCAATGTTTATTTTGTTAAATATGCAAACACACTTTATTACTTATGTTGAGCTAAGTTGTATATCTAGTTGGTAATCCTTTTATGAATTACAAAATAAATATTATATGTCGAATATTTTAGCTCTCGAAAAACTAAATTGAGTGTAAACATGACACAAAGAACATAAAAACTATGTGTCTTTACCGTATTAGAGACTACGTGTTGCTAGTCGAAATAAAACGCTTTTAACGTCTTCAAACGGGAAATATATACATTAATTCGTTCCGAGCCGCTGCAAAACTTCCTCAACGTCAAATACTATCTATAGTTTACGCGAGTAGTACACATTTAAATAAAACACTTTAACGGTTTAAAACGCGATATAATAGTTAAACTTATTTGAAAATGATTTTTAACTTCCTCAACGTCAGGTCATAGGTATGAATAAGTTAACTAAAATATTTTCCGTTTAAAACAGTTAAATGTTTTAATAAAATTGTATTCTTTTAGTGTTACTAGTAATTGGTTTCAGTGGAATATTGAGATTCGTGATTTTATTTTATGCGGTAGACCTATTTTGGCTTTGGATATTCGGAAATTCACAGACTGGAACCGAAACGCGATTAAACTTGACGGTTTTTTCATCTTTGGACGTTGATTTGTGACCCGAACGGAATTACTATATTCCTACAAAGCATTTATCATCCAGATTTCCAGACAAAATCCCACATGTTTTAGCCAACCCGGTGAGAATCAAAACCGCAATCTGATGGTTTTTAACCATATATTAGACCAAAAAAAATTCTCACTAAAAGAAATTCCAGTCTTTTTTTTCTCAAATATTTAAGACGTAGACTTACTTTAGAATCAGGACTGATAGCCAACGCATAACAGGCGGGCGCTGAAGATGTCAGCTCTGCTTTGATCCGCGGCGTTGGCGACGCGAGATCCCATATCGAGAGGTTGGAGGCTTCGCCCCCGACGATTAAGGTGCGGCCGTCTGGCAGTAACTTCACTGATCTGATATAGTTATCCCGTTGCTGAAAATATTTGATATCACTCGTTAAATATAGTATTAAAGAATACAGGGGAATAATACAGAGAAAATTGGTCTGATAATTCACGGCCATCGTTTAGCATATCATTGTTTTTCGGGCTGTTCGGCCGACGTGGAGAAAATCTCTTCTCGCACACGTGGGACGAACAGCCCGAAAAACAAATATATATTACAAAAATAGCTAATACTGTAAACTGCCGCCTTGTTTGCTCTATAAATTGAACCGTGCGGCCGCAGGAAATGAGACACGGATACCAAAAGGAGTTATTCCCCTGGGATCTCATATGGAAGTGAAATAGACTGGTATCTTCGAGTGAAATAGGGATAAACAAACATACAACATCCACATTTGCAATAATATTAGCATGAATATTATCATCAGATCGTGTTGTTTCGTTATATATTAAATTGGTCACCAAATATCCCAAATTGGCGACAGTTACCCACTCACCAAGCAATCCAATTGGCTAACGGGCGCCTTGCTGGGCTGACTGATGTCCCACACTTTGACGCAACCTTTCCCCCCCGTGTACACGTACTTAGTGGGGGAAGAGACTGTCACTGCGCAGACGACTTCGCCGTGCGCGAGCGCAGATACTTGGCGCGCGTGACGCGGTATTCCAGGCCCCATTAGGGCATCCGGCGGAAAGGGCACCGGTTGCATTTGACCCTCCGCTGACACGTGGAATGAATATGCCCTGAAATTGATTGAGTATATTTTATTACACAGATTTATTATCGTTGATATGAAACGTATTATTAAAATTAAAATAATATATGAAAAACATTACAGTTTTTAGATATATTATTATGCTAGAAGCAATTTAAGAAATAGTTTTTTAAAATGTAAACCAATGCTTTAACTGCACCAACTTGTGAGAACAATATATATTTTTTTTATGCATACAAATTTAACGTTTTCATACATAGGTAAAGGCAGAACAGTGTGGTGATATTTATATTGAACACTTACGGTTTTCCACCAGGAATAGGCGCAAGCGCCGCTGGTCCTATCGGTGGGCGTAGAGGTTCATACGCTAAGGCCGCTCGCGCTGAATAACCCGCCAACCCATACGCGTCATGAGCGCCATTTCCTAGATACGGGTACTGCAGCGCTGGAGGCTTCACGGCGGCCTTCAAGGGAGCACCGGCGGCAACTCCACTGGCCCCAGATGTAGGTGTCACCGGCTTCGATATAGGCGTGCTTGGTTTCTCATCTAACTTTTTTGCTGAAGGTGTTGATGCGTTACTAGAGGTTCCAGATCTGTAATGTTAGTAGACAACATTAGACGCCGAACTTTGAAATTGAAATATGTAGATTAGGTATATTGATATATCTTTATTTCTTAAAATAATTTTAAATCAAAACTAAATATATTGGGTATATGATTTATTTGTAAATGGGTATTTTTACATTCTACGTTTTTATATAATTTATATAAAGCTGTCATTTACTCCATAATTTTGAATTTGATAAGAAATATAATATTGTGGAAAAGGGAAGCTGGACTGGATATTTATCACTGACGAATCGACTGTATAATACAACAGTATGATTTATTACTATAGGCTATTTAGGCAAAAAGCGAATATTTTATTATTATATAGTTTTATGCCAATTCTATCCAACGCTCAATGACATCTATTCACAAGGCCTGATTTTGCCTCTTAAGGAATGAAATTTCAATAAAATACTTAAACGCTTACATTAATAATAATACGATTAATAGTAATATATTCCGAGTTTTAAACCGTTAAAAGTGGTTGCCTGAGGTCACCCCATGATTATTATTCAACTCATGTTATAAGATGAACTTATTAAATTAAACAAGAGCGAGTCTGGCTGCGAGTTACAACAAAGATCAGCCGTACCCAAGCTTGCGTGTCTAATCTCTTTGTAATAAGTAAGCTATGTAGGTAGATAATTGAATTAAAGCGGTGGTTTTCTTACGACCCAATATCACTATAGTATATCAAGTGTTCAAAGATTGCGTCTAATCTCTTTCACTAAACAGCTGGGTACTATGGTTTCGCTTTAAATCGTCTTAGCTGAGCAAAAGCTCGTCAATTAGTGACCATAATATGTACATGGAATCATTTACCATGTACGGCTTCCCATAAACGGATAAAGTAATTATTAGGAATTTATCGTGGCGGCATAAGTTGAGGGAACGACCTCGATCTTTTATCGAGGGCTCATAGGTAGGTGGTTTTGTATTAGAAATAACTTTATTTACCTGCTTATAGCATGAGATAAGGGTAAGAGGGATGGGGTTGTATTTTGAATATTGGTTATATAAAATCCAAAGCTTATATGAACAAACAAGACTGCCATATTTGTTTATTTACCTCGGGCTGTGTGGTGGATGTTCTTTTTTTGGCTGCAATTTATCCAAGCCATTTTCTCTGGGTGATGGGGCGCCATTGTGTGGAGACGTGGGTTCTTCACTTGCATCGTCTACCACTAACTCCTGAAAGGAAATGGTTCTTTTATAAAATCGTAGCTTCAGCCTTGGTAAACCTTTTTGTGTTTACGTTAGCCGCAACCACAAAGTCAACTTTCTCTAAGCGGTTTAAGGTGTTAATTACTAGTTTATTGTCAAGCAAAACAAATCTCAACTTACATGCCCCATGTCCTTCTCTTCCTTCTTCGGTTTTTTGTGGTCGGGCTCCATGGGACTTCGCGTTCTGTACTTCTCCCTCTCGCCCGGCGATATTGAATTTCTCTGCAACAAAATAAACGTGGGATAAGTAAATATTCGTTTTAATTAAAACATATAGAGGGCCGCGTCGGCTGTATCGGCTGAGCAAATAAGTGTAGGCACGTAAACATAATCAAAGCGTTTACGGGCCAGCTTACGTACAGCAATCAATCGATCATTGTTCGCAAATAAATCGGCGTGCAGCGAGGCGGACGCTACAGTCAATATCAATATCAAAACACGCTGAGGCAGAACAAACTGACCGCATGATTAGCTTCGAGAGTGGTCATCGCCCCCCTCCCGTGGGAAGGGAAATAGGGGAGCCGCGTTTGGACGCGCAAATACGGTCTAATGAAATAATCATATACGTGTCAAACGACCACCTCGCTCGCCTATTTCGCAATTATACAAAACGCAGTACGCGCTAGTCTGTAGCTATAAATACGGAGAGCGCTAAGTTTCCACGTCATAAATATGCATATCCCCACGTGGATTTATCAATATTCAGTTGAGTGCTTTCCGTGATTTGCACAGGCAGATGCTATTTGAACAGGGAGTGAAACCGTGCAACGTACTTACAGCGTATAGATAAGCCATAATCCGTTATACCTGACGAGGCTTGCGCCTTCGCCGTCGCCGTAGGGAGCCATATCAGTTGTATCGTTATTTATACAACTGTATGATATAGGTACACGGGTTTATGTATGTCAAAAATACGTAAGAATGCCCGGAATGTATCCGCAATAGTCTAAATCCCCCGAACAGTTCCCACCAAATTGCTTGTGTCGTAACTGATCTTGAATGAATAATGGCTCGGGTTTAATCTGACAACCTCCGGGGAATACGTCGAGCACGGTTCGTAGCGCCCGGAGGGGTCTAACGGGGCCTAATTTTACGAGGCACTAAGTTAGAGGCTAGTGGCAAGCGGCTGTTAATTTGCTCGCCACGCCGTCGACCTGTCGCCGCCCGCTGTGACTTACAACTCGGAGGCGGCCCCCACACTGCCTATATTTACACTTACATCCAGACTCCGCATTGATCTCTAGTTATTGCCCCCTATATACGCCTATCTCATGCCACAAAACACCTTAATTGAATATTCTACATGATTGTCACTAACCACACCGTTCGAGCTATAAACTTTTACTATCCTGAGATTAAACGACCAGATAAGAGCGGGTCGAGATAAAAAGGGTATATTATAATATAAGTGGCATTCGATACTTTAATGAGCGGTCCGTATAAATGTCTTTCAATCGAAGACGTCGAAGTGAGATAAGCGATGTCTACACTAACGTCGTAGTGAGAGCGTGTGTACGAGACCTAATTTTACGACCACCCAATCCACGGCATTCGATATCGAATTTCAAGTAGAGCTATTTCGAGAGACCTACGGAACGAGCTGACGTGACGTGTCGAATTCGATCGGTTGGATTTTATGTTGCTCGTTTGAGCTGTTCGCGTGAGAGTAGGCCATTTGTGGTTAGTCATTAATAAATTGAATTTGCGGTCTACGACTCGAATTAGTCGGGCATACTTCTATAGTGCGATGTTATTATTATATAAGAATATAAGCAGTTACGATCCGAAAGAAAAATAGGATTAATGTGTTTTCCTAATGGCAGGTACGTTACCTATCCTGTCGATAGTGATAATATGTTGTAACCTTTTTATTTTAGAGTACACACAGACCTAATCTGTTCTTGATCCTATTACACGGGTCGACCACGAGAAAAGGCAATCGAGTGGGATACGGCGCCTCGGGGCGGGCGGGATGCGGGGGGCGGCTTCTAAACAAGTATGAGATTGTACAAGATCCGACAACAGGACTTATCGGCTACCGTTCGGTTCGCAGAGGTCGCCACATGTGTCGGAGCTCGTAGCGCGGGGTGGCGAGAGGTGGCTCTGGCTACATATAAAGTGGCAACACACAGGCACGCTGTTAACGCCGCCCGGGCTTATTGTCTGCGGTCACGCGACGAGCCGTTTAGCCGCGCGCGCCGCCGCCCGGTTAACCGGAAGGGGGGCGGAAACGGGGGAAATAGATAAATAGACCACCCGACGCTCGGAAATGTACGGATTGAGTCCTGACTATATTTCAGGGATAATAGTTTTGAAAAGTTGTGTGATTTACACGCGACGTTTTCAACTTTTATCGCTGATATCGATTTCGTAAATAGTTCCTTTAACGTAGTGTAATTCTTTTGCGCAGTCAAATAAAACATTTATATTAAGTGTCCAGTAACACACGTTTATTGATACGTATTTGTACGGTATTAAACGGTTTCCATCTGCATTTGTAAAATTAAAGCGATAAGTAATTACCATGGAAACGGGCCGCGTGTTAATCGGAAATGATAAAGCTGAAAAAGATGCGAGCGCGAGCGACCGAACCGCAGGGCGCGTCGCGACTTTAAAATTAACTTCACGGGTTCATACATAAATAATAAAGGAATTTCTGAATACGCATTAAACTCCTATAAAGAATACATTAGCATAAATTTATGGTAGCGAGTCGAGCTATCGAGCGCGTTTTTACGTGACTCGTAAAGTTTATAGTCGCGAGTGGTGGATTGCGTTTACTACGCGCGCTATCGGTTTATGGCCGACCCCAAATAACTGAATTGCCCGTGATATTATATTTTGTTATGTTCGTATAAAAACACAAGATATTAACATGGCGATACAGGCTAATAAAAATACAGCGGAGATATTCTGAATTTTTAATTGCATCACTAAGCTGTCACACTTTCGGATTGTAACGGCTTCGCAAGAAATTATTCACCATAAAGTAACATTAAACCGTCCGTGGAAAGTCGTTTAAATATTACATTCAGTATGTAAATGTCGATAAGCAATCTCACCTTACCCTTTGCTCAATTACAGGAGTAATTAGCGCGATTAACACGAGCGGACAGGGAGGGCAGAGGTATGAGAGGGGGAGACGATCGCTTTCACGCACGCAAACAAATGTCACGTGGCACGCTGCGCCTTAATTAAAACGATAATTGAGTTGACTTGCGAAACTCATCCGCCATTTCGGAATTCCAAGAGAAATTTCATGAAACTCCCCTCGAAACTACGAAGCCCTTGAGTGTCAACGACTTTAATTTTGTGTTAGCGTCAACTCTGCGGTCGCAGGGCAAATTTTAATACGGTGCGCGGGCTCGCTTTGTGGAATTACTTAAATAAATTACCTAGAATCGGGTTACGTCGCCGCCCGGCAACTCGTTTGGAAAATTGGTGGACGGATGAACCACCAGCGTAAATCTGTTGCTATAACAAATCGAGTTACGGGGGCAAAATAATTAGGATATCGTAACCTTACACAAGAATGACTAATTATTAATAGGCAGACGTTAATAAGTGTACAAAACTATCAACAAGAAAATAAATATCTTTTTATTGAGTCTCATATAATGGCCTTACTCGATGTAGTTTTAAATTACATCATTTAGTCATTCAACAAAGAATTACGTAATGCATAGTTTTTAATTATAATAATAGCGTGAAGGCTCATTTTGTATGTTTTTTTTTTCAGATTTCTATTTACATATTAAATTTTTAAATATTTACGCTTATTATATTGTCAGTTTCAAGTTTACTATGATAGTTGTCTATAGCCTATAAATTATTTAATAACTTACATAGTAAAAGTGTTGACAAATTCAAGCGTCTTTAATACTCCTCTAAGGGAGGGATCAATCCCTCCGAGAGTGCAATATGTGCCTCGCTCCAACTTAATACCGGGGATAAGCAATTCGTTACACCTCCGCAAGAGATTTGCCGCAATGTAGTCGCGAGAAAAATTGATTTCTGTGCATGTAAAGGGGTAGTTTTGAATTTAATTTTATTACTGGTATGTTGATAAGAGGGTAGTGAAATAGATTTTCATTCATACGATCTAAAACACTCAAGTATTGTGTACGAACTAACACTTAAGTGTGGCTTTATAAAAATCTTTTTTACCCTAACCAGTATGCATATTAACACTGATAAATCTCAGATTCCGGTTCAGCGTAGCGTGGCCTCGCGAAATGCGTCGAGAGCGCCCGATTATTTCGCACGAGGCTTCCCCGCCGCCCGGCAATAAAACATTAAACACGTAACAAGTTTATGCGCAACGACAACCCTAGCGAGTTCCACCACTTCGTTAATCCGGGGCGAGGGCAGCCCTAAATTAGGGTCGAGACAAGCCTTAATCCCCCCGCTCGACGCGACGGGGGGATTTATATTGTTATTGCTCCGCGTCCGGAATTATACGAGGGTTGAGGGACTAATGAAAGGGGAAATTTAATTCCTAATGATTCTCGTCTTAGCCCGTAACGAGGAAACTCAAAAAACGGCTGCGACCCGCACACGTTAAGCGGGCATTTTAATTGAATGTTTCTTTTTCACCGGTACATTAGCGATTAGATAGACGACGGTGAACAAATTTATTCATGGAGCACTCTCAATGCTCGTACACGCCGTCGTCGGCCGTAGCATATGTAAATCTAAGGCGTAGAGTGCAGGGCGTGTGGTAGAGGCGAATCGTGTCGACTGGATGGGAACAGGCCACGGCGACCGCATTGTTAAACATGCCGCCGAGCTGCAGTACCGCAGCGATATAAGAGCCCTGCACACGAGACGTATACAGGTAGGTATGTCGCGGACGTTTCAACACCTTTCCTTATCTTTAAGATGAAAGCACTAATAAAAAAGTAAACATGTGTTGTATAGATGTACATATTTGGCTACCTATTCCTTTCTACCATTATATAAAACATTTTTTGGTCTAATGCATTTCTCTTTATAGAAGGGGGAACAAACTGTGCCTTAACGTATCAATTTATCGAAGTAATACCATGTAATAAAAGGCAAAGCGTTATGGAGGCTTTGTCCTATTGGTTAAAATAGATTTATTAAATATATATTGCAAAAGTAGTAAATGGTAATCAGCTAGGTGCCCAAGCGCCGCTTCGCCTAAATTCAAATGTCAAGTGAAGCAGCACGGCAAACAGCGGGTAATTAGGAGAGCGATGTATACGTATCGCCGTTGCGCAGCGCAAGACGCAAGACGCCGCCCTTCCGCCCATTACGCCGGCGACTAATTGAGATAAATTATGAAGACACTCCGCCGCCGCGAGCTATCGCCCGTCTAACTGCTAATTATATGCACCGATTTCAATTATCTCGATGCGCTCTGCCGATTTACATTCAATAAACGGTGTGATTCCGTGATAAATGACGGATTATTACTTGAAAATTTTAAATTAAGTATATTTAAAATTAGAAGCAAGATCTTTTACGTGTTACATTTTAATACGTAAAAGTTCTTCTAATTTTAAATTTAATTTCAAATTTTCAAGTGAAAGTTGCTGCGATGAATTGAAACAGTTGCAACAGTTAAGTTGTATTTATTATTATACGTATTTATAACTTATGTAAAGTAGCGTTCGGCACTTTAATTAAAACATTAATACATATAGAAGATAGGCTGTGTGTGTAAGCGTTCATTCAAACGAGATTAATTGTAGTGTAGCTCACATAATATATCGAGCGTTTCGAATTATGAGCGGAATAGTTATGTGCAATATATCGGTCCGTGTAGGTGGAATATTCTCTCAAAGGGTAATATTAACAGTGCATAGTGCATATGGTTTGCGGTATGCGGCGGGGCCACACGCGTCGCACAGACGCGACGTGTAGCAGAACCGCAGCAGAGGAGCGTGTTCGTCCACACGTCACTTGCGGTGACCACTGGTGCGATACTATTATGTACTCCAAATTAATCAGTTCAATGCTGTAGCTTCGACGACGTGGCTTTATAGCATTTTGAGGAAACGGAGTATAACATTTTATGTTGTGTTTATTTATTATTATTTCGTCTCTCAATAACCGTCTAAGGACTTTGATTGTCTTGTCTGTTAAAAAAATAAGATTTGAATATCTGAATAAGAACAGATTTTTTTTGACTTAAGTGTACAACTTGTTAGGTTTCAAATGGTCAGTAACTATATGCTTATTATACGTAAAATCGGATTTACTATCTTATATTTTACCATTATTTTTACAAAATATCTTCAGGAACTTATATATGATTATTTTATTAGGTTAAAAAAAAGGGTTATTCTGCTTTCATAAAGGCAATCTATTACTAAGTCCCAGCCTGTAATCCCGTAGGTAAGTAAGTTATGCTGGAGCCATTGATCGCTTCAGAATTACTTGATTTGATGCACGTACCGGCCGTGTATTATACCGAGCGCGAACTTCCTGCATAAGAATGTAATATTCAATATTCTCACGTATAGAACGGGGGGGGGGCATTGTTATAATACGGCGGAGGAGGAGGATTCGATCGAGCCTGCATAAATCGATGCGATACGCCAAGATCCGAACAAAGCCGCAAGTCTGAGACTAGCAATACGGGTACCTGCGCCATTGTACGTGCAATATTGCATTGCGATGCTCAGCGAAGTGCTCTCGGAACATTCTTGAGATTTGAATAAGAAACGATTGCAAATTGTAACTTAGAAATGCGATGAAACGTGACAGAATTTTATATGACTCGGAGAATAAGGTCGCGTTTAAGTCGAGGACAGTGGATGTACCTGCTACCACTTTGGATCTCAAAAGGAATATGTAAGAGTGTCGGGAAACGGCTACAGAGTATTGTACCTACTTAATAAAATTGAACAACATTTCCTTATAATTTTTTTCTGTAAATTGTGTATATGTTATAATTATAATCGTTATTACAAATAGGCGCATATTGCTTATACACCTATAAAAGTATCTTTAAAAAGAAGTATTTACTGTCACAAAAATATTTTTTACAATGACATAAAAATACAACAACCATCCCTTTTCTAAGACACACCAGACTTTAAGCCACTCAAATCAAAACTAAAAAAAAACATAAACTTACAATAAAAGGCGAAACAAAGATAAGATAAAAGACCATCTTGCAATCCGTTCCACTTATATTTTAATAATTGCAAGTGCCCATTCTTTTCAATTAAGGAAAGCCTCGGCGATAAAGCGAGGGTTGTCGCCTCGAGCGCACTTTACGTCTACTAAGTTCCTCTGCATCGTAAACATGTCACTCTAAAGCGCGCATCTATAGACGACTTTAAAGATGTTTTTGTTAAGCCCCAACAAAGTGCTCGGTCCATCGTGGAATGACAAAAATAGTCTAACGCGACTTTTTAATTACAGACGCAGGTACGAATCCACGAAACAAAGACAGTATCAAAGAACAATGCAAATTTATTCTGTCCGGGTTTTTTCTGGCATCTATTAAATAAAGAAGTCGCGTAGAATGCTAAGCAAGGTTGAGCGGCCCTCGCCCTACGAGTTTTCCACTCGAAATGAGTATACGGGAGGTATGAGGTCGGGGGTGACGAGGGTGCTATTCAGAATGGCTTAGATAAGGTAAGGAGGATGAAGAGGCAAGATGCGCGGCGTAATGAACCGGCTCCGTTTTTGTGCGGTTCTGTTGCTAAATTGAATATTAGGCGCGATTTGACGGCGAACGACTGGGCGCCGGAAATAAATCCGCGGTTATTACGTTACCCAAATGAAATTGTAGAAAGGGCCTGGAGCGGCTCGCTTAATTTCGACTCGGTGTAAATTGGCACTTGTAATGCCGTTTCGTAAGCGTTCGCCACTCTTGCCACCTCGTGATGCGTAATTAGTGTAGATTTTAATACGCGAGTGTGAGATCGTTACGCCCCAAACGTTAAAAATCTTCTGAGCGCGTTTGAATCTCAGTGTTTTAATGCCGAAGGCAAACTTCCCTCAATGTTTTATTATAATGTTGCGAAAAGCCGGGTGTAATATAAAACAAGTCTGATGTTTTGGTACGAGAGGGCAACAGTGTAGCGCCTCCGTGATTTCGTAACAAAAACATTCCGGACAAATGAACGAGGCAAGAATACGAAATGAAATTGGAGACGCCGGCATGTGGCTACATAGAAGGCGGTTTATGAGTTTTATTCGGTACATTTTCTTTTTTACGAGATCTTTTCACGAGACCTTTTAATTTTGTATAAAATAAAGACGGAAATTTTTGTTTTGTTTTAACTAGGTATTAGAGGAATACAAACAATGTTTACTACGCATTCATTAATAGAAAGTAATAATAACACATTTCAAACAATTTATTTAATGCTTTTCGTAAAGTTCAAATAAAGAATTAAAATCTCAAACGCGAAGTGTTAAAAAGCAAACATTTGAAACCAACACGTAATAAGGCCAGAGTGCACATCTCACACGGAAAGTTCTCAGGGTAAAGTTACCCACTTGTGTTCATTGCACGAGTTCGTAACTTAGTACCATATTATTGTATTTCTCATTCGAGTTGCGCCGGGTGCGCATAAGTTCTTCCACGACTCCGTTCCGTAGTTATCAAGATTATTCTAGTTCTACTAAATAAGTTTAATCTCGAATGAATTGGGCATTGAAAGAGAGTCTTTCATCGCCGCTTCATTGCGAATGCATTCAGCGACTACTTAAATTGGGACGTCAAAAACGCGGTACGTAAAAGCAAAGGTCGTCAGAAGTAGGTTAGGCAACAAAGACAATGTTATGAAAGGGGCGCGATATCGATTCGTATGCATTTCGCTTGCAGCGCGCTGCGGGCGGTGGCACATCTGTGCGGTGTGCCGCTGCTCAGTCGAGCACGACAAGGGTGGCAGTCTCCCACCCACTAGACCACCGCTACCACGATACCCGACATTCGCAACACCTCGCAAACGACGCACTCGCTCGTGAGCTCACTTCAAATTAGGGCTTGCGACTTCGAAATTGCTTTGCCAAATTTTTAAGTACGAATTTGGTTAGAATGGTGGTTTTAAGTGTAATAAAAAAAATACAACCTATACGTAATAGAGCAGGTACTTTTAAGACAATATTTCCCATTTACTATATAGTTGCCATTTCTCAAATGACAAGCAATATACGAATTAGGATATTAAGGGGTATTTAAGTCTACATCTACATATTTAAATCTCTCTTTTTGTAATTTGAATTTAATAAGTTGCCTTGTCCAATTTTAATACAAGTATAAGTACTAGGATCATTTGTTCTTATAAAACCATGAAACAAACATACTTCCTTTTGGTTTCGGTATAATTAAAAATTCTAATGAACAAGCGCACTGCACTCGAGGCGGTGGCAGCCCTCGGCGAGCTGCGTCACTTGCACCACCCACTTGTTTCAGAGGCCGTGTTATGAAATCAACGTGTTCGAGCGCAGCACTCCTCGGCTCTCACATTCCCAAATGGAAAATGGAAAATGTGGTACACGGCTGTTCGAGAATTTTTCAAAGCGAAATTTCGTCGTGAATTTTTAACAAGTTGAAGTTAGTTGGAATTTTGTACTCACATGTCTCTCCTCCGCTGAACTGATACCTGCGAACAACGACAGCTTTATTAAAATTTATATACGCTACTCGAGGTTTAATTTTTAAAACACCTGTTTACAACCTACATACTTAGTAAATTAAAAATCTAGATCGAAAAAAATACTACACGGGCGGGAGTTGAACCGACCTACACGTCATCGTCAAAATTCTTCAAACCATCAATACCTACTATTTCCACCTTTTCACTCAATTATTAAGATTGTTATTTTTTTTTTCAATCTAAATAGATTTTTAATTTATGCAATGCCATGTTCAACAATATAAATATGAAGCAACATAGTATCAAAAATGTATACAGTGACGCTGTTGTTCTAAATTACATTCCATAAACTGTGGTGTGTTCTAATAATATAATAGTAGAGAACACAGAATAGATGACAGAGTAATTATAGCACATATATTGCGGCGTGGATTGCTTTGATTAAGCTTTAATTACGTGTAAGACGTATGTGTATAGGAGCACCTGATTATAATATACATTCTGACAACATACAGAAACGTAATGTTGAATAAAACGTAGGTACTATTTGTGAGTTAAATTAAAACGTTATTACATAGTTTATCGTTTTCAACAGGTGTATTTCTATGATTTAATAAATTAATACTTCACTCACTTCTAAATAACTTTAACTTGTTAAATATTTATACATGTTCTGTATATTAAGAACTATATTTAGGTTTTATCGTATAAAACCTACATATAGTTCTGCTTTGCAGCAGCCGTGGTCACGGGGAGACTGTATCCCCGCGACCACGGCTGCTGCAAAGCATTCGGAACGTCGGGCCGAAGTTAAGAATCATTTTTAAATAAGTTTAACTAATATATCACGTTTTAAACCGTTAAAGTGTTTTATTTCAATGTGTACTACTCGCGTAAACAGTAATTAATTCGTCATGTTTTTGATCGTAGATCTATGTGTACAGCCATCTACCAAAAAGTTTTTCTTCCTATATATTATATACAACTTTACTATGTGTCTGTAATTTATTAATTACACTAAGTAATCCCACGATAAGCCCCAATTCCATATTCTACAACGGAGCAGCAAAGGCATTAACCGCTGCGGTTAATATTCATCAATTAGCTGAGCAATTACTGGTTCTAAGCCGTGATTATAGTTACTGCATCCACGTTATATGACGATTCGAGTAGGTACTGCATCGACTACAATTAATTTAAATGTAATAGCCTCAATTATTGGCCAACTGACCGCCTGTATTCGCTATCCACGGGAACACGCGCTCGTTACAGACAAAATACGCGTCAATTGACAGTAGCAATTGCTTGCTTGTTTTATTCTTAGTATTTCCCTTTACTGTGTCAAAAAAAGCGATGTTTAAAAGCCATACATAGCAGCTGAGTTATGTTTTTCCACAGGAAAGTCATTGTATGCGATAATTGTTAACCATTTATGTATTTTCTTATACAATTTCTGTATGTATATTCTTTGTATGTGATCTTTCGTGTTGATTAAATTATTTGAATTAGATGTTGCTGAACGTAATTTTTACAGAAGAATGTACGATAACATTTATTCTATTAAAGCATGATTTGATTGAGTCGGTAAGCGTCGATTTTTAAATAAGATTTTTTACCTCTGAATAGGATCTTATTAGCCCAAAGCGTTTATAGGAGACCACAGCCTAAACACCATTAACATAAATTCGAGGTCGAGCGGTTGTTTATAGTTTAAATTGCAGCATTTATAAGGTGAATATTTAATAGAGCGTTCGAGTAGGTCCGCGTCGACGTACACTCAAGTCACCCGCAAAATTTCGTTACTAATTGACTAAAACGCGCGACTAACACCAGCGAGGAATAATTAATTGGGCGCGGGCAAGGTGAGGCGGGGCATCTGCGCGGTAACTCTTACATCAGTACACCGATAATGGCACAAATTAGCCAGGGAAGTGGCAGCGGAGGAGGGGGTGGCCCGGGGGGCGCTAAGCCGGAACATCCCGGAGCGCAGATTACCGCTTGCTTTTGTAATTAACCAGGGCGACGGGCGGCTTCCAAACCCATTTCTGTGTTACATTTTCATTTGTGGCGCGCTCCCGGATCCGATGCGCGGATTAACCGCTCCGCGATTCGACCCGCCGCGCCGCTGTATGAATATCTGATTTGATCGATATCCAATATCGAAAGGGTCACGTTTAACTTTTCAGTGTAACAATATCTATACATCGATCTTTAAAAAGTGATCAGATATTAAATACTAAGTTAAAACATATAACGTGTAAAATCAGATGATTACTAAGTCTTAGTCAAACAGAGTTTTTTTTTTGTATCGGGGTGTCTCATAAATGTATAAGTATAATCGTGTAGTTGCCCGATCAAGTGGCTAAGTAAACGACGATTCAAAGTGCTTTATTTACACTCGAAGCAATATCGGACCGGGTATAGGCTTCATCTATCCGAAAATATGCAAACACACTCAAAAAGCCTCTCGGAAGTGGTAAATATTGAAACAGAAGCGGGATTGGAGACGTCAGTCTCGAGCTGTGGGGACGCGGGGGGTCTAATAGTCCCGAGAGAGGGCGTACGCAAACAAGCCAAGCACGCAAACATATGACACTTCTTAAAATATTCATCTTATTGAGAGGTGCTACGATTTCTTTTTGTAAGGACTTTTTACTCGAAAACGACAAAACCAGAAGGAGAACGATTTTGTTAGTCGATTACTTTTTATAAGAAAAATTTACATACCGTTGCCTTTGTCGTCGGGCCGGTGAATGTCTGGTGGTTTGGCCAACACTGATAAGGGATGGTGAGGTGGTACTCCAAGGCCTAGGAGCCCCGCAGGAGGTAAAGCTCCTTGGCCTAGCAACGGTAGAGGCGGAGCCCCGTGCGCTGGCAGATGCGCTGCATGCATTTGTTGAAGTAATCTTGGTAAATCCGGTCGTTGTTGCTGTTGGACAAATATTTAGCTATTAATTATGCTATATATAAAATAATATTAAGAAAGTAATGTATGTAACAATTAAAATATTAAATTATAATAGAGTACTTAAGTAGAGGTTCTTGTACTAGCTTACAGTAACAAATAAAATATCGCAAAGAAAATAAAAGCTTTGATTCCCTTTAATGTCACCGATAAAGTGAATCAGCGTATCACCGCAGTGTCGTGCATTTTTTAAATTGAACTGGGCCAAATTAAAAACTCCTCCAGAGTCCCCCCGGGACACTGCGATATTTTAAAATTTAAATGAGAGCTTCGCCGGCGGCGACGACTCGGTTGAAATTGATTACTCCTTCTCTATTATTCCCCTTTTTCCACTTTCCTCGTTTGCCAGCACTTCCCGTTCCTTTCTAGTCTCGTTTAACTTTATTATTGCGCGCTGCGGGTAGTTAGCTATTTTAACGTTGAGTTCTCGCGTATGAATACGTTTACTGTGGCCAATCATTCGAACACCTTGGATGGTTACTTAAACTCGTAACTACAATGAGTTATTTTATTACTAGTAAAGTATTTTATACATAGATTAAAAATCGAATTTAGAACGTATTTTGTCTATTAAGAACATACGGAGTACCTTTTACATATTAGCTAGGAATTATTGATGTAATGTAAGTAATCTTTCAGCCAACAAAAGTTTAAATAGCACTCAGACTGCTGCTTGAATTACGCAAATAATGGCGGTATCATTGCAAGTTTGTTGTACGTAGCTCGTATAAAATGGGTGCGAAACCAAGGGATTCTAAACAAAGGAGACGCGTTGAAACGGCTGCCGTGACACGACCCCGAGCTATTGAGATTCACACCTCACCCCGGTCTACCTCCCGCCGCCTCTCGGCCCACCACCCCGCTTGTTATTATGAATGACAATATCGCACCGCCACCGTACCGCAATATTTTTTCCAGAGTGCATTTACTTAAGAAGTGATTAAATACCAGCGTCGCTCCCCCGAGATCCCTCGTTTCCCCTAACGACTTTTCCGACGATACTTATCTGCAAGTCGACTTTGCTGTTTATATTATCGGCCAAATTAAAGTTTGCTCAACTTTGGGTTATGGCCCGATCTGGGAGATTAGAGTTTTACGGAGAGCATAGTGAATTAATTTCATTATTTATTCCATTTTAACAGGAGACGTTTGAGCGTCTGCATTTTTATCTTATTTCAGTAACGTTCACTCGTAATTTAAAGCAGTACCTACAGTCAAAGACAGTATTAGTTGACGTCAAATATAGGACAAATACGTGAAGTAGGAACCACTTAATGTCATATAACTAAATGTTAAGAGCATTGAAAGAAACAACAGTACAAAAGTAAATGGACACAGATAAAAACGTAGTGTAGATACGCCTAATGAACCTTGAAGTGGGTAAATTAAGATAAATACATTATATCTTAATTCTGTGAGTAATTATAGTGGAGCTAAGCAACAAATGGGTGGGCGTGTAATCTATAACATTAACCTCCAATTAACTGTTACGCTTTAATGAGTGCAATCGAGACGAAACTTTCCACTCTTGTCTAACTTGTCGATGTTTTAAAACAGCTGTATTAAAAAGGGTAACTCAATAAACATTTTTCATCTCTGTAATTTTTTGAAAACTTTCATATTTTCAAATATGTTATTGCACAAGAAGGCATTATATGATTAAAAAATCGAAAATAAATTCAAAAAAATTTTCGACTCCGGCAGGTACTCGAACCGGCATCGTCAGAGTTCCGTGCTGTTACTGTACCAATTGACTCGGTAGCTCAATTTTTTCAATTTATTTTCGATTTTCAAATTCTATCCTTTTTACAAAAACAGCTGTATTATTTGGAAACGTCCAACATAGCATTTTGGATCTAACTGTTAAACATTGTATTCACGTTATTTTACGAAAGAATTTCGTATCTCTGTTGTCGAGTCTTTAACAATAGATGATTTAATGTCTTTAAAGATACAAAACAACTCTCGATAGCGGGGAAAATAGAAAAGACATTTATTTTGTTAATAATAGCAATATTGGAAGATATGTGCTGAACAAATGTAGACATTGGTTTTATTGAAATTACAGTACGTGGCTTCACTGTAAGGTTTTATTTTAGTGTAAGCTTCAAATAGGGTAGAAAGGAGATGGGGTGTAACGACGGAGCCCCAGGATGATCACGCACCATTAGTTCCGGAGCCCCGGGCGCTCGCACGCGACGCCAACACTTGTTACAACATCAGCTTTCAACATAATTGCTTATGGTTGGAAATATCGACAAACATACGCGAGAAAGCATTCAATACTCGTTAATGGAGTCGTGATGATGCTATCGCGATGAGATTAGACCGAAAATAACACTCAATCTTTATTGTTTCATATTCCCATCGACAATCGAGATCTACGGATTAGATAAACAAGGAATACGGTCCCAAAACGGAAGAGTCGTAAAACTGATTACATAATTTGATCGGAAGCGACAGCGGAGCGGTCCCGACTCACTTCCTTCGCTTGAAAAAATAAACAGTCCTACAAAAGCGAGGCGCACTTAATGCGAGAGCTCGGGATGTTGAATTCAAAGAGGCAAGAAACGCCGAAGGCCCGCAATGCAATATTTATCACCCGCCCGCGAACGTGCCTCGGAAAAAATGACAAATTCATGCCTCCCGCCCCCCGAGCGTTCCGCCCCGATTTATTCCCGTCGTAATTTTTATCAGAGGGTGCGAGACCCGACATAAACTAGACTAGACTAGAAATGTTTTCACGAGTCGCTTGTTTATAAAGCCATCGACGGGGAAACAGATACGGTCTATTTACACGACGGGCGCGTTTATTCACATATCTTTCGAGATAATGTTGCGTAAACTCGATGTACGCAAACTCGCGTTTAGATCTTTGAGGACAATTTTTATCGCTTTATTGGGACGAACTATGGCTTTTAACTGGAGTTAGTTTATACCTAATTTATAAAACAAATACATACTTGCAAAAAACATTTTACGAAATCAAATGTTACATTACACGATTCATTGATTAGTGTGTAACAACTGAGGATGACAACACACAATTAATCTAGTTAAGGGGTTGAGCCGCCGTTAAAGTACCTACGAGTGATTTAAATAGGAAAGCAAACAATTCTCCAATTCGAAGAGTATCCCTCTTCACAAATCGGCGAGACGAAATGGTCGCAAATCAGACGGAGGGAGCGTTCGACGCTCTCGGGAGAGAGCCCCTTTGATCCCTCGCTGACCCGAAAATAAAAAAGGTTCCTAATAAAAAAGGACCGACATACGGAAAGTGGCGCCGCTTTTTTATTTAAATTAGAGTGTTTTATAGGGGAAGAGCGATATTGCGTTTTGCCAGTATCTCAAAGGGAATCCCATATACGTAAATTTATGTAAATAGGCCTATACCTATATTATCGCGAGAATGGTTTTCGTTGTGTTCATTTAATCTTTCGTCCGTCATACTTAGTTTGTACCTGTAATAGTCGATACGTCGAGAGACGCGAAGATGGGGACATTATGCAAATATATTGCCATTAAATTCTCGTAGTCTATAATAAACCGCATGGCTCGAGGGGAGCTGCAATAAGTAATTAAGGTGTGTTATTAACAAGACACAAGTTCTCGAGCGTGTGTTAAATAATTCATGAGATTGTTGATTCACGGCGAAAAACAAATCGTATTTTAGCGTGAATATTGATGGTAAAAGGCCAAATATTACGTTTTAAACGCTATTATGACACTATTGTTAACAGTATTATGTAAAAGACTTAAAAAATAGAGCTTTAGGTAAAACAAAAAGAATAAAATTCAAAGTCGAAACAAAACTCGAATCTATTTACATGATAACGATTGATGCTTAAATAAATTAGTCGAAACAGAGAACGCAAGGCTGTGATGTGTGAGTTAAGAGTACTAATCGAATTGGCAACTGGCCAGCTTCTGGGCATCATAAGAGCCGCTGGTACTACACTGATGAGCGACGACGCAGTTTCACCGCTTTATTTTCGTGCTCATTATGTTGAGAACGATTTATTTTGATCGCGGCTACTGCTTTTGTCGAGTCAAGACGAGTCAAATGACTATCAAATATCTTTGGCTGACTTAAACAATAATAGAGATCTCAAAAAACTTAGATGAAGGCAATAAAAATATTCGAAATTAGTAGTTTGTTTTGAGGGTAGATCCTAATTTTTTAGACGGTCGTGTTTAGCGAAGCGTAAATTAATGTTAATTTTTACATGTTACGTTAGCGGGTAAAAACATATCTTGTTACACCGAGGTGCGCAAATCATATTTAGCTATACCTAGGACTTTGAGGCCGCTAATTAGCACTAGTCACGTGACTCGGTACGTCGGACGTTGCGTACGCGATGACACGATGAAATAAAATAAATGACGAGTATAAAATAACTCTAGACGACAATTTTATCAATTCAGACTTTGGACCGCGGCCAAATGGGGTTGCGCGGCTTAGATCGTTTAATTAACGATCGTCGAACTTTCGACCTGTTGAAAGCCCGCCTTTACAAAATCTTACTTAACAAGTGGAGTCGGTTGTTTCGACTCAATAAATTCCGTTACACACGAGTTCCTCTCACACTATTAAATATCAGCGTTGTAGACGTTTCTATCGAGGCAATTAGCAATCCGTTAGTGCGTTAGTAGTGATTTATTTTGCAAGATTTTATGAGGATATAATTTAAGCAGTCGCATTATAATTTCGAGAGGTATCGTGTCGAATAGCGGCGCGAGTTATTTGGACAAATGCCACACTCGTCAGTGGGAGTAACAAGTAACGACAGCCGAAACATTCCGTGCCACATTTATATCTGACTGCTGTACAGATAAAACACGTGTTATCCGAAACGATTTCATTGATATCGAGTTTAAATAAAACACGTTAACGGTTTAAAACGCGATAAATTAGTTAGACTTACACGGGGAGACCGGGTCACGTCTCCCCGTGACCATGGCTGCTGCGAAGCATCCGAAACATCGGGCCGAGGTTAAAATCATTTTCAATAAGTTTAACTAACGAGTTTACAAATATATTTTATTTATATTTCCTTATTGACTATTTTTTTTTTACATTTTTTATTTGTCTAGCTCCAAAAATAATTCCTAAATTTGTAACAACACAAAAACGACACCATATAACTGAATATAAATTTAGTAGAACAAGCTTTAAGGAAAGATATATTTCAGATGCTTTGGTGCATTCGTGGTTCCGAGGAGGATATTTTTCACGTTTAAAACAGTCACAAGTATTTCATTAATACGTACAACTCCTACAATTAGTTAATAGTACTTACGTAGTCAAAAATAATATATTAGTGTGATAAAAAAATGCAAAATCTACTTACCCCAATAATTGCATTGAGCTCAGTCATTGTAACCTGCTTCGCCCTCTCTACGGCCGAGGCGACTTGCTGCTGGTGTTCTTGTGATAGAAACGGCAAAATTTGAGCTATTATTGCATTTAATCTCTTTGCTATTTCCGTCTGAAAAGAAACGTATCAGAGTTATCAATCAGAAATATAAACACAACCTCACTAATGTTCAAGAAATAGCGTTTATATTGCGTGACATTAAAATGTATATCAAGCTTATATCAAATTACCAAAGGAAACGTTATAAAAACACAATCAAACTAACAAAAAAAAGTAATCGTATTATTGCCCAATGAATGAATAATTAATGAGAGACACGAGGCTAACACGGACAAAGAAGTCGTGGAAGACGACTTATTCGGCGTCTAATACGAGCAATTATAATTCGTCAACAATCTTTGTACGAATTAACATTCAGTAAAGATGGCGGCGATCATCTATAAACGCTAACAGCTCAACGTTTTCCATACGAATGGGGATTCGATAATGTATCCACATTCCGACGCGGTTCGAATTCAATTCTGACAATTATAATTTCGATAAGTCGAACGGCGAGCAACAAATAAAATTAACACGATAAACAATATGCAATGCGGTCAAATAAAATGATAAATCGTGTTGCCGCTATTTATTGGCTTTGTTCGCATTTTCCGTTTAAATGCACATTAATTTTATTCACAGATTTGCACTGAATCGAGAATGAATTAACATAATAAGCTTTTTGAATATCGCACATTCATATTGGTGACTTCATATTGGTTTCATGAAGTATTTCCATAATGTTTGCGCTTCGTGTTCGGACGTCGTTTAATCGGCGTTTAAAATCGACATTCAATTGATGATGTTATTATCATTACGAGCGTTTGAAAACGTTTTAGCCATTAAAAAGATAGATAAGCGAGAATTCAAAGCGAAAGTAGCGCAAGGTTAATCATTTCAATCCATACGTCTCCCCTTTTGTGCAGCCGTGAACGGAACGAGAATAAAAAGAGATCTACAAAAAGGCCGCAAATACGTACTTTCGCCAGTTCTCCACAAAAGATATAGTAAGGTTTGTCATTAAGGAGTTCATCCCGCGCGAGAAATAAAAGAGGTACGTGGGCTTAGTGGTGGCCGGGCGCGTGGGGGGAACCCGGAGGTGGGAAAGGGGGGCGCACTAATGGCTCCGACACTCATCCGCTAATGCCGCGGGTGACTCCTCTTTTTGCGCGATTTTCACGTGGTTTACTCGGTCGAGCTTTTAATCTGGAGTTGCATCTTGCAGAGACGCCCCATTTGTTCTCCTACCTATTATAACAAAGTGCAGAAATATGCACTTTGTTATAATAGATATGTGATCGGAGCGGAGTTGTTTAAAAGTTTTTATTTAATTTGCGGATATAAGGACGAGTGTTAAATGATAAACAATAAGACTATATTTTTGTTGGCACCAAACATTTATCTGTTTTTTATATGAAGTTTTATACTAGTATTAAGATCATAGGTATATGTTATTAAATGCCTTATTTTACATAATGAGAGGTCTGATGTTATTGAATTATTATGAAAAAAACGGAGATATACATTTACGTAACATAAGGCTCAAGCAACCACTTCCAATGTTAACAGTTGAAGTCTACAATTTGGAACATGAATATTGAACAGGCAAAAACATCGGTAACAGGGAGGACGAGTCATTTGGGCAAAATGTCAACTGTGGCGTTCGTGGAGGGGATGCATAAGGCGAGGGAATGACCCAAATGCGGGTCGCTCGTGAACCGCAACTTATTATCTCTTACAGCAAGCTCATGCTTCATATAAACCTCATTGCGACGTTATACGGTAAACACGTTCGTAGCTGCGATATTATTTATTATATACAAGTGTTGGTAATGCAAAGTAACATGATGTACGACGTGACGTTTCATTATGGGTCGACAGCTCAACTTTTATTCTTCGTTTTAAAATGTCTTAGCGTTGGAATTAATGTATGTTTTTTCCTATTTCCTAAAGCTTATCTCCTAGATAGACTCTGACTTAGAAACGATAAATACTTCAGTAAAGTTATTGTGCGCCAGCAAACGTAAGTAGGCAGCCGGTAATAACTCGCGTCCCCCTGAGCACTTTGCCCGATAAACTTTTACCGCGATTGTGTTCGCGAAATAAAGCAAACTGACGCGAACCGGGTGCGGTTTCGACCTTCATTAATGGTTGCCAGCGCTTTTATGAATTATTTATGCACGCCGCGTTCGGCTTATCTTGCCGGCGACTCGCTAAGTTTCCACTTTATTAAACAAAACAGTCGATCGGAAAGCTCTATTGTATTGTAAGCGACGTCGCTCTTATGGCGCGCCGATAAATAATGCCCCCGGCGAAATGGCTCTTGATAAACGGACTATTATTAGTGCGCAGGGGTGTCATTGTCGACGAGTCGTATTGCATTAGCGAAACAATAATTGTTTGACATAGTCCGCAGCAGAAAATTAGCGCCCTGGAATAAGGACATCCACAGATTACGTCTTGGTACTGTGACGTCAAACGTTTGCCATCTTACAACTAAAAAATTACAGAAACTATATTATTTTTGCAATGACGTCACGAAGTTTAGGCGAACTGATACCTTCTTGTCACTCTTCGGGTCGTCCCCTACCTCCCTCCGAACGTGCTGTAATTTATGGCACCTACCCACAGTTGACAAAACACGTTTCACACGCATAGACACAGAAATTAATACATTAAAAGTTGACCCCGAAACGAGTGGCCTTTCTCCACAATCTCACGATCGACAAGTTAGTATCGCGAACGTATCATTAATATTCATTATAAACAAATGGATATAATTACATTGGCGAGTACCCGTGAGTAAAGTGGAGTCGAGTGGGCGAGTGTGCGGGAGACATCGTTATCTTGATATCGAATCAAGTATCGAGCGAAGTTGTACGCGACGCCGATCCGATGCCTCGTAATCAGATTGTAATTGCGATCGAGTTGCGCTTCGAACACCGTCTGTCAGGGCATCTAGATCTGTTTGCCGTTTAATACATCGAAGTAGCTTAAATACCATCTTTACTACCAAATCCAAAAACAAAATAGGTCGACAGCGCAACTTGTTTAGATGTTATGTGGCCTATTTTACCTACCACCTAGTGAATTCCATGCTCGTCTATCTTCGTTTATCGTTAAAAATATATGTAGAAGTCTAGGCTGCAAAATCGGGTTAGTTCAGACTTTTTCTAATATTTTCAAGTGAAGTCGGTGGCATTATTACAGTAATTTAGTGTCTAACTACTACTATACTAGTCGGAAGTCTTCAACGCCAGCCTGCGGTGGTGTCCAGTAGTGAAACATTAATAAGTCGTAACGATCACTACCCATTAAAAACAAATTAAACAACAGAAACGCGTATTAAACTTCCAAATTTTGTAAATTATATTCCAATTCTACGTAATTTATTTTTAATCGTTAGACAAGTATAAAAGCAATTAGAATAGATTGGATAATCGCTTCGAAGCACATTTAGCGTTATTAACATTTAATTAAGATAAGTTCGAAGTTGACAGATTCGTCGAAGGCAATATGAGTAGACTTGTGTGCTTGTTAGGGTCTGTTGACTCGCATGTTTCTCGCCAAACAAAAGCCGGCTTCCTAGCTACCCCTATTTGTTTAGGTCCGTGCCGAACGCTCGCAGCCCTTTATGTATCCTGCCTCCCACTAAAGCGTGAAGCCTTTTTGACTCGGTACTTTTTACGAGAGTGCTTGCGAATGCGAGTGAATTGTCCAAAAGATCCCCATCGCGATAATTGCTGATAAAACAATTAAAATGCTTGTTCATAATAAAACACTTATTGCGGCAGACATAATTAAGTGTAATAGGAGCCGAACAATGATAAGGATCGTGTTACATAAGTGTTTAAAACACGTTTCTTCGCTCACATGACTTGCTCAATTTACTAATAGGTTACAAGACAGAGTTGTTTCTTCGAATGGATCAATCGTTAGTGATGTACCTACCGTGGGTGATTTGACTCGAAACCGAATGTTCGGTAAAAATTCAAAAGTTTTGGTATCGTAAACATAATGATTGTGAATTTAAAGAATAAACTCTGATAAAAAAATAATTAAACTAAAAAGATTCTTTCCAATACTATATAGGTACGATATTTGTTGATCTACGGAGAAGAGGTAAAACTTTTCCCAGTGCAAAGTTTATATTAACCGAATTGCCCTAATCCTGTTAAGCCGAATTTCAACCGATTTGCAGCCCATCCCTATCAATCATTATAGAAGCGAACTTTTTGTGATACAAGCCGGCGATACTAATGACTTCGCGTTTCTCTGCCTTTACGGTACCGGTTGTAAGTACACAATGGAACGATAACAATACAACTATATTGTGTGTAACATAGATATTGCTCCGACAATTAGACTTTGAAATAACAGGTTTTGTTGTTAGTCACTCTGTTCTATTATCGTTGAACAATTGTGTTAAATTAATGGGAAAAGATAGTTTAGTATTTAATTGGATAATAGGAATTATACATTAGCAACAATATGCCATATATTAGTTAAGAATAGGCTTAAAATTCAACAAATTTCAAACGAACAAGATTTGAAGCCACGACAGCGTTCTACTGCTATCAACAACACACATGGTGGTAAAAATTATAATAATTAAAGCGTAGAGATATGTTATTCAATTTAAGTTATTTTTTTAATAACCGCGATGATAAAATGTATCTAATATTCGCTTGGACGCTATCTATTTTTTGGATAACGATAACGCGTATTTAGTTTTTCGATCGGTCTGATTACAATAAATCATAAGTATATATTGTGAGCGATAAATAAAATGATATCTACTGTGTTACGTGATGGATCGGATAATGAATTGATAGCAAGTATTAAAGGCGTAAGAAAAATCTAAAGTCTAGACGATCACTAACATGATTTATGTACCTATCTGTAGGTATACGTGTAGTTATATGTTGCAATCTGTTTCATATATCTACAGTTTTGTTTTGTGCTCACGGCCCTTCGTTTGATACCAAACATTGATTATCTGTGTTTAAATCTTAATTATGTTAGTTCCACTCAATTTATATAATTGTATAAGGCCGATAGTGACTACTTTA